AATGTTTTTTTTCCCTTCCCCTCCCCAAATTATACCAACATCAAATACAGTGAAAACAGGGGTTATACCATGGGGGAGGGACTTTTTTTTTTTTAAATTAGTTTGGGGCCTAGATGTGCTGTTCCTGAGCTCTTTTGCCCAAGGTTAGCTGTCTACCACTTTGAATCATAGTTCCACTTCTGGTTTTCTGGAAATAAGTCTCACAGACTTTCCTGCTCCGGCTGGCTTTGAACTGTGATCCTAAGATCTCAGCCTCTTGAGTAGATAGGATTACAGACATGAGCCACCAGTACTCAGATGCTAAACTTTTGCTGAAGGCTAGCACTCTACCACTTGAGCCACAACTCCACTTCTGGGTTTTTTTGTGATTTATTGGAGATAAGAATCTTTTGAGGGCTGGGAAAGTGGCTCAGTGGTAGAGTGCTTGCCTTGCATGCATGAGGCCCTGGGTTCAATTCCTCAGCACCACATAAACAGAAAATGGTGGAAGTGGCACTGTGGCTCAAATGGTAGAGCACTAACCATGAGCTGAAGAGCTGAGGGACAGTGCCCAGGCAGAGTTCAGACCCCACAACCACTACCACCACCACCAAAATCTTCTGACTTTCCTGCCTGGGCTGGCTTTGAAACTCAGTCTCAGAGCTTAGCCTCCTCAGTAGTTAAGAGTTACAGGTGTGAGCCACCAGCATCCTACATGAAGCCTTTTTCAAAAGTTTCTCCCTCATAATGGAATCATCTCTTAAAGGCCTCACCATCTAAAACCATCCTAAAGCCTGGCACTGGTTAGATGGTATCTTGAAAGGTTCTTACATTGGAAGGGTGAATGCTGAATCCTCACTTGGCTAGAGGAACAGAAAGGAAAAAGGGCTTAACTTTTTCCCTATAAACCCTTTACAAGTCTGTTCAAGAGGGTAGGCCCTCAAGACTCAAAATCATTTCTCAGAAGATCCTATTAATACTAGCACATTGTGTCTTATATTCTAAGATAAATTTTGGAATGACATATACAAATCATAGCAATTCTAACAGGAATTGTAATCCCTAGAACATATAACTCTGCCTTCCTGCTTGTCTTTTTATCTTATCTAGCATTCTCACCCCTCAAAACTCAGTCTAGATATGACCTTTTCTGGAATGCCTCTATAGATTGAGTTCCTATATAACACTCCCTCATCTCTGGGTTGGGTGCCTGTCCTACCAGCTCTCACTATCTACCTCTGTTCTAAGCTTTATTATACCATATTATGGTTGTTTTTCTGCATCTCCTGAAGGCAATGACACAGTATTTTTCTTCAAGTTTCAGTTCTTATCACAGTTCTGGTGCTTAGTGAGCAATACTTGATAAACATCTGTTAAAAGTAAAAAAAATGTCTTCAGCTGCCCAAATAGCTAAAACCATAATTCTAGGATCAGTTTTAATGTCTGAGAATATTCACTATCTGATGGGCTCTCATTAAGCTTCCTGAAATGAACAATGAAGTTATCACTTTCCAGCTGGGTGCAATAGTCTGCTCTGCAGCTATCATCCTAACTCTGAGGGAAGATTAACTAGATTAACAGTTCAAGTTGCCCAAAGTATAAACACAGGGCCCTATCTAAAATACCAGTGTGAGGCCGGGTGCTGGTAGCTCACACCTGTAATCCTAGCTACTCAGGAGGCTGAGATCTGAGGATCGCGGTTCAAAGCCAGCCCGTGCAGGAAAGTCCGTGAAACTCCTTTTTTTTTTTTTTGTCGGTCGTGGGGCTTGAACTCTGGGCCTGGGCGTTGCCCCTCACCTCTTCAGCTCAAGGCGAGTGCTCTACCACATGAGCTACAGCGCCACTTCCGGTTTTCTGGTGGTTTATTGGAGATAGGAGTCTCAAGGTCTCTCCTGCCCGGGCTGGCTTTGAACTGCGATCCTAATATCTCAGCCTCCTGAGTAGCTAGGATTACAGGCGTGAGCCACCAGCGCCCCGCTAAACTCTTATCTCCAATAAACCACCAGAAAACTGGAAGTGGCGCTGTAGCTCAAGTGATAGAGCGTTCTCCTTGATCTGAAAAGCTGAGGGACAGTGACCACCAAAAAATAAATAAATAAAAATACATGTGTGTGCTGGTACTGGGATTTGTGCTCTCTCCCTTGGCTTTTTAGCTCAAGGCTAGCACTCTACTACTTGAAGCACATTTCCAGCCTTTTGCTAGTTAAGTGGAGATAAGAGTCTTAGGGACTTTTCTGCCCCAGCTGGGTTCAAACCACCATCCTCAGATCTCAGCCTTCTGGGTAGTTAGGATTACAAGTGTGAACCTTCAGTGCCTGACTGAAAAATAATTTTAAAAGTGTGTGTACATGTGTATGTGTAGTTCATATGATAGAACACCTAGCTCAGCAACTTTAAAGTTCTGAGTCCAAACCCAGTACCATCAAAAGTCCTGACAAGAGCCCCTTTAGTTTTTGTTTTTTTTTGGGTCCGGTCATGGGGCCTGAACTCTGGGCCTGGGCCTGTCCCTCAGCTCTTCAGCTCAAGGCTAGCGCTCTACCACTTGAGCTACAGCACCACTTCCGGCTTTTTTCTTATGTGGTGCTAAGGAATCAAACCCAGGGCCTTGAACATGCAAGGCAAGTGCTCTACCACTGAGCCACCTTCCCAGCCCCCCCCTTTAGTTTTTTAAATAATACTGTTCATTGATCTTGCTTCATTTAACTGTACAAATTTTAGTCACACTTACTGTTAAGTCTAACTCTCTGAATTTAAATTTGATATCAATTCCCAGGCTGGAATGTGTCTCAGTGGTAGAAGGTAGGCATGAGGCCCTGGATTTGATCCCAACACCACATATTCACAAAAGAAATACCCTATTCCCATCCAGTGTATGAAATATTAAACACAACCAGGCATCAATATTTATTAACACAAGACAAAGGAAACACATTCAATGAGTTAATAGAACACTGTCCAGCCAGATGTTAAATTTAAAAATGTATATCTAGTCTAATTTCAAATAAATAAAAAAACTTTATACATAATTACATAGTACTATAGCTTGAATTTGACACGGGTAAATAACTTGACAGAAAATAAACAAAACAGCATTTAGGACTGAAAAAGTTATTCTTATATCTTTACAATCTCTTCCTCTGGACAAGTAACATGGTCCATCTACATATACCTAAACTGGAAATGTATGGATGGCAGAGAAAGGCTTATTGTGTGTTTGGAGTGCTGCAGCTTCTTACTCCAAATATTCTTGCTTTTACATCAAAGCAGATAACAAAAATAACACTAAGGCATAGATTATGTTGGAGTTTGAGGGTGAGGTGTTAACTCCTCATTGCTTTAGTCTAAAAGATTCCTGGAAAATTCAAAAAAAGTAACTTATTTGGCCAAGAGATTGAGCACCATGCCTGGGACAGAGACCTTAACAGAAACTAAGGCCTCAGGCCCTTTGTTGAGTCAACAAAAGCATTAAGCAAGCATTGCCCAGGAACTAAAGTTGGGAGACATATTCATAACCAAGACAGGTAATGGTCCCTAAACAGCCAAGGCAACACAACCACATGAGAAAAGGCTGTGGTACTGGGGGCACTTGGGAGCTTTGTGTGCAGGAATGAAAGACTGGATCACTTTGATCTAAGAATCCCCAGGTCTAGGAATTTTCCTAAAGAAATTACTTCCTGATCTACCCTGATCTACTTCTGAGAAACAGAAGGCTGTCCAGAAACTTCAGATCAAAAGTTGCTTTTGCAAGGAGTGGTGACACACAGGAGGCAGAGGCAGGACTGTGAATCTGTGGTCAGCCTGGGCTTCAATAGCAAGATCCTGTCTCAAAAAATTCTTTTTTCCTTCTCTTGAGATGGGGCTTGATGTTAATATCTGCCCCCCCCCTCCCATTTCCCTCAATATAAAACCTAGAATGTTTCAGAAGAGTGGAAAGCCAGAGGGCTTTATAGGTTTGCCTTCAGATACTTCTGCCACCAAGGTTCCACTTAATGTGGAAAGAAGGAGGGCACGGTATCATCAAGAGAAGTTTCTTTCCTTTTTTTTTCTGTTGAGACAGGCCTTCAGTCTGCAGATGACACCATAAACACCTAGCTGAGCAGACTTCTTTTTCCTCGAGGGATGCTTGGCTGACGAGATTTCCCCAAGGACAGTGCTCAGCTTTCATTCCTCCACTAGCACAGTCTGGTTTTGGGGGATAGTCAAAAGAAAAAAACCCAAAAAACCCAAGAGAACCAGCCATATGTCAGGAAGGGGTGGGGACAAGATAGAGGCCTGAGGAATGATAAAACTATATAGCCCTAAGTGACTGGGAGGTGGCCACACTCTGAGATGAGCTGTACTTGAAAGAATGAGCATGGGTCTACACTGTCCACTGTACTAGCCACCAGTCATACTTGCCTCCTGAAGACTTGAAATATGGCTAGTGTGAATTAAGATATGTTTAATAGACTAAATTTAAAAGATTAAATATAAAAAAGCAAAATATTTTAATTTTTACATTGATTTCACAATGAAACATTTTTGGTATTTTTGGTTAAATATATTAAAATTAGCACTACATGCTTCTTTTAAAAATGTAGTTACTGGGCTGGAAATGTGGCTTAGTGGTATGATGCTTGCCTAGCATGCATGAAGCCCTGGGTTCGATTCCTCAGTACCACAGAAACAGAAAAAGCTGGAAGTGGTGCTGTGGCTCAAGTGGTAGAGTGCTAGCCTTGAATCAAAGAAGCTCAGGGACAGTGTCCAGGCTCTGAGTTCAAGGTCCAGGACTGGCAAAAAAAAAAAAAAAAAAAAGGCAGTTACTAAACTGGGCACCAGTGGTGGCTCATGCCTGTAATCCTAGCTACTTAAGAGGCTGAGATCTGAGGATCTTGGTTCAAAGCCAACCCGGGCAGGCAAGTCCAGTGAGACTCTTATCTGCAATTAACCACTCAAAGACCAGAAGTGGTACTGTGACTCAAAGTGGTAGAGCGCTAGCCTTCAGCAATGAGCTCATGGGCTGTGCCCAGACCCCATGACCAACAGAATAAAAAAAAAAAAAGTAGTTACTAGAAAAATTTATATTACAGATGTTATGTGTCCCTAGATACAATCTTACTTGGAGTTTGTAAGAATTATCAGTCTGCCTATAATTTAGAATTTGGGGATTATGGAGACAGAACTATTTAATACCCAGACTCTCCTACTTTAATGAATCAGAAGTCATTTTAAGAGCTGAATGTAGGGATACAGGCCTATAATTCTAGCACTCAGGAGGCTGAGGCAGGAGGATCCCAAGTTTGAGATCTGCCAGGGCTTGTCTGAAAAACTGAACATGTGCCTGTGGTTCCACCTGTAATCCTAGTTTTGGAGAGGCTGAGATTGGGAGGACTGTGGTTCAAGGGCAGTCCAGAAAGAAGTCTGTGAGATCCCATCTCCACAGAGAGAAACTGGATGAGGCACATGCCTATGATCCCAGCAACAACAGGAATCCTAAAGTAGGCAGAAGTGGGAAAGCAGGATTCTATCTCAAATTAAGCAGCAAAAAAGAGGAGGCTCAAGTGGCAAAATACCAGCTCAGCAAGTGTGAAGCCCTGAGTTTCAAACCCCAGTACTAGAAAAAAGGGTAAAAAATAAAATAAAAAAACAAAGCTAGTTTTTAAGAACATTATCTCCCCCCAAATAATTAGGCTGTTTTCCTGTAAACCAAAGCATTGCTAGACACTAGGATTTCCCATTGTTTAATGGAAGTGCCTCTTCCCAAACATCCTAGAATCTCCTCAATCATGTGTGAATTAACTCCATCCAAAATGCTGAAAAAGAGATCTGAACTGGAAAGTGTCTTGTGGTCTTCCCTCAGTGGGAGTAAGTTTTGGGAGGAAAAGAGGGCTATGTAAAAGGGAGCCAGAAAGGGGCTCTGAGTCATGAGACTGTAAAGGCAGCCACGGAGTGCTGCCCTAGTGAAGAGTCTGGTTTTTGCTTTATAAACCTTATTTTCAGGGTAATTACAAGTCTTACAAATTGCTTAAAAACACATTTAGTTTACATGATGTTACAGTGGGGTAAATAATATGTATTAAAATAGTCTAAATAAATATTTACACAATAGATCAGAATGGGTCAAAGAGAACCATTCTGATTTAAAGAGTTAATTCTTTTAACTTTTGAGGTTTTCTTTAATTTTTAAAAATATTTCTGTAAGAAAAAAATAATAAAATTTAACTATGTTCAAATACATGAAGTGTTAAAGAAAAGAAACCAAGCCAGAGGCCAAACTCAATCATCCACTGGGCTTGGCCTGGGCACCAGTTATTTCAACAGCGTTCCTTGTGTACATCAGACTTCCCTATTTCAGCCCACACTGGCTGTTCTAGCCGCTCAACTGGTCAGTTGTGAGATGTGTGGCAATGTGGCCTTACAATTCCAGGTAAGAACTGACCCCATTGGCTTACCAGCCTAGCATTCTTGCTTTAAACTCCTGGCCCTTACTAAGGCCCTCATCAGTTTTCAAAAAAGAGAAGCTCTACTGTCCACACAATTGACAAAGGGCCTGGAAAAAGAGGAAACTCTTAAGTTCTCCTGTGTCACTTTATATATGAAAGTTTCAATTCTGGGGCTAGAGTGAGCTATTTTGATAGTTTAGAATAGGGTGGGATCTGATGAATCTTAGCTCTTTCTTAGACTTAATTTTTAAGTGAGTTTTTTTTAGTATACACAAAGTTGAATCCTTGAAGCATAAGCTAAATCTGAGAATGCAAGCTTGAAAAACAAACATAGGCAGCTTTAGTTTATAATCAACACCAGCCAACAAAGACAGAGAATGGTGTTCAGCAAAAGCTGCAAACAACCTGCACTTTTTAGTTACCTAATCAATTAATTATAATAAGAGAATATGGAAGTTCTCTACAAGTAGAAACGTTTCTACTTTGGTGGTTGTCATTATATAAGCCAATTCTTCCATTCTTTAGCTAAGCTATATGTATTTCTATTTACATGTTTCAAACACTGGTCAAATGTATTACAGCCCAGGATTAGATATGAATAGTAATCTCATATTCAGTGGGTTATTTGATTCACCTACAGGTTGCCTCAAAGTAAGCCAAGTAGTTTTGTGTTAACAAAACCCACAGAACATCTAGCTACATGAAAATGGCAAAATACAGTACAGAGTGGGGAACTGTGTAATCCAGACTACCCCTTCATGTGAATTCATTAAACTCCCTTACAAAAATTCTAAACCAGCATTAGATAAAAATACAAGTATGTACAACAGATGAAAAAAATGCAACATGCAAGTAACTGCTTTAGCAACGTGCTGTCCCTGCTGTGCCAAAGCTCAGGTCTACTAGACTCAACATGGTTTTCACTTGCTACCACAGAATTCCTCTTTCCTGTGTGTTGTATTACTGTAGAATCCCAAGGGACGAGATGAAGAACACGACGTAGCCAGCTCAGCTCATTTTGCGTCATTTGAAAGCTTGCTCCTAGCCATGGCTCTCCAGTCTCTGTGATTCTTGGGCTGGTTACATGTTGTAAGCTACGTAGATGGGGTCTAACTGGTCAGCAAGGAAGCTGTCGCGGAGGTGCATCCTCTGCTTCTCTCCTCTGGAGTTGATTGGGATAACACCCGGGTCCACGACAACCACAACACCAACGATGAGGTAATGCTCTTCCAGGACCACATTGGTCACCAAAGGAACCAGATCCAGGGCTTCCTGTTCAGAGCCACAAAGTTCTACAACCACCACAAGTAGGTTGGTCCACGTGAACACGGCACTGCAATTTCAATGACATTCAATTAACACTACCGATCACTTTTTACTAGTATTTCTCTTAAGGCTTATGCCCATTTCCCTGAAAAATGCTGTTTCTTCTAGATTTCAACCAGGTCAGCAGCCATGACAGTGCCCTGACAATCACAGTAATTATCTTGAGCTATCTAAAATCTCTTGAGAGTCTGGAAGTGGGATTCAAAGTTGTCAGCTGGTGTGAACTGAAGACATGTGCATCTGTAAGTTCTGGGTTGGCCAAGAGAGCAAAGATGCACAGGGATGATGCTTCAGAAAGGAGAGAACGAGGGAAGTGAATGCTCATATGGCTCCAGAAAGTATTCCTAATGACCTTTCAGTTCCTTGTTCCTACCTGTCCTGAAACCCATAGCCAAAGTCTTTTTGGACTGTTTAAGATGGCCAAGATTTTTTTCCATTCTTTCTTTTGTTTATTTTTTTTTGTGAATATTGTTTCTGTCAATACAACACAGAGTTTTCATTAAGGTAAGTTTCTTCTTTGTGTATGTGTGTGTGTGAACTCGGGGCCTAGGTGCTGTCCCTGAGCAGCTTTTTGCTCAAGGTTACCGCTCTCCCACTGAGCCACAAGCATCACTTCCAACTTCTTCTGAGTAGTTTATTGGAGGTAAGAGTCTCACGGGGCTGGCTTTCAATCATGATCCTCGGATCTCAGCCTGGCTAGGATTCAGGTGTGAGCCACCAGCACTGGGCCTAATATTCTTAAATAGTATCTGACCTCATACAAGCTGTTAGTGCTCCACAGAGTATATCCTCTATTGAGTAAAAGGGCCACATATACCCTTGAGTATGAGTGAGGTTACTGGGTTAGATTTATGACCTGATGTGATATACAATATTACACTGTTTTTTTTTTTTTTTAAAGTGATAAAAGAAGACTCTCACTGCTTTTCCCCTGACATTGCCAAGTTGTATGGAGGCAGAAGCCTGGTGTGCTCAAGATTCATCTTCACTGGTCATCCACTAGCATGGCAGAGAAGGGCATTGCTAGCAGAGGTATAATTGACATTACTACTTTACAAGAGGTGCTGCAGACCACCCTCAATGGCTGAGAAGTGCCTTAGACAAGTGCCAAACACATCTTTGTGTGCTTGCATCCAGCTGCAATGAGCTTATATATGTCAACTTAGTAGAAGCCTTTTATCCTTAACACAAACACGTCATTAACACTGATGAAAACAGTAAGTTAGGGGAATTGGCAGGCCTCTGCAAAACTGGCCAAGAAGGAAAAACACCTTAATGTGGTTGGATGCAGTTGTGTAGGGTTAAAGACTATAGTAATGAGTCTCAGACCAATGCTGTCATTGAAGATGACTTCAAATGAAAGATACAAAAACAAATATAAAAAACCAGTTCACGGGCTGGGAAGTTGGCTCAGTGGTAGAGCGCTTGCCTTGCATGCCTGAGGCCCTGGGTTCGATTCCTCAGCACCACATAAGCAAACAGAAAAAAGCTGGAAGTGGCGCTGTGGCTCAAGTGGTAGAGTGCTAGCCTTGAGATGAAGAGCTGAGGGACAGCGCCCAGGCCCAGAGTTCAGGCCCCATGACCGGACCCCCCAAAAACAAACAAACAAACAAACAAAAAAAAACCCAGTTCACTTGAAAAAGTGATTCCATTCAGGAGGCTGAGAACTGATGAATGAAGTTCCAAGCCAGTATGGGCAGAAAACTCTCAAGTCTCTTTATTTCCAGTTAACCAGCAAAAAACACTGGAGAGTAAAGTATGGCTCAAGTGTGAGCCATGAGAAAAAAGCCAGGTGGGTAGTCCTGAGTTCAAGTCCTGCTAACCAGCACCAAAAAAAAAAAAAAGAGCTCAGCACTGATGGCTCACACCTATAATCCTAGTTACTCAGGAGCCTGAAATCTGAGGATCATGGCTTGAAGTCAGTGCAGGCAGGAAAGTCCCTGAGATTCTTGTTTTCTGGGGGTGTTTATTTGGTGTCAGTCCTGGGGCTTGAGCACTGTCCCTCAGCATTTTTGCTCAAGGCTAGTGCTCTACCACTGAAGTCACAGCTCCATTCTGGATAATTAGATAAAAGTCTCACAGACTTTCCTGTCTCAGCTAGTTTGGAACCATAATTTTCAGATCTCAACCTTCAGAGTAGCTGGGATTATAGGTGTGAGCCTCTAGTGCCTGACTCTATGAGACTCTTATCCAATAAAAATTGAATGCCTAAAATTAGAGGTGGGAGTGGCACTTAGCTTCCCTACATGCTTTCTAGATACCTCTCTAAAGAGTTCTTGCCTTGTTCAGCCCTTTTTCAGGTCAGAGGAGATACTCTGAACAAAGCAAAAACCTCTTCAGAAAAAAAGAATATTTGAAAATAATAAACAACCATCAAAAAAAAAAAAAAAAAATGTGGTGGCTGGGCACCAGCAGCTCATGCCTACAATCTTAGCTACTCAGAGACTGAGATCTAAGGATCTCAATTTGAAGCTAGCCCAGGCACATAGTCTCCAACACTCTTATGTTCAATTAACTAGCAAAATGCTGGAAATGGAGGTCATGCCTCAAGTGGTAAAATGCTAGCCATGAGTGAAAAAGCTGAGCAAGAATAGGAGGCTTTACTCAGGCACCGGTGGCTCACACCTATAATCCTAGCTACTCAGGAGGCTGAGATTGAGGATCAAAGCCAGTCCAAGCAGAAAAGTCTGTGATACTAATCTCCAATTAACCCCCAGAAAACTGAAAGTAGTGCTGTGGCTCAAAGTGGTAGAACACTAGCCTTGAGGAAAAAAAGCCCAGGCCCTGAGTTCAAGTCCCATAACCAGGAAAAAAAAAGAGTGAAAGGCCTTGAAGTTAAGCCTCAGTGCTCTTACCAAAGAGAGAGAGAAAGAGAAAGAGAGAGAGAAAAAAAGGGGGTATTTAGTTCAGAAAAAAAAAAAAAACTGGGGATACACTGAATTAAACACAGAAAAGAAACTACATGGATTCTGTATAATCTAGAACTCAGGCCTCGTACTGGTGGCTCATGCCTGCAATCCTAGTTACTCAGGAGGCTGAGATCTGAGGATAGCAGTTCAAAGCCAGTCTGGGTAAAAAAGCCCATGAGACTCTTACATCCAATTAACCACCAGAAAATCAGAAGTGGCACTGTGGCTCAAAGTGGCAGAGACTAGCCTTGAGCAAGAGCTTAGGGACAACACAGTTTAAGCCCCAGACCAACAACAACAACAAAACAAGAACAAGAACCAAAAAAGAACTCAGCAAGGCCAAGTACTGGTTAGGTACTCAAAGTCTGACTGAAACATGAAGATTGAGCAGGAAAGTCTGTGAGACTCTCATCTACAATTAATCATCAGAAAGCTAGAAGTGGAGGAAGTGGTAGACTACTAACTGTAAGTAAAAAGGTCAAAGAGCGTGATGACTGATTTTTGCCACTACTTAAAGCTGAGGTAGGATGCAGTTTCTGTATAAGGACAATTACCATTCAGCAATGCTCCTGTGGATTCGAGACACTGAAGTCTCAATATCAATCGGGTGGTATCGTAATCCTCTCAGCTCCAGAGTTTCATCCAGAGCTCCCACCACATACAGTGCATCGTGACGCTCTGTCAGAAAGAAATAAGAGTTCAGACATATATTCACAACAATATAATGATGGAGTTAAGAGAAAACGATTTACACTAGGTGGTTCCAACTCCTAGCAATTGCATGACTTTTGGCAATTCCATAAGGCCCTGAATCCTGCCACCTACCTTTGTGAGAAAGGGATAAGAATAAATGTTACCATGGAAACTATATGAGTTAATCCTCACAAGATAGTTAATATGGTACATGGTACATTTTATATACTAAAAGAAGAGGTATTTAGCTGGGCACCAGTAGCTTACGCCTGAAATTCTAGCTACTCAGAAGGCTAAGATCTGAGGATCTTGGTTCATGCCAACCAGGGAAAGAAAGTCCATGAGAGTCTCATCTCTGATAAACTACTCAAAGTCAGAAGTGGAGCTTGGCTCAAGAGGTAGAGTACTAGCCTTGTGCAAAAGAAGCTCAGGGACAGCACCCAGGCCCAAGTTCAAGCCCCAGAACCAGCATTTAAAAAAAAAAAAAAAAGAAGAGTAACTATTTAATCCTAACTACTGAGGAGGCTGAGATCTTAGGATCATGGTTTGAAGCTAGTCCAGGCAGGAAAGTCCATGAGACTCTTATCTCCAATTAACTACTAAAAAGCTGTAAGTGGAGCTATGGTTCAAGTGGTAAATCATGCTAGGCTTGAGCAAAAAAGTTCAGAGACAGCATCCACGCCCTGAGTTCCCAGGACTAGCACAAAAGAAAAAAGAAAAAGAAAAGGAAATGAAAGAAAAGGAGATGAAAAGAAGATAGGCAGGCAGGGGGCTGGGAAGGTGGCTCAGTGGTAGAGCGCTTGCCTTGCATGCCTGAGGCCCTGGGTTTGATTCCTCAGCACCACATAAGCAAAAAAGAAAAAAAAACCAGAAGTGGTGCTGTGGCTCAAGTGGTAGAGCGCTAGCCTTGGGCTGAAGAGCTGAGGGACAGTGTCCAGGCCCAGAGGTCAGGCCCCACGTCTGGACCAAAAAAAAGAAGAAAAGAAGATAGGCAGGCAGGAAGACAGACTATCATTACTAGTATGTGCCATGAATTGTGCTAAGTGCTGGGTACAGAAAGATGACAAACACAATTTCCTGCTCTGAAGGTCTGGTTGGGGCGGGGAAGGGGGAAGACAAGTAGGAGTTCTATTATATGGCAATAAGAGCAGCAGCAGGACTACGAATGCGGTTTAAGGAAAGGGACATCCATGAGTCCTGCCTGAGGGCTCAGAGAAGCCTGAAAATGCTGAAGCTATAGATGAACTTTTATAAATAGAAATTAGCCAGATATGTGGCTAATTTATGGCTGGGGGTGAACAGCGAGAGAGAGGATCTGAACCTGAGAAACAATGAACATCACATCTGGTATCATCACTGAAGCTGTGAGGAACAGGATTACAGAATATGGAGACTGGGGCTGGGAATGTGTCTGAGTGGTAGTGCGCTTGCCTAGCATGGATGAAGCCCTGGGTTCGATTCCTCAGCACCACATAAACAGATAAAGCCACAAGTGGCTCTGTGGCTCAAGTGGTATAGTGCTAGCCTTGAGCAAAATAAGCTTAAGAATAGTGCCCACGTCCAGAGTTTAAACCCTAGGACTGGCCAAACAAACAAAAACAAAAAAACCATGGAGACTGGTCTAGCCAGGACATAGAAGGAAGGTGTTTTGCAGCTATTTTCTGGAAAGGATTGATTTCTGACAATTTTAGTAAGATAATATGGCAGATATATTCAGGAGAGAACAATCAGGAGGTCTAGCAGAGGTGCCTGTTGCCTGGGAAGACTTCATATAGAATAATATAACTGAAAGCAGAAATACGGCAACAATTAATAAGTGCTTTCTGGATTAGGTACTCTCTTGGCACCTAAATGTACCATCATTTCCACAAGGCAGGAAATATACTTGCTTTGATTTTCTAGGCAAAGAGGTGAAATAGCTACTCACAGTCAGTCAAGAATAGCCCATCAACCAGGACATCTAGTTAGAGATACCGCATTCACTGTGTTACCTGGCTTGTCCAGAAATTTGGACAAACAGTGCTGACTGCTCCTTGACGAATGACGTGGCCCAACTGAAGCTTTACAGTCCATTAGTATCAATGCTTTAGTGCCCATGACAATTAGTGCTGGGCAGTTTACAAAGACTGTTAATGCCAGTCAGGAAGACAGGCAGATAGCAGAGAAGCTGACAATCAACTGGGCATAGGATGACTGGCGGGAATCCTACACCACAACCTTGCTGAGAAGCAGGCTTGTATCCACTGTGGAAAGCAAGATCCCCCTCAGGATCCTTTATTCTACTTCCAAAATGGTAGACTGGGTAAAAGAGGAATTAAAAGATTTAACACCTGACCTGTCCCAGGAGCTTGTTTGGGGTTTGGAATCCACTACAGACTGACCGTCTCATTCATCCCAGGGTATTTATTCACTCTCAAACACATCTTTCTGGCTGCCCAGCAGTTCTAATATACCATCTGGGAACATAGACAGTAGTCTTTTTTTTTTTTGGTTGGTCATTGGGCTTGAACTCTGGGCCTGGGTGTTGTCCCTCAGCTCTTCAGCTCAAGGCGAGTGCTCTACCACTTGAGCCACAGTGCCACTTCCGGTTTTCTGGTGGTTAACTGGATATAAGAGTCTCGTGGACTTTCCTTGCAGGCTGGATTTGAACCGTGATCCTCAGATCTTAGACACCTGAGTAGCGCCCGGCTATGCAGTAGTCTTGAGTTTTTCCCTTCCCAAACGCCCCCTATGCATATGAATTCTCTATGGGTTCAAGAGGCACAAGAATGAACAATTATGTGCATACACTCCATACTCCTTAGGCAGGTGCAGGCAGACAATGAGTGCTACAGAAACCAAGTGAATGGAGAGTAGACAGGGGTGAGAGGTACCTCCAGTGGCTGCTGTGAGCTCAGTCCTGCGGACGAACCCAAGATATCCTGTCCGGGCCCACAGTGTTTGGGCAGCATCCCCAAAACTGAGGCGAGTGTTGAAATGATCAGCTTGGAGAGTCTCACTATCGTAGATGGTGTGGTAGCCGCTGGCTGTATGTGGGCTGTTTACCCAGACCTATGAGAAAAGGGTACTGGTCACATTCTGCCAGCAACAGAAAACTCTGTTGATCCAATTCTCTTGGGAAAGATAGATAATTCTGGGTTAAAAAAAATTAAAAAGCTCATTTTCATATTAACGACACAACCACAATATTAATGGAAGCTGACATTTACCAACTATTTACTGTGTCCCGAATAGGAAACAAATCAACCCAGAATGGGACACCATATTTCTATTCCCATTTCATAGGTGAAGAAAGGAGGAATCAAGTAATCTCTTTAAAATACAGGAAATAGAGGGGCTGAGAAGGTGGCTCAGTGGTAGAGCACTTGCCTTGCATGCCCGATGCCCTGGGTTCGATTCCTCAGCACCACATAAGCAAACAGAAAAAAGCTGGAAGTGGCGCTGTGGCTCAAGTGTTAGAGTGCTAGCCTTGAGCTGAAGAGCTGAGGGACAGCACCCAGGCCCAGAGTTCAGGCCCCACGACCGGACCCAAAAAAACCAAAAAATACAGGAAATAGGGCTTCTACCCAGGCTGGTTGGCTCCAAAGGCTGTACTGCCTCTGGCTTACTTATAACCCACTGCCACAGTCCCACAGATGCACCACAGCACCATTTTTTGTTTTTTGGTCAGTCGCAGGGCTTGAACTCTGGGCTTGGGCGCTATCCCTCAGCTCCTCAGCTCAAGGTGAGCGCTCTACCACTTGAGGCACAGCACCACTTCCACTTTTCTAGTGGTTTTATTGGAGAGAGTCTCACGGACTTTTCTGCCTGGGCTGGCTTTGAACCGTGATCTTCAGATCTCAGCCTCCTGATAGCTAAGATTATAGGCGTGAGCCACCGGTGCCTGGCTCCAAAGCACCATTTTTGTGTTTCTGGAATAACCATGGTTCTAAGCTCTAAAGAGACCCCACAGAACATTGCAGTTTACAATGTAAACAATAACTGACAACATACCATCATCAAGTAATTGTTAACTCCTAAGAGACCCTGATTATTTGCACTGCAGATGTAGGTATTAATGCATTTAAATTGTCACAAGCCAGGTGCCCATGGCTCATGCCTATAATCCTAGCGACTCAGGAGGGTGAGATCTGAGAATCTCGGTTCGAAGCCAGCACAGGCAGAAAAATTCCCATGAGACTCTTATTTCCAATTAACCATTCAAAAAAGTGAAGTGGTGCCATGGCTCAAGTGGTACAGTGCTAGCCTTGAGCACAAGGAGGCTCAGGGACAGCACCTAGCCCTACAACTGACTACCCCCCCGCCCCCACTCCAAAAAAAAATTTGTCACAACAATTCTACTCCATGTGAGGTATACCTGATTATCATCAATGGATAAGGAAATAGGCCCAGGGAGGTTAAGCAACCTTCAAAGCTGGTAACTGGCATAGCCCAGCTTAGCTGGCTCCTGTGTTTATAAGACTCCTCCCATTTAGGGTACAGGATCAGCATCCCTCAGACTTGGGGGAGAAAAGTGACCTTTTAGAGTATTCCTATACAAAATGGATATATTTTGCATAAATTTTGCCACTTTCAATTCCAGCCTTTAATTAAGTGGGAAAGAGGCACATGTGTCCAATTTCTTTTCCAAAGAAAGGGACAGCAGTATACAAGTCTGGAATAATTTCTAGTTTGGGAGTCTACACCTTCTCTTAATGCAGTCTCTTAATGCACCTTCCCAGCCCTAAAATCCTATTTTTTTTTTTTTGAGACAAGATCTCACTAGACAGCCAGGTTGGCCAAAACTCTCCATCCCCTGCCTCTGCCTCTAGACATTCAGATTCCAGGTGTGCACTACTATGCTTTGCTGAACACTTGTCTTTTGCTACTAAATATGCAAGTAAAAGTGAAAATGATACCTACCTCTCCTAAGTGAGAGTCTCCAACAGGCCCTTTAGTCTCAGGATTAACAATAACTACTTTCACTCCAGGTAAAATCTAAGGATCAAGAAAGAAATACAAATAAATGAGATCTAATGAACTCTAGGCAATGTGCCTGTACCTGGTAAGGATGTGGGAATGGCAGAAAGGCAGGAACTGAGTGAAACAGTTAATATAGTTAGGCCACCCTAACAGGGCATCTGCAGAGCCTGAAACTTCCTCAGTTCAGTGGAGACAAGAGATCTAGAAGTAAGACTTACTCTCATACTGAAACAGAACCAGTGTACCATCTCTACAGAGGGATTGGAAATTACTGACCGGTTATCACAGTGAGATATTGGAGGACAATTTAACCACACAGCCTTCCTTTCTTATGTCTCATTCCCAAACAATGTGAGCAGGGGGGAAGGACTGCCCACCAGCTTGGAGTTACAGAAACTGTAAGAAGGCAGCCTTGAAGAGCAACAGAGAGAGAATGGTAAGTTCCAGGGATCATCAAAGATCTTACAGTTCTGGAATCTTCCTCAAGAGCAAATGCTCAGATGCTAGCCAAGAGAAAAGTTGAAGGTTTACCAAAAGAAAGGCCTTGGCCTAGGTTGTGGTTAAGTGGTACAATGTTTATCTAGCAGGTTGTGCAAAGCCTTCTCCCCAGTTGTGGGGGAGAAGAGGAGAACGGAAGAAAAGAAATGAGAGAGACAAGGCTCTCTGGCTTTCTGTACCCTGCCCCCTTGAATCTTTGTTTTCCTTAGGTTTCTAAAGTCTGAGGTTATTCAGGGAAGCCCCATTACAATTATCTGGATTCAAATATCTACAATCTGGAGGAAGGAAGAGAAAAGACTGCTTGCTCCCTTTATTCTGGGCTCAGCCTTCATGGTAGTACTTCTGTTCCTAATTGCAGCCTATGATAAACCAAAACTCGATGAGGAAATATCCCCTCCTCCAAACAGTTCACAGGGCATGGAGTTAGCTCCCGGGGGGGTTGATAGCTACTGGAAAGTATTAGAAGGATTCCTTTTACTTCCTCATTTTTTCCATTTATTTCCTCATATTTCCTCTCTCTGCCCCTCAAAATTCTAGGAGGAATCTTGAGGCATAAATCATAGTCCCATTAAAGGGGGGAACTGGTGGCCATCACACTTATTAGCTGCTTCTGACCTCCCTGTTCTTTTACAAATCAAAACCACATTCTCACCAGGTACCTTTAAAAAAAAAGCAAGAATAATCTTTATTCCTTGAAACACACTGGTAAAAATGTTATCAGAGAGATGAAAAGACTCGGAACACATTTATACAGATGTAGCACATACTGAGGGTCAAAACATCTGCTAAAACAGACCACACCTATAAACAAATATCTTCGGAAGAGTTGTTGGGTGGCTGACTCCTTCTTCCACTAGAATATCTTAACCTATGGGCTACCTCTCAGCAGTATCTTTAATCCCTTCCCTAATTTGGCTTCCCTTTCCATTTTTTTTTTTTGGCGGGGGGTTAGTCGTGGTACTTGAACTCTGGGGCTGGGCGCTGTCCCTGAGCTCTTCAGCTCAACACTAGTGCTCTACCACTTAAACCATTGTGTCACTTCCAGTTTTCAGTTGGTTAATTAGAGATAAGAGTCTCACAGACTTCCCTGCCCCGGCTGGCTTTGAACCACGATACTCAGATCTCAGTCTCCTAAGTAGCTAGGATTACAGGTGTGAGTCACCAGCACCTGCTTCCCTTTCAATGTTTATAAGAACAAAACTGATTTGTGTGTACACCAGTGCCAGTATTGGTGGCTTGAATTCAAGGCCTCACACTCTTGCTTAGTTTTTTTTCACTTACAGTGGGAGCTCTACCACTTGAGCCATGCCACTAGTTTTAGTTTTTTGCTGGTTAACTGGAGGTAAGAGTCTCATGGATTTATGTGCCCAAGCTGGTTTCAAACTTTAATCCTTGGCTCCTAGCTTCGTGAGATCATAGGTGTGACTTAGCAGCAGCTGGGAAGAACTAGCTATTTGTCAAAAACAACATGCTAGGGGCTGGGAAGGTGGCGCTTGCCTCGTATGCATGAGGCCCTGGGTTTGATTCCTCAGCACACATAAGCAGAAAAAGCCGGAAGTGGCGCTGTGGCTCAAGTGGTAGAGCGTTAGCATTGAGCTGAAGAGCTGAGGGACAGCGCCCAAGCCCAGAGTTCAAGCCCTACAACCGACAAAAAAAACAAAAAATAACATGCGAGCTGGACATTGGTGGCTTATGCTTGTAATCCTAGCTACTCAGGAAGCTGAGATCTGAAGATTGCGGTTCAAAGCCAGCTGGGGCAGGAAAGTCTGTGAGACTCTTATCTCCAATTAACCACCAGAAAAGTGGAAGTGGTACTGTGGCTCAAAGTGGTGGAGTGCTAGCTTTGAGCACAAGAGCTCAGGAACAGTGTCCAGGCCCCAAGTTTAAGCCCCACAACCATCAAAACACAAGACAAGACAAAACAAACAACAAAAAAACCCCATACCCACTGGACTAGAAAAAGTCTATGAGGATTAAGAAAGTTTATTTGGGGACAAGGCATTTCATATTCCAGGAACAATATCCTTTTTTTTTTTTTTTTGAGTCCTACTGAATTTTGAATTCAAGGCTTTGTACCTAGCAGAAAGGTACTCTACCACTGAACCATACCTACAGCAAACAAGTCTAAACCTAGCATTCTTGCCTATATACCCACATACATTTGAAATTAATATTGGGTAAACCAAAATTGTTGAATTATCACCAGATTTAAGTCTTGCCTTAGACATGAGTATTTCATCTGGCCTTAGGCCTCTTTAAAGGGGCCCACTTCTCTGTATAGCCCACCCTTTCTAGCTGTCAGAAGTAAATACCTTTCCAGACTCTGAGAGCAGCAGACTCTGGGGGGCACCACGTTCCACAAGACGGACCCTGCAGAGGAACAGTAGTTAGTTTATGCTATGCAGAAATTTTTAAAAATCATTTCTAAAAATGATTTCTCTAGGTCTGCTCCCTCCCCAAAATCTCTAATTGGTGTCTCCTTCTCTTACTAGGGCAAGCATTCTCAGACTTAGCACTAGGGGCAGTCTGGGTTAGATGATTTTTTTGTTGTTGGTCTCTACCCACTAGATGTCAGTAGCAACCTCCTGCTGTGACAACCAAAAATGTTTTCCGGACATTGTCAAATGTCCTTGGGGTGTGGAGCAAATCTCTCCAGGGTGAGAACACTGCACAAAACATACCCGCCACCTGTGCAGGTGTGTGTGTGTGTGTGCTGCAGGTGTGTGTGTGTGTGTGTGCTGCAGGTGTGTGTGTGCTCTGCCCCCCCAACATCTGTCAGCCTGGGAAAAAGGTGCAGAGTTTCAGCCAGTGTTGGGACAGAATTAAAATTTCCTTCTCAGCTGAGGAAGCCAGGGAGGCAGGCTTAACCCATGGAGTTCTACAAAGTTATGTTTTAAAAACTCATCCCTCGTAATTTATCATTTATTTTTAAGCTCTCAAAAGAGATTATCCATTTTAGTTTATGTTAAATGCCACAAAAAAAAAAATTTTTTTTTTTGGGTCGGGTTGTGGGGCCTGAACTCTGGGCCTGGGCGCTGTCCCTCAGCTCTTTAGCTCAAGGCTAGCGCTCTACCACTTGAGCCACAGCACCACTTCTGGCTTTTTTCTTTTTGCTTATGTGGTGCTGAGGAATCGAACCCAGGGTCTCAGGCATGCAGGGCAAGCGCTCTACCACTGAGCCACTTCCCAGCCCACAAAACATATTTTTATACAGGAACATTTTACATATAAATTTTAATATCAAAGAACAATGCAACAACTGTGAAAAGTAATGCTTTCCTCTTTAGAAGTGAAAGTCCTATTATACAGCAATGATACAAATAAATTTCTTTTCTTTTCCTGGACCCTCCTAGAAGATAAAAACATAAACAAAATATGGGGAATGCTGGCTTTGAGAGCCAGAACTCTTTCGTTTAGGAAACCTAGGAAGGATTAAGCCTCATTGATGCTCCTTACCTGTCATGTCTTAATGACTTCAGATCTACGTATACAGTAGTTGGATCAGGCCCTGAGGTTCCCTAAAGGAAAAAACAAAAACAGCAACAACAATGAATTATTTATTTAAAATTTAAATAAACTGTCTTTCCATGCTCTACATTTTCAAATCAAGAAATAAGCAATATAGTCATATGTGTGAAGTATGTACTCAATTTTTAGGGAGGCGGGGTCCGTCATGGGGCTTGAACTCTGGACCTGAGCACTGTCCCTCAGCTCTTCATCTCAAGGTGAGTGCTCTACCACTTGAGCCACAGCGCCACTTCAGGTTTTCTGATAGTTTATTGGAGATAAGAGTTCATGGCCTTTCCTGCCCGGGCTGGCTTTGAACCATGATCCTCAGATCTCAGCCTCCTGAGCAGCTAGATTATAGGCATAAGCCACCTGGCTGCACTCAATTTTGAAAGTTCATCGTCTTCAATCAAGGATGGAGCCTTTAAATGTAATCAGCTTGTCTAACCTGGTAATCTCTTATTTCTCCCATTTTTACCCAGAGAACAGGAAGATCCTGTGCTCCCTCTATCACAGGCCTCACCTACTAACCCTTCACCTACCAGGAGGTAAGCCAGCAAAGCATCTCAGGGATTTTTCAAAATCAACATGGCCCCAGTTGATGGCACAGAGCCCCAGTGTGGTTAAAAGTGAAAATATGACACCTCCTGAAAGTCACTTGACCATGGTCACAGAGGACCCACCTCTACCCATCTACCCACTTAAGCCACCTTGTCCATGACTTGTCCATGACTGTTTTTGTCTAAGTAATCTCGAAACTGCATAAGCTCAGACTCTTTTCTGTTATTTACCCACCAAAAATAACATGGCAAAGTTGCCATCTGACTAGAAGATATACAGTCTTATATTTGTTGACAGAAAAACAGAAATAACCCAAATAAGGCTCGGATAGCTTCTTGGCTCATGGGCACAGAGTACAGCCTCATGATCAGGAAGAAGCATTTACACTGGTGCCTGTCTGCTAGCACTACTCCGAGTGCTCTGCCCTAGTAAAGTGGTGAATCTGCAAGAATCAATGAACAAAATGATATGAAGAACAGGAAAATTAAAAAAGCCTAACGTCTCACAACAAGTGAGCAGGGTCAGAGTTCAAGCTGTGGAGTCTAACTTTGAAGAAGTACATACTCTAGACTGGCCTGCTCTGAATCGGCCATATTCTTTTTCTGTCAGTTAGCAAACAAGAGTTCATGACATCACCTGTAAACATATTGCTACATTCACTCTTGATCCAAAAGTGGTGCTGACAGCCCTAGGGGACAGACCAATGTCTTTAAAGAGCTTGGAGAAGGACTGTTGGAGGGCAATGCGGGGCCGCTCCTCTGCCACCACTACACAGGTCCGGATGCAGGAAAGGTTGATTCCTCTTGTCTGTAAGGACAGAGCCAGAAGCTAAATTAGTGGAATCAGAAGAGAACAGAACAGGTGGGGCCATTGCTCTCACACTTTTTTTTTTTGGTTGGTTGCGGGGCTTAAACTCTGGGCCTAGGTGCTGTCCTTGAGCCACAGCATCACTTCCAGTTTTCTGTTGGTTAATTGGAGATAAGTCTCAGGGACTTTCCTTGCACAGGCTGGCTTTGAACCGTGATGCTCAGATCTCAGCCTCCTGAGCAGCTAGGATTACAGGCGTGAGCCACCACCACCCGGCTGCTCTCACTCTTGATCAGGAGAAAACAAGAAACTCTTTGTTTCACCCCAGACACAGAAAGGAAACAAGAAAATGCCAACTATTCTATTGAAAGTATTATCCATGGATGAATTTGCTCATTCTATTTTTTCTTTTTTTGTGCCAGGAGTAGGGCTTTAACGCTGGACCTGGGAGTCTCCCTTAGCTTTGACTAGAACTCTACCACATGAGCCACAGCTGTTCTAGCTTTTTTGGTGGTTAACTGGAGACTGGAGTCTCATAGACTTTCCTGCCTAGGCTGGCTTTGAGTCTCAATTCTCAAGAGCTCAGCCTCTTTAGTAGCTAGGATTACAGGAGTAAGCCTCTCATACCTGGCCTTTTTCATTCCTGACATCCTATTTCTCTACTAAAGAAAATTCAGGGGCTGGGAATGTGGCTTAGTGGTAGAGTGCTTGTCTAGCATGCATGAAGCCCTGGGTTCTATTCCTTAGTACCACATACACAGAAAAAGGCAGAAGATGGGCTGGGAAAGTGGCTCAGTGGTAGCATGCTTGCCTTGCATGCATGAGGCCCTGGGTTCGATTCCTCAGCACCACATAAGCAGAAAAAGGTGGAAGTGGTGCTATGGCTCAAGAGGTAGAGCACTAGCCTTGAGCTGAAGAGCTGGAGAGCTGAAGGACAGTGCCCAGGCTCAGAGTTCAGCCCCTAAGACTGACCAAAAAAAAAAAAAAAAGCTAGAAGAGGCATTGTGGCTCAAGTGGTAAAGCTCTAGCTATGAGCAAAAGAAGCTTAGGAACAGTGTGCCCAGACCCCGAGTTCAAGTCCTAGGACTGGCAAAAAAAAAAAAAAAAAATCCAGTATTTTCTGAGTTTCTCATATGACAGAAATATGATAAATAGAATAAATGGATACCACACGAATGAACTACCATTATCTCTGGGGCACCCTCCAATCTCTAATATTTTAAGGCCATTTTTATTTAACTTCCTAGACAGTTTTACTTTCTCCTCCACAAAGAATCAGATTAGACTTAGACAGTGCACTAAATTAGGAAGGAGGAAGAGTTAAACTTCCTGAGGTTTACAAAATACCCACTTAACTGTCTGGCTAGAAAAGGATAAAAGGCAGATAAGCATGTCTGTTAGCCTCTACTCCAGTATCAGCATGCCCTGGCTCAAATCTTTAAAGCCTCTTAGACTGCTTAGCTGTTGGGGCTGCTTCTTACCTTTAACACCTCCACTTGGTTTCCCAGCCCTTTAGTGCAAAGCTCCATTACTGAGTAGGAACAGAAAGTATCCCTTATTTTGTATTGATTGACGGTAGCAAGCCAGAGGAAAAGGTTGTTTTCTAACTCCATAGGAGGAATTAAGATGGACTGGTGACCTGAATATACACTGCAAAAAAGAAAGGCAAAAACTGATGTTATCAACTCATCCTAGACACCTTGATGTTTTAGAATATTACTAACAAATGTTTACTGAATAGACAGCAGAAAAATCACATTAGACACAAAGGTCTTAAAAACTCAGTCTTGTTCTTTCACAACTCACAAGACACAGTAACCATAAAATAAAGCAGACTGTGGTAGGTGTACTAAATGTGAATGAAGGATACTGAGATCACAGAATAAATAGCAATTCATTCAAACTGAGAAAGGAAGGGGCTTCATTCAGCAGGACTTGAAGAATCTAAGTGACTGGAAGATGTGGGGTTTGGGAGAAGGAAGAGAAACAGTGGCCACAAAGCAGAGTATGTAAGGCAACTGAATGCTTCACTACCTTTCTTTTTTAGGTCAATTGAGTTAACAAGGTAGGAAGGAGGAACATCTCACAGAACAATGTAAAAACCCAAACATCACACTATGAACCACAAAGGTGTCTAGTTTTGTTTTTGTTTTCGTTTTTTTTTTGGTTATGGGGCTTGAACTCTAGGCCTGGGCACTGTCCCTCAGCTCTTCAGCTCAAGGATAGTGCTTTACTACTTGAGCCATAGAGCCACTTCTGGCTTTTTCTACTTATGTGGTGCTGAGGAATCAAACCCAAGGCTTCATGCATGCAAGGCAAGCACTCTACCACTGAGCCACCTTCCCAGCCCCTTAAGTACTTATTTTTGAGACAGGGTTTTCGTTATCTCAGACCTTGAACTCACAATCCTTCTACTTTAGCTTTGTATTTTACCATCTAGGCATGTTCCACCACAAACAATCTATCTACTTTTCTTTTCTTTTTTGTGCCAGTACTGAGGCTTGAACTCAGGGCCTGTGTGCTGTCCTTTAGTTTTTTTGCTTAAGACGAGCACCCTGCCACTTGAACCATAGCTCTACTTCTGGCTTTTTGGTGATTACTTGGAGATAAAAAATTTAAGACTTTTGTGCCTGGGCTTGCTTTGAACTATGCCCCTCAGATCTTAGCCTCTTGAATAGCTGGGTTTCTTTCCTTTTTCTTCTTTTTCTTTCTCTCACCTTCCCTCCTTTCCTTTCATTTTCCCCCCCAGGGGGCAGTATTTGAGGCTTAAGCTAAGGGCCTCGAGTTCTCATTTGCTTTCTTTGCTCAAGGCTGGCATTTTACCAATTGACTGCACCTTCACTTCTGGTTTTTTTGTTGGTTAGTTGGAGTCTCTCAGATTTGCCTGCCCAGGCTGGCTTCAAACTGTGATTCTCAGATTCTCAGCCTTCTAGGTAGCTAGGATTACAGGTGTTGAGTCACCAGCATGACTGTTTTTTTCTAAGATCTAGGAATGATTCTTTTGTACAGAAGGTAGAAGAACAAGCGAGCTAAAGAACTTGACAATTAACTGAATAAAGATGCAGAAGTTAAAGATAATGCCTGAATTTCTACTTTGAAGTCCTTCAATTGAGGGGGGTGGGGGGAAGGAGCTCTGGGAAGCCTAGGCCCAGAGTTCAAGCTGCAGAACTGGCAAAAAAAAAAAAAAAAGGAGGCTGCTGAGTTACCAGCATTGGTGAAGCATTATTCATCTTATCTACCCAGGAGGTGAAAATGCAACTGCAGGCTGTGGAAAGAGCAGTGACCTGCTAGTCCTTCCCCAGTAAATCGACCAGGACAAACATGCTACTCTCCAGCCACATGCTGTCATCCATTCCATCATGTTCCTTCCTGCCAAACCTAGGGGGTACATTCTGGCTGTCAAAGCATGTCATATTTCACCCAAGAATCATCCTTCTACTTGGATCAGTTTCTAAAACAAAGATTAGAAGATGGAGGAGTGAGCAGGTAGGTAATAGGATCGGTGCCATTTTGTATATGATACGTGACAGAAGAGGAAAAAAGAAATATAGACCAAATGAAAAATAACAGAAATGGATAAAGTACATAAATACTAGGAATAATGGCATTTTACTAAAATTTTACCCAATTAGGAGAGCAAAGGTTGACAGAGTTATAGATCCAAAGTATAGCCATACGTTCTTTTTTTTTTTTTTCTTTCCCCATCCCTACCTGCAGAGACACCAGAGTGCAAAGCCAAGTCCACAGTAAGGGTCAAGGCAGATGGCAATCTGCCGAGAGGAGTACAACTCACACTGGAGCTTGATGGCTCTACAAAGAGCATTAACTGCAGAGTGGGACATCTGCAAAATAAGGAATATGGAACAGGATGGAACTGGCCTCTCATAGGCAGAGAAACAGCTATGACAGATTTCAACTCCCCAAACTCAACTGATATATAAATTTGACTCCCTTAATCTAATCTAAACTTAGGCAATAAATTTCTATTCATAGTTAATACTTAATTTTATGGCCTATGAACCTATGAGCACATATTGACTTTAACTACAACTCTTATTATCTGATAGTACATTAGGCTCCAACACTTCATAATACAAATTCCTTGGGATATCTTACTCCGGAAGACCTAATGCTTTTTTTTAAATATAGCAAGGGCTCTTGATCCTCCACCTACTAGCCTCTAGTCCACCAGCTGGCTGCTATATCTAAAGTCCTGGAACAGTGGTCATCTCTATTTATTGCAGCCTGGCATTCTACTAGCACTCAGTGAGAAACTCTACTTTACCTTTACTCCTGTAAGCATGCCAGTTGTAGAGACACTAAAATCAAGATATGCCAACATTTCAGGAGTGGGTGGCTTATACAGCTGAGGTAACCTTTTCCTGGGTAAATCATCTGTAAGGAAAAAAATGGATGTCAATCAGATATACTGGAATATGAATTTGTTTGCTCTTTAATTGGTTTTCTAGGCCAAATTTAGCTTCAGGATTTGTGAAAGCTTGGACTTCTCATATTTAACAAAGCAGCCCACAAACATCACTATTAGAGGCAGGCTGGGGGCAGGGACATGAAGAGACAATAGGGACATAAAAATCTACATCAAGCAAATTCATTTAATAGAAGTAAGGGTAATGAACCACAGTAAGAAGACTGCTACTGCTTAAATCCTAGCTCTGTTTTTTATTAGCTATAAGACTGTGGAGTTGTCTCACATTTATTTCTCTTTATTGATTTTTCTTTCCTTTTTTTTTTCTTCTCTTTTTGTCGGTCATGGGGCTTGAACTCTGGGCCTGGACACTGTCTCTCAGCTCTTTAGCTCAAGGCGAGCGCCCTACCACTTGAGCCATAGCATCACAGCATTTTCTGGTGTTTAATTGGAGAGAAGAGTCTCATGGACTTTCCTGCCCAGGCTGGCTATGAACCTTGATCCTCAGATTTCAGCCTCCTTAGTAGCTAGGATTACAGGTGTAAGCCACCAGCACCTGGCTTGGTTTTTCTTTAAAATGAAACTTACCATCAAAGAACTACTAGGAGTTAATTTACATAAAGTGAGGATACTTAGAAAGCAGGAGAGACAGCAGAATTTTTTGTGTATATGTGTATGTGCCAATCCTATGGCTTGAACTCATGGGTTGGATCCAGTTCCTGAGCTTGTTTGGGACTATTACTGGAGCCACAGCTCCACTTCCAGCTATTTTGGTGCTTAACTGGAGATAAGAGTCCCAAGGACTTTCTTGCCTAGGCAGGCTTTGAATAGGAGATCCTTAGATTACAGGCTAGAACCACTAGTGCCTGGCCAAGAGACAGCAGAATTTAAACCTTGTGTATCAGGCTCCAAATCTCATAACCTTTCCTATTCAATCTATTCTTATCTTTAAAAAAAATAAACATGTAAACAGCACCTGAATTCATGCACATTGTATTTTCTTTTCTTTTTGCTGGTCCTAGGGCTTGAACACAGGACTTAGGTGCTGTCCTTGAGACCCTTTGTGCTCAAAGCTAGCATTCTACCATTTAAGCTGCAGTGCCATTTCTGATTTTTTTGAGTAGTTTACTGGAAATTAAGAGTCTCCCTGGGATGTTTCTGTCCAGTTGCCTTCAAACCCAGATCCTCAGATCTCAGCCTCTAGAGTGGCTAGGATTATAGGCGTGAGCCACCAGTGCTGGGCTTATTTTACCCCTAAGTGCTGTCTCTTAGCTCTTCAGCTCAAGGCAGGTTGTCAAGTTGTCTACCACTTGAGCCATAGTGCCACTTTCAGTTTTTCTGAGAGATTAGAGTCTCATGGACTTTCCTGTCTCGGCTGGCTTTGAATGGGGATCCTCAGATCTCAGCCTCCTGAGTAGCTAGGATTACAGCTGTGAGCCACTGGCACCCGACTTTATTTTTCTTTTTTCTTGTGCTTGTCCTGGATTTGAATTCAGGGCTAAGGTGTTGTCCCTGAGCTTCTTTGCTAAAGGCTAGCACTCTACCACTTGAGCCAATTGAGCTCTACTTCTGCCTTTTTTTTTGGGTCCGGTCTTGGGGCCTGAACTCTGGGCCTGGGCACTGTCCTTCAGCTCTTCAGCTCAAGGCTAGTGCTCTACCACTTGAGCTATAGCGGCACTTCTGGCTTTTTTTCTTATGTGGTGCTGGGGAATCGAACCCAGGGCCTCATGCATGCAAGGCAAGCGCTCTACCACTGAGCCATCTTCCCAGCCCCACTTCTGGCTATTTTTGTGTGTTTCTTTTTTTTTTTTTTTGGTAGTGGCGTTTGAACTCTGGGCTTGGGCACTGTCCCTGTGCTCTTCAGCTCAAGGCGAGCGCTCTACCGCTTGAGCAACAGCACCACTTCCGGTTTTACAGTGGTTTATTGGAGATAAGAGTCTCACGGAAGCCGGGCGCTGATGGCTCACGCCTGTAATCCTAGCTACTCAGGAGGCTGAGATCTGAGGATCTCGGTTCAAAGCCAGCCCAGGCAGGAGAGACTGTGAGACTCCTATCTCCAATAAACCACCAGAAAATAGGAAGTGGCTTGTAGCGCAAGTGGTAGAATGCTGGCCTTGAGCTGAAGAGCTGAGGGACAGCACCCAGGACCAGAGTTCAAGCCTCATGGCCGACCAAAAAAAACAAGAAAAAAGAGTCTCACAGACTTTTATGTCCCGGCTGGCTTTGAACTATGATCCTCAGATCTCAGCCTCCTGAGTAGCTAGGATTACAGGCATGAGCCACCTGCACCTGCCCGGCCTTCTGGCTTTTTTTAAATGCACATTATGTTTTTCAAATGCAATTTTTTCAAATGCAGTATTTTCAAATGCAATGCATTTGATCTTCTCAATAAATGTACAAATCAAGTAGGATAATCATTCAGGGTTACATGGGTACATAGCATAAGGTTCAAGCTAGAACTCAAATCTTCTCAGTCTAGCTGAGCGTAGATGGCTCACGCTTGTAATCCTAGCTACTCAGGAGGCTGAGATCTGAGGACTGCAATTCAAAGGGCAGGAAAATCCGTGAGATTCTCTTCTTTTTTTTTTTTTGTTTTTTGAGTCCGGTCATGGGGCCTGAATTCGGCCTGGGCGCTGTCCCTCAGCTCTTCAGCTCAAGGCTAGCGCTCTACCACTTGAGCCACAGCGCCACTTCTGGCTTTTTTCTTTTTTGCTTATGTGGTGCTGAGGAATCAAACCCAGGGCTTTGAGCATGCAAGGCAAGCGCTCTACCACTGAGCCACCTTCTCAGCCCTCCGTGAGATTCTTATCTGCAATAAACCACCAGAAAACAGGAAGTGGCACTGTAGCTCAAGTGGTAGAGCGACAAAAAAAAGTGGTAGACCGAGACAAAAAAAAAAGGAAGAAAGAAATAAAGAAAAGAAAGTCACGAGCCAAATATTCTCAAGATTATACATAAAGTATATATGTAATGGCCACATGTGCATAAAAAAACCTACTTTTTTTAAGGCACAGTCTCACAATGTAAGTCAGGCTGGCTTGAACTCTCACCTCAGCCTAGAATAATGGGATTATAGCAGGTAATACAATGCCTACCAACATTGTTTAGCATGCTGGCTGGAGCCCATAATCTTAGCTACTTGGATGGCTGACTAGAGGATTAGCCCAGGAAAGAAGTTCTTGAGGTTCCATTTCAACCAAAGGTTGAACCTGATGTCACACACCTATCATCTCCATCAATGACAAGGAAGCACAGTAGGAGAATTACAGCCAAGGCAGGCCTAAGCATAAAGCAAGACGCTATCTTGAAAACAACCAATACAAAAATGGGCTGGGAGAATGGCTCAAGTGGCAGAATATCTACCAAGCAAGCAGTAGGCCCTAAATTCAATCTCCAGTATTTAAAGAAAAAAAAAAATCCAAGCCGGGTGCCGGCGGCTCACGCCTGTAATTCTAGCTACTCAGGAGGCTGAGATGTGAGGATCGCGGTTCAAAGCCAGCCCGGGCAGGAAAGTCCGTGAAACCCTTATCTCCAATAAACCACCAGAAAACTGGAAGTGGCGCTGTAGCTCAAGTGGTAGAGCACTCTCCTTGAGCTGAAGAGCTGAGGGATAGCGCTCAGGCCTAGAGTTCAAGCCCCAGGACTGACTCCCCCCCACCCCCCCAAAAAAAAAAAATCCAGTAACAACAACAAAAGCACTTCATGCATAGATGAGCTGGTTCTTAGATCTGGTTGTTACTGGAAGCACAAGTTAACTGGATAGATACTAGGTTTTGCCTGTGCCTTAGCAGACAGAACGTGCTATTGACAGAAAAGCTGTGTAAACAGGTTTGGCATAAGAATCTAGGAAACCTCTGGTAGCAAATGTTCTTGTTTCAACAGCTCTGGTAAGTCTCCTTTTTACCTGTGTCAATGATGGTTGGCCAGGTTTTCACATCCACAGCTGCTGCCGCCTCTCGGGACCGTAACAACCTCATTAGGGTCTGAGTGGTGAGAATACAGGCTGCTTTGCTGACCTAGAAAACACATGGATGGCAATAAATATCAGGAGGCTTAGCTCTAGCTGCTGCTAACAGCAACCTGCACAACATACTGGAACAGGTAGGCTCTATCTGTTTTTCAAAAAACAAGTTCAGGTTCTTTTTTCCTTCTGAAAGTACAATGCTTCATTCTCTCAGGGTGAACTTAAAAAAAAAAATCATAAGTGGGGCTAGGAAGGTGGCTCAGTGGTAGAGTGCTTGCTTTGCATGCATGAGGCCCTGGGACCAATTCCTTATCACCACATAAGCAGAAAAAGCCAGATGTGGTGCTGTGGCTCAAGTGGTAGAGTGCTAGCCTTGAGCTGAAGAACTCAGGGACAGTGCCCAGGCCCAGAGTTCAGGCCCCACAACTGACAAAAACAAACAAACAAAATAAACAGCAAAAAAACCATCATGAGCCACAATGTTTACAATAATTCTCAAATTTTTCAGAGTTCTACCCTCAATACCATGATTTCTGGAAGACCAGAATAAACCAAGATATGGATTCTGTAATGTTTAGGGAATGAAAGGAGACAGATAAGCTTGTTCTGGAGTTGGTGTTTGCCATCCTAGTGAAGGAAAATCTGACCAGACCTAAAGTGTACACTGATCCCAGGAAAGAGGCAGCCAGAAGCTACCACAGGAACAGCTCTACCTAGCTACACAGAGAAATGCAAAGTGACCTACTTTTACCCACAAACTGTGTCAACAGAAAGAAACTCCCCTCCCTGCTCTTCTGGCCCACTTTATAGGGTCTAAAAAGGGCATTTTGCTGAACTTTGTAATGAAATCATCTACAGTGGACATGGCTCTTATGCTATAGGCTCAAGTTATTGACAGAGCAACAGTTCTGAGAGAAACAAAGGTTACGTAATTCAGATTTTGTAACTCTTTTTGTACAACCAGTCAACACTAACTTAAAAGTACATATGTTTATGATGCAATACAGACTTAGCCTGTTTCAATTCTCATATCCTGTTAAAAAGTTGTAGCACCCCCACAACAGATTTGGATTTTCTTTTTTGGTAGTGCTAGGTGAGATCAAACCCTGAGTCTCTCATACATGCATGCTAAGCAAGTACTCTACCACTGAGATACATCTCCAGTCTGGACAGCTTTTAATCCTACACAAGAAATTTACAAAACTAGTCAAAATAGAAGGGAGAACTCTGATGGAAATGGGGGATTAGCACATAAAATTATCTCAATTACAAAGCAGGAAAAAATCAGACTTTTAAAAAAATTTTTCATTGTTTAATGATTATTATAAAGGTGATGTACAGAGGGTTTACAGTTACATAAGTCAGGTAATAAATACTTTTTCTTTTTGTCAGTCTTGGGGTTTGAACTCTGGGCCTGGGGACTGTCCCTCAGCTCTTCAGCTCCAAGACTAGTGCTCTACTAGTTGAGCCACAGCACCACTTCCAGTTTTGTGGTAGTTTATTAGAGATAAGAGTCTCAAGGACTTTCCACTTTCCTGCCCGAGCTGGCTTTGAATCTCGATCCTCAGATCTCAGCCTCCTGAGTAGCTAGGTTTACATGTATGAGCCACTGGGACCCATCTTTCCCCCCCACCTTTTTTTTTTGGTGGTTGTGGGGTTTGAACTCTGGGCCAGGGTGCTGTCCCTGAGCTCTTCAGCTCAAGGTGAGCACTCTACCACTTGAGCTACAGTGACACTTCCATAAATACATTTCTTTTTGGACAATGTCACATAGACATGTTTTATGGTGAGTTACTAATAATTGTTCACCTTCTTTGTGTTTACATTTAATGCATATAGTTCTGTGTCTCATCAATAACTACTTTGTCACAGTTTCTACACTTAATAATGATGGTAACATGGGCCAGATTAAAGAAAAGATTATTTTTAGGAGAAAAAAACTGAGTAAGCTAGGCATTGGTACAATAAATCTAGCTCCCCAGGAGGCTGAAATCGGCTGGGTCATGGTTCTAAGACAGCTAGGGCAGAAAAGTCTGCAAGACTCCATATCTAAGTAACCAGCAAAAAGGTTAGACTAAAAGTGTGACTCAAGTGGTAGAGCACTAGCTATGAGGAAGTACGCTGAGTGAGCTTGTGGCCCAAATTCAAACATTTTCTTAAAAAACTGACTTCTTGCTGGGCACCGATGACTCATGCCTGTAATCCTAGCTACTCAGGAGACTGAGATCTGAGGATGGAAGTTCAAAACCAGCCCGGTCAGGAAAAGTCCATGTGACTCTTATCTCCAATAAACTGCCAGAAAACCGGAAGTGGCACTGTTTCAAGAGATACAGTGTTTGCCTTGAGTTGAGGAGCTGAGGGATAGCATCCAGGCCCAGAGTTCAAGCCCCGTAACTGACCAAAAATAAATAAATAAATAAATAAAATAAAAAATTGACTTCTTAACAAAACTGGAAAATTGTTAAAGATCCTTCATTGTTTCAATATGGGTTTTATGACATGAGGACAAAGAAAGCTATAGATGTACTTACATCAACAATCATTCGAACAGTGGGCAATGTGGCAGTAAGGTTCTGAGCATGAGGAGGCCGGACAGTCACAGGTATACAGCCCGCATACAGGCAGCCATAGAATGCAGCAATTAACTCAATGCCTGTAAGACAAGGGTCCTGTCAGGAAGAGTCAACTGTTCTGTATCAATAAGAAACTAGATGCAGTCTGAAACCAGTGTATTAAATCACAGGCTAGAGGATTATTCAGACTGTAATTTAATGACATCCTGGCAGAAGAAATTTTTTAAAGAGAAATTTAAGGTAAAGAAAACACCTAAGGATATATAAGAATATATAGAAGCAAGGCATCAATGGCTCACGCCTGTAATCCTAGCTACTCAGGAGGCTGAGATCTAAGGATCAAGGCTCAAAGCCAGCCTGGGCAGGAAACTCCGTGAGACTCTTAGCTCCAATAAAACATTCAGAAAACCAGAAGTGGCACTGTGGCTCAAGTGGTAGAGCGCTCGCCTTGAGCTGAAGAGCTGAGGGATGGCACCCAGGCCCAGAGTTCAAGCCCTACAACTGACAAAAATAACTAAATAAATAAAATAAAAATATACATACATATGTATATATAAGTATGTATATTATCACTAAGAATGGATAAGAAGGAAGGAATCAGAAATAAACCCTTGAAAAATACTTGAAAATAAGCATGTTAATAAAGTAGGCATGTTAATAGCAATACTTGTCATTACCTAGAAAGAAATAGGTGCAGAAATCACTAATGCCTTGCAAGGAAAAAGGATACAGAAAGGAGAGATAAAAATCCATCTGAGCTTCTTTAAATGTTTTAGAGTGATACTTTTTTATTGGTCAGTCCTAGGGCCTGAACTCAGGGTCTGGGCACTGTCCCTGAGCTTCTTTGTGCTCAAGGCTAGCACTCTACTACTTGAGCCACAGCACCACGTCTGTCTACAAATATTTTAGAGATTGCTATAGGAAGAGCAACTGCACTTCTCAGCTGTTCTATCATAAGTGAGTTTTTGGGAGGCAAAGTCCATCTCCATGTGAAGGCTGGGTTAGGCCTCCTCAGGAAGGGATTTGGCCAGTTACCACTTCATTAACTGATAGATGGAAGACAGTTTCACAGGAACATGGCAGGAGAGATTCCTATACCAGATGATCTAGGAAGTCTTGGTATCCATGCAAATAATATAGCACAAGAATCCTCATGTAATCACAAGGAGAAATGGATAAAAGATCATGTCACTAAGCAAAATGAAGCATGAAGTTTCGTAAAAGGCCAAAGCAATCAAGATGTGTGTGTGTGTGTGTGTGTGTGGCGGGGGGTCAGGGGGTTAGGTGGCAGAAAGAATAAAAGAAGCAAAAATTCTTATTCTGTATCTGAAATGTTCAGTATTTACTAAGCCTGTCTTCCTAAGAGGAGAGAGATGTGGCTGGATGAATCAGAAAATAAAAAACGTGACAGATGAAAGCAGGAACAAGAGGACTGAACATCTATCAGGATGTGAAGGATGCTAAGTCAACAGAGTTCACAGAACTGGGTGAAACTGTCTCTCTCCTGAATATTCTACAAATACAGCATTTGTACATTTGTTATGGTGCTGTGGAATGAACCCAGGGCCTCATAAGCATGTTTTTTACCACTGAGCTAAACCTTTATTCCAGTCCACTGTCCATGTTACCGGCACCCTCACCTACCACAACTTTTTTTAGCCATTATTTAGATTTAAACTCAGGATCTCATACTAGCTCAGCTTGCTTGGTTGGCTGGCATTTTACTACTGAGCTATGCTTCCAGCCATGTGTGTGTGCGTCTGTGCTTGCATGCGTGTGCGTGCGTGTGTGTGCGTGTGTGTGTGTGTGTGTGTGTGTGTGTTAGTATTAGGGCTTAATCTAAGGGCTTTGCACTCTTGCTTAGCTTTTTCTCTCAAAGCTGGTACTCTACCACTTGAGCTATACCTCCATTTCTGGCTTTTTTGTCAGTGATGGGTCTTGAACTCTGGGCCTTGGTGCTGTCCCTGGGCTCTTTAGTTCAAGGCAAGTGCTCTACCACTTGAGCCACAGAGCCACTTGTGGTTTTTTGGTGCTTAACTGGAGATAACAGTCTCTCAGATGCTCCTGCCTGGGCTGGCTTTGAACTGTGATCCTCAGATCTCAGCCTCCTGAGTAGCTAGGATTACAGGTGTAAGCCACTGGTGCCTAGCCATATCTGGCTTTTTTTCTGGTTAACTAGAGGTCTGGTTAAGAGTCTTTCAGACTCTTGTCTGCCTGGCTTCTAACCTAGTTCCTAAGATCTGGGCCTCCCAAGTAGCTATCATTATAGGTTTGAGCCAAAGCACCCAGCTCCAGCCCTGCTTCGTGCTGATTATTTGTGGAGATGGAATCTTGAGAACTTTTCTGTCCCAGATGGCTTTGAACTGTGATTCCTCAGATAGATCTTAGCCTCCTGGGCTAGCGAAGATTAAAGGCATAAATATCAGTGCCCAGATCACCCTGTCCAACCTGCTTTTCTAAAGGACAGGATGTCACTGTGTTTCTCAGGCTGGCCTTGAACTCCTAGGCTCAAGTAATCCCCTTATCTCAACCTCCTAAGTAGCTGGGATAATAGATGATTGTTGCCATGTCCAGATTCAGAGTATGTTTTGAAAATGCTCTGGAGGCAAAAGTCAGGTAGCTGAAGTACTCATTTCCTTAGTCATTTATTCATTCACTATTTACTGAGTGTCTTTTTATTTCTTGAGACGGTTTCCTTAGGTTGCTCAGGTTGGCCTTGAACCTATGAGCTTCCTGTCTTGAGTGTTGGGATTATAGGTATATACTACCACACTCAGACTAGTCATTGTTTTTTATGCACCAGGTACTGATAATGGAAATTTAAGTAAGTGAAAGCAAGGCATATACAGTCCTAGCAGAGCTACTGCACTATACAACTCTGAGGGATACAGCCTGGTTCAAACCTCAACCAATGTGCACAGAGCTCTTGTTATTAGCTTGTGTGAAGTCTGTATGATTAATAGAAAGTGGCCCTGCTGGGCGCTGGTGGCTCATACCTGTAATCCTAGCTACTCAGGAGGCTGAGATCTGAGGATCATGGTTCAAATCCAGCCTGGGCAGGGAAGTCCATGAAACTCATATCTCTAATAAACCACTAGAAAACTAAAAGTGGCACTGTGGCTCAGTGGTAGAATGCTCACCTTGAGCTGAAGAGCTCAGGGATAGCGCCCAGTATCAAAGTTCAAGCCCTACCACTGACAGACCAAAAAAAAAAGAAGGTGGCCTGGAGTTACTTGGAGTCTATGGTACCACATTGTTTTTGGTTTGGGCTATCTGTTACTCTGACAGTATTCTTGTTTGCCTCTTTCCCCCCACCCTCAGTGTCCTATGTATTATTTAGAAGCCAGAAAATGGTTGGAAGAAAAGTCATGAAAACAAGACTTAAAAAAAAAAAGTCATGGCTTGAGTGGTAGATGGCCTGTCTAACAAGTAAAAGCCCTGAGTTCAAACTCCAGTCTTATTTTTTTAAAAAAAAGCTTGGTGTACCAATCTAATACTTACCAGGTGGGTAGAGCAACACCACATTGTCCCCTGCATTTAAATGTCCCTTGTCACCAAGAACAGATGCAATCCTCTCGGCTCGCTTGTGAAGCTGAAGGCAGCTGGCAGTGCACACAGTGGTTCCCTTGTAATGGAAAGGACAAGTGGGTCGGAGTTGAGTGAAGAATTATGGGGGATGGTCAGCCAGTCTGATGACCTGCCCTAAACCCTTCTGCTTTGCTTGATGACCTTTCAGAAGTTAGTAAGAATTTCTTTAGCATCAAAAGACAGGTGGAGAATTTCTTTTCTTTTTTAATGTTTCTAGGTATTCAGGATATATTAACATTAACTTTAAAAGGCCAGGCACTGTGGCTCACACCTGTAATCCTATTTACTCAGGAGGCTGATCTAAGGATTGCAGTTCAAAGCCAGCCTGGGCAGGAAAGTTCTTGACACTCTTATCTCTTAATTAACCAAAAAGCTGGAAGTGAAGTTCTGGCTCAAGAGGAAGAGAGTTAACCTTGAGGAATAAGGCTCATAGACAGTGCCCAAGCCTCAAGTTTAAGCACTAGGACTGTCATAAACATAAACATATAAACACACACACTAATTTAAACATTATTATTCATAGTTTTAAAAAGAAGTTTTAAAAATAGACATAAATTGTCTTTATATTTTGGCAGTACTGGGGTTTGAATTCAGGGCCTTGTGCTTGCCAGGCAGACTCTATTCTACTTGAACCACTCCTCAGCCCAAATATTCCATCTTTTTTCTAAGTGAGGACAACAAAGAGTAGATATTAAAGGAGGCTGAAATAGTATGAAGGCAATAAAGAGATCAGGACAATAAATGCTAGCCATATGGTCAGCACTGCTGTGTCTAAAACATAAATTTGGCTCTTCATTTTTTAACAGTAAAGATGCAAACAAAAATTGTAATCAGTCAATTAGTTAATAGTTAATAATAGAGATTAAAAGATATCAACTCTTTCAAGCCAGGCGCCGCCGGTGGCTCACGCCTGTAATCCTAGCTACTCAGGAGGCTGAGATCTGAGGATTGTGGTTCAAAGCCAGCCCCGGCAGGAAAGACTGTGAGACTTCTATCTCTAATAAACCACCAGAAAACCGGAAGTGGCGCTGTAGCTCAAGTGGTAGAGCGCTCGCCTTGAGCTGAAGAGCTGAAGGACAGCGCCCAGGCCCAGAGTTCAGGCCCCACAACCGGACCCAAAAAAAAAAAAAAAAATCACACTGGGGACAGAATAAATTATACAGGACTCTAGGTGTTCACACTGTCACTATTTTTGATTTCTGCACTTTTTGTCTTGTATGTAAGTTAATCTGTTTTGGGGAAAGTAATGGGAAGCACAGAAATGGTGGGACAAAGGGTAAGCAAATGCAGCCACTGCATCATACTCACTAGAAACTGTTGAAAATGAACTATACAACTTGTGGGAAGGGATGTCGGGAGGGGAAAACTGGGAGAAAACGAGGGAAGAGGTGCACTGTTCAAAAAAAAATGTACTCATTACTTGACTTATGTAACAGTAACCCCTCTGTACATCACCTTTACAATAATAAAAATATTTTTTAAAAAGTTCTATCATTACATAAACAAAATTCACGATTAGACTACAGAGGTATAGTGGTAGGTGAGGGCAATTCGGGTAAGTCTTCTCAGAGATATAACAGACCCGTTCTGTCTTCCTGCTGGGAAGAATATTGCTGGAATATCATCACAGCACTTTCAGCTTATGACTCAGCCATCAAAACAAACAAAATCCAGCAGACTCCCATAGAATGGCACACTTAAAAAAAAATCAGATTATTATGGTGATCCATCTACTAGAAACCAGTAAGTAAATGTTTTTAATTTGTTTTTTTTTCAGGGGTGAGGGGATGGAGTCAAGTGCCAAGAATGGACTCAAATTCATAATTCTCCTGCCTCAGCCTCCCAAGTTCTGGGGATGAGATAACAATACTGTGCTTGGCAAATGTACACTTGAAGAGTCTTCAATTTGCCTTGTATCTGTTAGCAATAAATCCTGTAACTTATAATACATTTGGGTTTTAAAATGATATAATATCACTTTCTTCCTGGTAGAAATCAAGGAGCTCAAAGTCTAATTGAGTAAAAAGCTGCATGAGCATAAAACATTATGTATATCTGTAATTGTAGTTGGTCCTATTACTATTAGAACTAAAAAAAAAAAAAAAAAAAGACTTGCTTTTACCAAAAAAAAAAAAAAAAAAAAAAAAGACAGTATACATAGTACTCAAGGAGGTTCCACTTCAATCTCAGAGTGCCTGCACAATTTATCTTCATATGTCACAGCAAGGAGAAAGCACTAGCTCCTGCTTCTGAGAGGGCAATAGATTTTTCTGATGAAAGAAAGAGATCAAGAGGGCCTAAGGTTCTCTTCTTAGGATTCAGGTCATCAGGCACGATTGAATTTTAATACCTTGGCATTTAACAGCATGAAGAGTACATGGTCAGGAGTTGCCTGGGCTCGCCACTGCAAAATCTCCGCCAGGAACTGGTGCTAAAGTCACAAAGCAGAAAAAGACTTAGGCTCAGCAACTTTCAACAAATGTAGTGTATTCTTACACCAACTCTGGAATACTTACCTTCCTCACTAAGTCATTCTCTTCAATTTGCCCCAGGTCCCTTCCTGCGGCTTGTGCTATGCGTTTTCCAGCAACCAGATTCCCAACCATCACAGAAGCAGGACCTACACCTGTAAATAGAGGTAAAAATCCTCTTTAGAGATGGCAATTTAAGCTACATACTCCCAAAGCATTTCCAGACCATCCACATCTGGTTCAAATGCTTATTCAACAATGTTGACAAAGCACTCTTCCAGACACAGGACAGAGCTTGTATGCAAGTAGGAAAGGCAACCTAATAACATATGCACATGAACAAAAGTAGGCAGTGGGAGATGTTAGAAAAAAAACAAACAGAACCACAGAGAAATACAGGTTCAGTGGGCAAGAGGAAGAGGGGAGTTCTGGAAGTGTGGGTACACAGGGATATGTTCACTCCGAAGAGATGGCTGCAGCACTAATTCCAATAATCATTTTCTACAATCACAATCCAATCCAAAAGAGCAGCAATAGATAGTTGGTTCTGGAAATAAATCTGTCATTTATGAGTATTAGGAGAAATGATTTATTAAGTACATAACACGACCCAGATTGTGGAACAATCTACAAGACAACAGACCTAGACTCTTCAAAAACATTCATATCTCAGTCTGGTGCTGGTGGCTCATGCCTGTAATCCTAGCTACTGAGGAAGCTGAACTCTAAGGATCAAGGTTTGAAGCCAGCCTGGGAAGACAAATCCAAGAGACCTTCTATCTCTAATTAATCAGCAAAATGCCAGAAGTGGAGCTATGCTTAAGTGGTAGAGCATCAGCCTTGAGTGAAAAAGCCTAGTACGAATAAGAGACTGAATTTAAGTCTCAGTACCAGCATAATCAATCAACCAATCACTCATGTCTTAAGAGAAAATAAGGATGTAAATAAAGGCAGTCAAATGCAATGCATAACATATTGTACCAGATTTCTAAAAATCAGTTTTAATAAACAAGTAGACAAATTTAAGTGTTTATTATTATTAGATGATATATTATGGCTAAATTTCCTACCTCGGTTCTTTTTCTTTTCTTTTTTTTTTTTATGCTAGTCCTGGGGTTTGAACTCAGGGCCTGTCCCTGAGCTTTTGTGCTCAAAGCTAATGCTCTATCACTTAAGCCAAAGCTCTATTTCTAGCTTTTTTTTTTTTTTTTTTGGCAGTTAATTAGAGAGAAGAATTTCATGGTCTTTCCTGCCTGTGCTGGCCTTGAATTGAGATCCTCAAATCTCAGCCTCCTGAGTAGCCAGGATTACAGGTATGAGCCACTGGTGCTGGGCTCTATTTTGTTTGAGTCAGGGTCTTGAGATGTAGGCTAAGTTGGCCCAGAACTCTTGATTCTCTGGGTTCAACTTCTGAGTGCTGGGATTATGGCTGTATACCTTAACAAGGTAATGGCATCATAGTTGTTTAGAAAGTGAAACAGTCTTGTTTTTTGGAAAAAACATGTGCTGAAATACTTATGGCTGAAGGGTCATGATACCTACATCAGAGTTTAGTGAAAAAAATCACTGATTTGTGAATCTAGGGGAAGGTATATGGGTGCAAACTATATTATTCTATCAATCTTCCCATGGATTTGACACTTGAATGGGAGGACCATGGTTTGAGGCTAGCCCAGGCAGAAAAATTCACATTCCTTCTCAACTCATAGCCCAATGGCATAGGTGTATGCCTATCATCCTAGCTTCATGGGAAGCTGAGATTAGAGGATTGTGATTCTAGGCCAGCCCTAGGCAGGAAAGTCTGCAAACTCTATCTCAGGAGTAGAAACTGGGCATAGCCTGGGTAGGAAGTAGGACTTTATCTCATAAATAGCCAATGCAAAAAAGGCTAGACACGGTTCAGTGGTAGAGTGTCTATCTAGCAAGCATAGGCTCTGAATTCATACCCGAGTAATAAGGATTACAGGCATGACTCACCAGTGCCTGGCTCATACAATCCCTTTTAAAAGGTAAATAGCCAGGTGCAGGCACACCTGTAAGCATATACTTGGGGGGAACAAGCAAGAGGATATTGAGGTTTTTCTTTTTTTTTTTTTTTTTTTGGGTCCGGTCATGGGGCCTGAACTCTGGGCCTGGGCGCTGTCCCTCAGCTCTTCAGCTCAAGGCTAGCGCTCTACCACTGAAGCCACAGTGCCACTTCTGGCTTTTTTCTTTTTGCTTATGTGGTGCTGGGGAATCGAACCCAGAGCCTCAGGCATACAAGGCAAGCGCTCTACCACTGAGCCACCTTCCCAGCCCCAGCCCCATGGGGTTTTAAACCAACTTGGGCTACATATAGTGAGATCCAAGCCAGTACTGATACCTTGTTGCAAGGAAAAAAAAAAAAAAAAAAAGAGAGGAAAGGGAGTTTTTTTAAAAATCTACTAACTGTCCAATGTAAGAGTACAATATGCAACATTCTTCCTCTGAACTGACAGATATATCACTTTGAAATCAGAGCTTTTATAAGTGAAGGATTCAAAGAGTATTGGCTAGTGTAAACTGTCCAATCTTATATTTACACTGTAAAATGGTGTGATTTTTAAAAAGAGAGTATGCATAGCAATTTAAAACCATAACAACTGTTGAGCAACAAAAGTTTTTTTTTCCTGTGTGTACTTCTTTCTTTTTTTTGCCGGTCATGGGGCCTAAACTCTGGGCCTGGGCACTGTCCCTCAGCTCTTCAGCTCAAGGTTAGCACTCTACCACTTGAGCACCACAGCACCACTTCCGGCTTTTTCTGCTTATGTGGTGCTGAGGAATCAAACCCAGGGCCTCATGCGTGCAAGACAAGCACTCTACCACTGAGCCACCTTCCCAGCCCCTCCTTGTGTACTTCTTGAATCTATGGGTCAAATGGAAAACCTACGAGAGCAGTAGCCCCAGGAAGCTGACTGCAAACACTGCTGTACTGTAAATACCCCTGTTTGTCTTCCCCAAACTGCTGTTTATCAACCTCCAGACCTAGTCTCCTTTCTTCTTTCAATAACACAAACTCAGTGTTTAGCTGGACACATGCCTGGAATAAAGACTGTATTTTTTAGTATAGTGAATACTATGTAAAAATCAAATAATATGTGTAATTTCTAGAAAATACATTTAAAGGCAAAGACTTGCTGGAAGAATGACTCAGAACTTACGTCTCCAAGCCAGGCTGCCTAGCAGACCTAGTCAGCTATGGAAGTCTGTGGTAAACAGTTTTCTAAGAATTCTTCTTTTTCTTCCTGTGCTAGCTGAGGCCACATGGAGGAAGTATATTTCTCTGTTCCACCAATTTGGAGCATGCACTAATTTGTAGGCAATGAAATGTTAGGAGGTTGTGACAGGTACAGAAGCTTTAAAATGTGCTTGCTGGTTTGGCTGGTCTCTCTGCCTCTGCCATCTGCTTTTGCAAAAAATGGTCCAGGTAGCTTACCGGACCCCCAGAGAGCAGATACATAGACCAGCTCTCATCCCACCCTGTAGCCTGGGCCAGTCAGGTCTATATGAGTGAAAACCAAACACCTGTTATTTCCAGGCATTGAGTTCTAGGGTCACTTGTTATGTAGCACATCGTCCCCTTACTGGCCTTTACTTTTTCTGTACTTTTCTCTAATACCAATCTCTCATGTTATCCTCTCATCTTCTCCACCCATTGATGCCATCATTCCAAACTGCTCTGCTCCTACTCCTATGCAGCCAACCAAGCAGGCAGACACAACATATTCAGACCAAGTATAGCATAATGATTCAAACAGATTTTTCGGGCGTCGGTGGCTCACACCTGTAATCCTAGCTACACAGGAGTCTGAGATCTGAGGATCATGGTTCAAAGCCAACCCAGGGATGAAAATCCATGAGACTCTTTCTCTCATAAACCACTAGAAAACTGGAAGTGGCACTGTGGCTCAAATGGTAGAGTGCTTGTCTTGAGCTGAAGAGCTGAGGGACAGTGCACAGACACAGAGTTCAAGCCCCATGACTGATAAGAAAACAACAACAACAGTATTTTTAGCCACCCGCCAGTGGCTCATGCCTGTAATCCTAGCTATTCAGGAGGCTGAGGTCTGAGGATCACAGTTCAAAGTCAACTCGGGCAAGAAAGTCCATGAGACTCTGATCTCTAATAAACTACCAGAAAACCGGAAGTGGCTCTGTGGCTCAAATGGTAGAGCACTTGTCTTGAGCTGAAGAGCTGAGGGACAACGCCCAGGCCCAGAGTTCAAGCCCCACGACCAACAAAACAAACAAAAATGGATTTTTATCACAGTAAGTATGACACTAGCTCTGCTACCAACTGGTCATGTGGTTTGGGAAATGATGCTTATCTTTTCTGAACTTTCATTCCAGTAGCTAAGAGCATGCTAAACAGTAGTTGGCACTTAATAAGTACTCATTAAATATCAGCTCTTCTTATCAGAAATTTTCCTTTATTATAAAAGAATAAAGGACTTGGCTTTATTCTAGTTCTCCTAGTGAAATTCTATTTTTTTTAAAGTTTTTTATTGTAAAGATACTGTACAGAGGGGATACAGTTACATGAGTGAGGTAATGAGTACAATTCCTATCAATCATTGTTACCCTCTCCTTTGTTTTTCCCCTGCTATCCTTCCCCTCCCCTCCTAGTGCAATTCTTTTTTCTTTTCTTTTTTTTTTTTGGGGGGGGGGGGTCAGTCGTGGGGCCTGAACTCTGGTCCTGGAGCTGTCCCTCAGCTCTTCAGCTCAAGCCACTAGGCTCTACCACTTGAGCCACAGCACCTCTTCTGGCCTTTTCTGTTTATGTGGTGCTGAGGAATCAAACCCAGGGCCTCATGTATGCAAGGCAAGCACTCTACCACTGAGCTACTTTCCCACCCTCCCGGTGCAATTCTGATCCTTTTTTTTGGCCAGTACTGGGGCTTGAACTCAGAGCCTGGGCACTGTCCCTGAACTTCTTTAGCTCAAGGCTAGCACTCTACCACTTGGGCCACAGCTCCACTTCTGGCTTTTTCTGTTTATGTGATACTGAGGAATTGAACCCAAGGCTTCATGAATGCTAGACAAGCACTCTACCACTAAGCCATATTCCCAGCCTCTTTTGATCCTCCTGACCCATACTTTATATTCAGGGGAAAATGAAGCATGTTATAGAAAATTACTCAGAAGAGAGGCAGTGGCAAACCCAAGCAGCCTGTTGTGCAGGTTACTGATCCCTCTTGGTTTTGGTCAGCTTATACTATTCTTATTTTCTTTATTTTTGTAAATTCTAGACAGAATCTCGCTTGGAATCTTCAGTTTCTAGAAGTTATATTTTAATGTTATAGCTAAGCAGCTAGCATATTATTACCTGGTTGCTTCTGCCGGGGCTTTGGCAAGTTCGTCACACATGTATGTGGGCACATGAGGATATTGCAAGGATGGAGAGAACCCTCCAAAAACAGCTGCTTTGTTTGAGATATATGGATTCCTCCTAGTGGCGTTTTTGGCAATGTATTGGCAGGCACCAGAGCAAGACAATAAACCCCTACTTGATGGATGCTATCAATTGCCTAGAAAAACAGAGAGAAAAATATTCAATGAAATTATGCTTACTACATTAGACATAATCCATTATTTTACTGTATGATTGATTTTCCAGAAACAAACATTGTATTAATGCCTAACATAATTACAAGTGTACAAAATCATTTTCTTTTCTTTAAACTTCACACTTAAAGTTTTATTATTATTATTAAGGTGTTATACAGGAACTACCATTTTGTAAGTCAGGTATTGAGTACATTTTTTGTAGGGGGGACAAAGTTGCCACTTCCTTTACTTTCCCCTAGATTCTCCCTTCCATCCCTGCCCACAGCTCTGGAATCTGTTAGACAGAGTAAGATTTCATGCACAGGCATGGTGGTGTAGAGCTATAATCAGCAGTCAGAAAACCTTGTCTCAAATAGCAAACAAAACAAAACAAAAATTATCTCATTGTCCAAAGATCCCATTTTCAAAGACCTAAAGGTAATCATTTTAATCCCATACATCTTTCAGTTCTGGCACAGAGCAACAGAAAAGAGGTAGGACACAATCTAAATGAACAGAGATGGATACTGAGTTACCAGTTCCAATATGCTCGCTCTTAAATGATAACACTGAAACCTGTTATCTTTGTTTTGTTTTGCCTATTAAATGAAGAGTCTCACAAATTTTTCTGCCTAGGCTGGCTTTGATACTAAGTAGCTGGGATTACAGGCATGAACCACAAATGCTCAGCTGTTTTGTTTGAATCTTCATTATTTATTTATTATTATTATTACTTTTGGTTCAATACCTGACGCATTCACTTATTGGGTAACAGTCTACCAACTGAGTCACACCTCCAACCCTGAAAATTTTTTACCTATATAATATACTGATGTATGCTAAATAGAAGCAACACATTTTTATGACAGAAACAACAGAAACTCTCTGAATGGGCCCCCTCTTAGTAATTCACCTTATTACCATGTGTCCCCTTTACAAAACACCCAGGCAAGGCCCATGGGTACAATGAACACTGTAGGCCACCATACCCTTTGCTATATGCCCTGCTCCCGGCCACATCACTGTTTTCTTGCCTTTGTTTCTGCACTTTCATGACCATTGCTACTGGTTCACATACTTTAAGTATATATGACAAAGATTAATAAATATAAATGTAAAATGAATAAAAGAGTTAGGCTTTGGAAAGGCACATTAAAGATAAGCTCTTGAAAATGACTGCTGATTGGTCTGAACAAGTTAATTCCAAAAGTAAAGGTTTCCCCTCCCCACTCCTCTTTTGGTCAGTACTGTAGGGCTTGAACTCAGGGCCTGGGTCCTGTTCCTGAGCTTTTTCATGCAAGGCTAGTGCTCTACCACTCTGAGCCACAATGCCAATTCTGGCAGGCATTTTAGTGATTAATTGGAGATAAGAGTCTCACGAACTTTTCTGCCCAGGCAAGCTTTCAACTGGAATCCTCAGATCTCAGCCTCCTGAGTAGCTAGTATTATAGTCATGAGCCACCAACTCTCAGCTGTGAAGGTTTTCTTTAAATCACTTTTCTGATATCTGTGTTCTAGTTCTAACTTCAAGGACATAAAACCAGAAACCAAAGACAAAGCATCCAGGTACAGTTTATGGAAATTTATCTGGAACCCAAATTGGGGTATTTGTATACACTACTCTACAGCCAATGTACACATATTATACGCTTGGATTAAAATGCAATACTCAAAACTCCAAGGACTGTGGTTCAAAGCCAACCCAGGCAGGATAGTCCATGAGACTCTGATCTCCCAGTTAACTACCAAAAAGCCAGAAGCAGAGCTGTGGCTTAAGTGGTAGAGTGCTAGTGTTGAATAAAAGAGTTCAGGGACAGCGCCCAGGCCCAGAGTTCAAGCCACATACATACACAATATTTAAAGAAAATAAAGCCCAAGTTCTTTCCATCCTTTTAGCCTGGTCCTCACTAGAAACATATTCCTTACAGTAAGCCTGAGTTATTCTCTTCTCCTCGTGGTTTACCTCATCCTGCATCTTCTCTAATAATGAAGCTCCTTTGGAGAAAGAAAACTGTCTTACATATTCTTGGAGCCCTTATATGCAAGGCACCACTTTTGGCATGTACTAAGACTATATGTGACTAACTGCTGACAAGTGAATTGATTGCTGTCAGAGACATATTCTACACAGTTAAATCTTCCATGGGAAGGAAATACTGCAGCATAAATTGACCGAGGCAAGTCAGTTTAGTGACTTTATTATCTAATTTTGATAACAGTATGTAGATTAAGCAGTGATCAGCAAGAAAGAAAAATTAGGTAACATAACTGACCCATCACAGAAAGTGTTTACAAGCTGGGTGTGGTATTCTATGCTTGTAATCCCAGCTACTCTGGAGGAAGGGGCAGGAGGATTTTGAATTTAAGACTGGACTGAGAAAAACAAAACAAAATACAACACAGTAACAAAACCCAAGTGCTTAAGCAATGGTGGCAGCCACCTCTCACTGGACACAGATCCAAGTAAGCTTACCTGCAGCACCCGGCTCATCCACTGGAAGCTGTCCTCCTCGGAGGCATCGGGCCTTTGTTCCGCAACCACCACAATGCGCTCGTCATAAAATACAGACACAGAAAACACAGCAATTCTAAGAAAGACAGATCATACACATCAGACTCTCTTCACAATGAGAGCTACTTCTCTGCTTAACTGGAATTATGGAGAGACCGCCCACCACAGAACCCAGAAATGAGTAGTTTAGCAGAAATGTGCAACTATTATCATCAAAATCCAAATCAACTCATTTAAAATAGATGGATTTACTCAGGAGGCTGAGATCTGAGGATCAAGGTTTGAAACCAGACCAGGCAGGAAAGTCTGTGAGACTCTTATCTCCAATTAACCATCAAAAAGCCAAATGTGTAGCTGTGATTGAAGCAGCAGAATGCCAGCCTTGAGTGAAAAAACTCAGGGGTAGCACCCAGGCCTTAAGTTCAAGTCTCAGGACCAGCACAAAACAAAAAACAAACAAGAAAACACCCCACTGTCATGAACATCAGGGATTGCATGTTGAGACAGAACCAACCAACATATGGATATGGCTGCGTGTCGTGCTGCGCAGCAGAAAGCACACTGGGACAGAGGGGTGGAGGGGGGAGTGGCTGGGGAGCGCCTCCCTGGGGAGTGGACACTGGAGCAGAGACCTGAATGAGGTGAGGACGCGAGCCACGCGAAGATCTGGAGGAAGAGGATTCCGGGCAGAAGGAACGGAAAGCGAAAAGGTTCTGAGGTAGGGACGAGCTTGGCAGGTTTGAGGAACAGCAAGAAGGCCAGTGTGCCTGGAGCAGAGTAGTGAAGCAGAGAGCGGGAGCGAGAGTCAGACACAGGCAAGGGTGGATCCGAGGCCCGGGAGGCTGGGGAGAGGGGAGGATGGAGGGGTTCTAAGTGAGGTCTCCGCTCAAATGTCCCCTTGCTAGTGAGGCATTCCCAGACCACCTGATAGATATACTAGCAAGCCCCCACCCCATGTATTGTTTCTGCCACATTGCCACTTCTCCCAGGTTCTCTACTTCTCTAACTGGTTCCTGTCTGGTGCCCACAATGACAGCGAAAGGGCAGAGATCAGGCATCTGCTATGCATTCCCAGAGTGAGGGCACCAAGGACAACGGCCCAGAGTTGGCACCCAATGAGTATTCACAGAATGAATGCATGAGAGGATAGGAAGCCACTGGAGAGCCAAATATGCCAGCTCGCCAGCCTGCATCCACTCACACACTTATGGAACATAGGCTATGTGCCAGGCATTGTACTGAGAGTGGGGCCATCATTGTGACTGAGACAGAAGTCCAGTGCTCCATGTGGAGGGTGCATCCACCATTATAAGAACACACAATTTGGGGGCTGGTTCTTTTTGGATTTAACTTCCTTCTTAAAAATAAACCTAAAGCAGGAGGCTGAGATCTGAGGATTGCGGTTCAAAAGCCAGCCCAGGCAGGAAAGTGTGTGAGACTCTTATCTCCAATTAACCATCAGAAATCCAGAAGTGGCACTGTGGCTCAAGTGGCAGAGCTCTAGCCTTGAGCTGAAGAGCTCCAGGAGAGTGCCCAGGCCCAGAGTTCAAGCCCCACGACCAAAATACTAAAAAAACCTAAAGGGACACCAAAGTTGCTTTGTAAACTTCTGGAATGAATATCAATTGCTCAATATATAGCAGATATTTTTCTTGTATTAATAAGCAAAGGAAAAAAAAAGGTGCCTGGCTTTGTCCACAGGATTTAAAATTATTAGCACTAGTGTGCTATGGCAAATTCCACTTTACAATGCTCCAATAATTGAGCTAGAAACAAGCAAAAAAATTCTTATAATCTCCTACAGAGTATCTCTATTGGCCTGAATGCCACAACCTCTGTACTGAAGAAATATAGGATGTTCAATGTTTAAAATCCTCCTCAATGCATAGTAACAATCCAAATCTAAAATACAGGATGTAGATATGTCTCATTCCTCTAAATTATAGACAAAGAACCAGACACTGTGAATTAAATATTGAAAGCTGCGTTTCTACTCTTTTCATCTAAACCAAACTAATCATTTAGAAAGAGAATCTACAAAGCACCATCAAATCACCCCACCAAGATCTACTTAGGTTTCGTGAGAAGGGCTAACATTCCAACCACTCACCTTCCTCTATACACGGTCTTTATAGACTCAACAGCCAAGCCAGTAGCAACAATGTCATCAGCATTATGTCTTCGACCACTAACCATGAGTAATCCATCCATTTTTCCAACCACAAACACCAAGCTACCCTGAAATGGTAACAATGATTTACTTTGAGTTTTTATGGTTTAAACAGAAGGAAGGAAGGAAGGAAGGAAGGAAGGAAGGAAGGAAGGAAGGAAGGAAGGAAGGAAGGAAGGAAGGAAGGAAGGAAGGGAGGGAAGAAGGAAGGGAGGGAGGGAGGAAGGGAAGGAGGGAAACAAGCTTGCCTAGCTGGGTTGCCAATGGCTTGCTCCCGTAATCTTAGCTACTCAGGAGGCTGAGATCTGAGGATCAAGATTCAAAGCCAGCTGGTCAGGAAAGTCTGTGAGACTATTAATTCCAATTAACTAGCAAAAAGCTAGAAGCAGAGCTGTGGCTCAAGTGGTAGAGGCTACCCTTGAGCAAAAAAGCTCAGGGATAGTGCTCAGTCCTGAGTTCAAGCTCCAGGACTGGGACAAAAAAAAAAAAAAAGTGCTTGCCCAGCATGTGCATAGACCTGGGTTCAACTCCTAGTACTGCCTCCCAAAAATATAAGAAATAGATATGAGCTGGGCACTGGTGGGCTCACACCTCCTATAATTCTATCTACTCAGAAGTCTGAGCTCTGAGGATCGTGGTTTGAAGCTAGCCTTGGCAGGAAGGCCTGTGAGATTTATTTATTTATTTTTTGCCTGTAATGTGGCTTGAACTCAGGGACTGAGAACTATCTCTGAGCTGCTTTGGCTCAAGGCTAGTGCTCTACTATGTGGGCCACAGCTTGTTTATGTGGTACTGAGGAATTGAACCCAGGCTTCATGCATGCTAGGCAAGCACTCTAACACAGAGCCACATTCCCAACCCTCTGTAAGATTTTTACTTCCATTAAACTACAAAAAAACGCTAGAAGTAGATCTGTGGCTCAAATGGTAGAGCACTGGCCTTGAGCAAAAGAAGCCCAGGGACAATATCCAGGCCTTGAGTTTAAGCCCCAGGACCAGCACACACAAAAATAAAAGGTATGAAAGAAAACAATCTCACATATTATACGGGTTTTATTTTATTGCTTTTATTTTTAATTTTTGATCAGCCATGGGGCTTGAACCCAGGGCCTGGGCACTGTCCCTAAGTTCTTCTGCTCAAAGCTAGTGCTTTACCACTTTGAACCACAGCACTGCTTCCCATTATATAGATTTTAAAGAAAATGTTTCATATCTTAACATCTTTGAAATGAGTAGGGAAAAAAAAAAAGCTCAAGTGCTGTGCTCAGGATGGCAAAAGAAAGAGAAAGAGAGAGAGAAAGAACAAAAGAAAAAGAAAAAGAGAGAGAAAGACAGAGAGAGAAAGAGGGAGGGAGAAAGGAAGGGAGGAACAAAGGAAACAAGCACTGAGAACTCTACACAAGTGTATTTTCCCAGCCACAAGTATGTATTAGTTGATCTTTTGTATCTTTTCCTGGGTTGAATGAAGGGGAGAAAAAGGAGAATTTCTTTACTACTCAACATAGGTTAAAATAGTTTTATTATGTAAATAACTTCACATATTAAAAAACAATTTTTTTTTGGTCGGTCATGGGGCTTGAACTCTGGGCTTGGGAGCTGTCCCTGTGCTTGGCTCAAGGCGAGCACTCTACCACTTGAGCCACAGCGCCACTTTCCGGTTTTATAGTGGTTTATTGGAGCTAAGAGTCTCATGGACTTTCCTGCCCGGGCTGGCTTTGAACTATGATCTTCAGATCTCAGCCTCCTGAGTAGCTAGGATTACAGGTGTGAGCCACTGGCGCCCGGCCACATATTAAAATATTATAGTATATTTTAGGTTTGTTTGTGTCGGTCGTGGGGCTTGAAATCTGGGCCTGGGTGCTGTCCCTGCACTCTTCAGCTGAAGGCGAGCGCTCTACTGCTTGCGCCACAGTGCCACTTCCGGTTTTCTAGTGGAGATAAGAGTACCATAGACTTTCCTGCCAGGACTGGCTTTGAACTGTGATCCTCAGATCTCAGCCTCCAGAGTAGTGTTTTAGGTTTATAAGGGTAATGTTTCTGTTTGGTAAGATTAGAATCAGACTAGTAAGTAAAGATCTAATGAATACTGAGGAGGTTTTTTTTCTCAGCAAGATAACAAAGTAGCAAGAAAATTGTCATCAAAGTTCTAAAGCATCATTGTATAAATACTCTTTCCAGTGCTATCTGCAGTGAATTAGATTGGTTCTCATTTATCAATGATTTTCTATGTTTTGGACACTTAAATATACCAATGATATAATAGTTATCTCCATGTGAATGTCACTTGTTAGCTTACTAATAAGCACAATGTAATGCCATACAGTGATTGGACTAAGACAGAACCTCTATGCCCAAGAAGCCATCAGACCATCCCAGATACCCGAGGAGAGCCAGTCATTGCCAGGCCTATTTCTCCATTCTTTATATTTAGCTGGGCATGATTCAACAAAATATTGCATTTCAGCCTTTCTTACAGCTAGATGTGTCCATGGGTTTAGTTCAGATCAATGAGACACAGGCAGAAATTCTGAGAAGTAATTTCAGAGAATTTTTTTGAGAGAGCAAGATGTACTTTTCCCTCTGTTCTTTGGAATGTAGATGTGATGGTTAGAACTTCATCCTAAAGCTTAATTGTAGAGTAGAAAATTAAAAGGAGTTAGGTCTGAAAATTCTTTGGTTCTGAGTAAAGAAGTCAAGATGGAAGCTTTATACTACCCTGTGAAGAGAGTGGTTCTCTTAGACCTTTGCATTCCCCCAGCGCCCATAAATAGTAGAGAAGAGATAGAGTAAAATTAGATGTTCTCTTATGTAAGCTAAGCTGTGAAGAGTTCTTCACCAGAGATGGATGAAGGGATATGGGCTCAACTAGGATAAGGACTACCTATTATTTACAAAATAAAATCCCAACTCCCACTGCCTCATCACAGGCTTCATGACCTGGTCCTTTGCCATCTGTGTGCTCATCAGGATCACTAGGAGCACTTTGGAAAAGACTTTGTGGGTTCTGATTGGCTCTGTAAATACCATTTGCTGAAAAATAAATCATTTTCAAAGAATTTACTATCACATATAGTGCTGATGATTTGTATAAAAATGTTTTGTACATCAAATATGAGGTCTTCCCTTTCCAACTGAAGGTAACTTTTTCCAGAACTCATAACTTACAGCAACATGTTAGTCAAATCAAAAGAAAGTAGTAAATATGAGTGAAAAATTATGAAAAATTTAAAAATAGGAAACTGGAAAGGTGGCTCAGTGGTAGGGTGCTTGCCTTGCATGCATGAGGCCCTGGGTTTGATTCCTTAGCACCACATAAGCAGAAAAAGCAGAAGTGGCACTGTGGCTCAAGTGTTAGCCTTGAGCTGAAGAGCTGAGGGGCAGCGCCCAGGCCCAGAGTTCAGGCCCCACAACCAACCAAAAAAAAAAAAAAAGTCTTAGTCTGAAGGAATTACACGAACGATGTAAAGGAAACAACAATTCATTTTTATGATATTCTTGTAAGAACTGCTCTAAATGATGTGAAATAGCACTGTAACATCCCTGGACGATTCAGTTCATTCTGTGGTAAATTAAAGTATTTGAATCAGAAGTGTCAAAATGAACATGAGAGCATCACTTACTGGCCCCACAAATCCCAACAATCCTGACCGGATGAATGGCACATCTCCTACAGGAGAGCCTGCAGAATTCACTGGAATTACCTAAAAGACAACGAAAAGGGTAAACAATTTTTCTTTCTTCTTAGAAAATGTATTTGATTTTTTAAAAATACACAAAGTTATAGATGCTTTTGGGAAAACTAACATTACATAATCTAACAATAATCCCATCCATGTAAGTGATAAACATTTACAATTTATCTCTTTGGACTTAAACAACACTCTATACTGAGTGCTTTAAAACAGTATATACTGTTTTTACTCATATGCATTTTCTTATAACTTGGATCCACTTTTGATTTGGTAAGAGTTCACCCAGTCCACTTTTTGAAAACCAGTGTGTGCAAACTCTAAAATAGTCTCTGTAGTTAGTCCTGACTGTATGTACTAATCAGGCTGAAGTTCATTTTGGGTAAGTTTCTGGACTTTTCTGTACCTTGCCTTTTTTATTTTTTTGCCATTAAATTAAGTTCTCAACCCTTCTCCCAGGTTTGTAGTAAAGATTAAGGAACATAAACAAATTGGCAGAGATAATTCAGTGATTGGCACAGCTTCAGTTTTCAGGGAACAGTAGCTACTAGAATATACTGATCTTTATGGCTGATTATTCTGAAGTTTCACTAGTATGAAAGTGCTTTAATGACTATTGTGGTGTATTTGTTTATTCACCTGTACAGAGCATGATGGTTCTTTTTAATTTTGATAGGTTATCCTACAAAACTGTTTGATCAATACTCTACCAATGCTATATTAGAATGTCCATTAATTATTACCATAGTTAATACTGTATTTCCAGTCTTACCAATCTGGTAGACACAAAAGCTATCTATCTCACTGTTATTTTAATTGCATTTCCTTATTTGTCATTTGGTTAAATTTCTTTTACTTTGTCTAACATTGGCCATTTGTTTTTCTTCTGAGAGTGGCTTATCATAAGCATCTTTTGTTTTTACTGACATATTTTCCCCTTTGATTTTTATTAAAAAATTAAAGGTTGTCTTGTTTCAGTTAGTCAAGTCAACATCATGAAACTGGGTATCACTTCCATTTCACAGGTGAGAAGGAGAGACTACGCGAGCGTCACTTGCCTCAGGTTAAACAGGGAACATGGCAAGATGGAAAACCAGCGTGTTATTCTCACATATTAAAGAACTCTTCCTCTCAGTAGCTTATTTTAAAATACTTTTTTTTTTTTTTTTTTGGTGGTAGTGGGGCACTGAGCTTGGGACCTCATATTCTCATTTGGCTTTTCCATTCAAGGCTGTGGTTTACTACTTGAGTCACAGCTTCATTTCCAACACTTTTCTTTTAAAAAATTATTTTATTGGGGGCTGGGAAGGTGGCTCAGTGGTAGAGTGCTTGCCTTGCATGCATGAGGCCCTGGATTTGATTCCTCAGCACCACATAAGCAGAAAAAGCCGAAAGTGGTGCTGTAGCTCAAGTGGTAGAGCACTAGCCTTCAGCTGAAGAGCTAAAGGACAGCACCCAGGCTCAGAGCTCAAGCCCCATGACTGACCAAAAATAAATAAATAAAATTAAAAAATATATATAAAATTTTTATTATCTTTAAGTAGCTGTAAAAAGGAATTACCATTCAATTCAGTGCATCTTGAACAATATCACCTCAATCATCCCTCCCAACCCTTCTCTCACGTTTCTTAATTTTGTAGGATATACACTGAATTTTTCTTTCTTTCTTTCCTTTTCTTTTTGTTGGCTATGGGGCTTGAATTCTGGATCTGGGTGCTGTCCCTGGGCTCTTCAGCTCAAGGAGAGTGCTCTACCACTTGAGCCCCAGCACCACTTCTGGTTTTCTGGAGATAAGAGTCTCATCGACTTTCCTGCCCAGGCTGGCTTTGAACTGTCGTCCTCAGATTTCAGCCTCCTGAGTAGCTAAGGATTACAGGAATGAGCCACTGGTGCCAGCTATCCATTGAATTTTTCTTTTATCTTTTTTTTTTTTTTTTTTTGGGTCTGGTCGTGGGGCCTGAACTCTGGGCCTGGGCACTGTCCCTCAGCTCTTCAGCTCAAGGCTAGCGCTCTACCACTTGAGCTACAGCACCACTTTCGGCTTTTTTCTTTTTGCTTATGTGGGGCTGAGGAATCGAACCCAGGGCCTCATGCATGCAAGGCAAGCACTCTACCACTGAGCCACCTTCCTAGCCCTATCCATTGAATTTTTTTTTCTGCACTTTTATTTTCTGACTAGCCATTTAGTCCTAATGAAATCTTTATTACTTTGGGAAACTCTCTCGGGATTTAAATTAAAAAAGGGGTTTAAATTTAAATCTCTTAAGATTTAGATAAAATATAAAACCAAGGACATAGTTTTCTCCTACTTTGCCAGTATTATATTTATACTGGACATTTCAAAATGTCTTCATTACTTGGACTGGGCAATTTGATGTTAAGTCTGAGAGTCATGGATAGGCAACTCCCTTGTATAGAAGACTATAATAAAGTATTACTAGTATCTTCAAATACGACTTGAAGCTGGGTGGGATGGCATGTTGCTATTTCAGCTACAGAGGCAAAGGCAGGACGACAATCATGAGTTTAAAGACAATCTGGGCAACTTAGGAAGACTCAACTTCAAACAACTACAACCACTGTTTTTAGTGAGGAAAAGTCATTGAAGAAAATTATAGGCACTCGGGCTGGGAAGTTGGCTCAGTGGTAGAGCGCTTGCCTTGCATGCCTGAGGCCCTGGGTTCAATTCCTCAGCACCACTTAAGCAAAAAGAAAAAAGCTGGAAGTGGTGCTGTGGCTCAAGTGGTAGAGCACTAGCCTTGAGCTGAAGAGCTGAGGGACAGTGCCCAGGCCCAGGGTTCAGGCCCCACGACTGGACCCCCCCCAAAAAAAAAATTATAGGCACTGGAAACACATGCAGAATAAGGGCTGGGGACATAGCTCAGTGGAACAATACAGGCTTAACATGAGGTCCTAAATTTAATTCCAAGCATGGCAAAAAAGAAAAATGGGAAAGAAAAAAAAAAGAGAAATGAGGCAAGATTTAAAATAGCAAAATATCTAGGTATTCAAGAGTTAGTGCAGGTAAAGAAACTGGGCAAGGTGGGGGGAACATATACCTGAAGAGTTTATGAATGTGGACTAGGCACAACCTTGGCAGGCAGCCCAAGTCATAACAGTGATGATGACAGTAACAGATATTTAATGATTTACAGTGTGCCACGTATGCATAAAGATGACAGACAGGCAAGCCAGGAGTTCTTATCTCTTTTCAGGCACCATACTATGATTAAAACAGATATGCTACTGAATAAATGACACATTCACTAATAACGTCTGTTAGTACATAGTTGTAAGCATTCATTCTCAAATGGGACACACAGACTCACACCACTTCCTATGTGCCAGAAGCTGTTGATTCTAAGGTGTTTGGGTCATCTTCTATGTTACAGGAAAAGTGCAAAGACCTGAAAATTAGCAGTGTTCGTGGAAGTGGCGCTGTAGCTCAAGTGGTAGAGCATTCGCCTTGAGCAGAAGAGCTCAGGGACAGCAGCACCCAGTCCCAGAGTTCAAGGCCCCAAAAAACAAAAACAGAACAAAAAACAAAACAAAAAACAAAAAAACAAAAAAGCAGTGTTTATGTAAGCTCTGTCTAGCATAATGGGGGTAGGATCCATCAACCAAAACTCTCTAGTCCTAAAAGGTACTTTGAGCAGGTAATCCCAATTATGAAATTCAGACAATCAAATACACCTGTTTTGATTTCCAGGCAGTCAGGCCAACTTCTAATTACAACTTGGCTTTGCAGGCAGAACTGCCTGAAGGAAAGCAATGTGGTGGTAAGCTAAGAAGTATAGGCTGGCTCCACCAGAATGCAAGTGCTGCCCCAGCACTCACATAGTGCTGGTACAGAGCAGCTTAGTAAGTATCTGTGTAACTGAAAGATCAAAATCATGAGCCTTATAAAGAGACAGTTCTTCAGTTTTAATTAGTGATCTGGCATAGCATGTATCACTGTAAACTTACTGTAAAAATTAAAAATTGGAACTTATAAACCTCAAACTATGTCAAATTTACCAGCATGAATTTTTGTAAGGCATTGTTCCCTTTGTTTATAAATATAACAGCACCTTTTTTTTTTTGGTTGGTTATGGGGCTTGAACTCTGGGCTTGGGTGCTGTCCCTGCACTCTTCAGCTCAAAGCAAGCACTCTACTGCTTGAGCCACAACACCACTTCCGGTTTTCTAGTGGCTTATTGGAGATAAGAGTCTCATGGACTTTCCTGCCCGGGCTGGCTTTGAACCTCGATCCTCAGATCTCCTCAGATCCTCAGATCTCCTGAGTAGCTAGGATTACAGGCGCGAGCCACCGGCGCCCGGCTTACAACAGCATTTTCTATATGCCAAGAGATGCGCTAAGCACTTTATAAACATTTAATCTTCACAATGGCCCTGGGAGGTAGCTACTGTTATTATATTCATTCATTCAAATTTATTTAGCTTCCTTTTGCGGCAAGGTATCACTATATAACTGAAGTTGGCTTGCAACTTGTAATCCTCCTGCCTCACCTTCTGAGTACAAGGGTATAGGTGTGTGGCTCTCTTAGATATCTACCCAGATATTAAATGTTTTTTTTCTCCCAATACTGGAGATTCAACCCAGAACCTCACACATGCTAGTAAAACACTCTACCACATAAGCCATGCCTCCAGCCCTTCTGCTTGTATTTTGTTTTTGAAATAGGGTCTCACTAACTTTGCCTAGGTTGGCCTTAAACTCAAGATCCTCCTGTCCCACCAGCTTCTTACTCTCATTTTAAGAGAAAGAAATTAGGGGTGTGGAGAAGCTACAGCGTATACAAGGTCAGCTAGTGATTGGCAGAGTCAGGGTTTAATCTTAGGCCATTAGCCCCAGAGGACACATTCTTAACCACTAGATTATGCTATGTCCTATCAGCGAGCAGATCTGCCTACTACCATTTGACCTCACCAAATGAAATGTGGAATGTTACTATCATGTACCTCAAATGTATTTTTTGTCACACCAGCAAGACCAAAGTACATCATGCCTCCAGTTCTGGAACTAACACAGATTTCTCCAATTTCATCTGTCTTGCAGAGCTGGGGAGGTCCATCTGGTTTCACAATGCACATCATGCCTAATGCACAGAAAATACAAGTTAGAGACAGATTCTAGAGAATCTCTGCAAAACAAGTTTTACTTTGTGAACTCAAGAAAACTTTGCATTTCCAGATGACATTAGCAATACTAAATAGGATTGCTAAAAAGAAATCTGTACTATATAAGTGTACTTGAAATTTAAGGATTTCAGAGACAGTAATTTTCAAATGATTGTAAAATTTAAAGATGAATTAAATTTATACCTAGGCAGAATAAGTTCAACACTCATGAAAGCAGTGTGTTCCTCCTCCTCTCCCAGTCCTTCTCTTCTTCTTCACTCTCCCTACTTCTCCCTCCTTCCCCTCCCCCAACTTCTTCCCTTATTCCTTCTCTCTCCTTGGTATTGGAGTTTGAAATCAAGGTGTCTCACTTGCTAGGTGGGCACTCTACCACTGAGCCATACTTTCAGTATTTTTTTGTGCTGGTTATTTTTGAGATAGGATCTCTCTTCCCAGGCATGATCTGCCTCTTTTAGGGTTCCCATTAAAGCTGGTATGACTAGTGTGTGCCAGATACAGTTTTCCAGCTATTGGTTAAAAAGGGGTCTATTGAACTTCTGTGTAGGCTGGTCTTAAACTTTGTTTTTGTTTTTTGGGTCTGGTTGTGGGGCCTGAACTCTGGGCCTGGGCACTGTCCCTCAGCTCTTCAGCTCAAGGCTAGCGCTCTACCACTTGAGCCACAGCGCCACTTCCGGCTTTTTTCTTTTTGCTTATGTGGTGCTGAGGAATCGAACCCAGGGCCTCAGGCTTGCAAGGCAAGCGCTCTACCACTGAGCCATCTTCCCAGCCCCTGGTCTTAAACTTTGATATTCTGAAGTCTTCAATACGCTCTACAATATTCTTAGCCTCTCAAGTACTTGGATTTTAGGTGTGAGCTACTGGAGCCTGACTGGTGCACTCCAACTTTCTGGCAACCACAATGGGTTGGTAATTACAGTGAAAAGGGGTAACTTTGGTGTTACTCAGGTACTTAACTTTTCATATGAAGAAGCATAATTGAAGCCTTCTCAGTTGATAATCCATATAGTACAGTTAGCATAGTTAGCATAATTACACTTACTTAGCCATTAAGAAAGGTTTAGAGAAGTTATGTAACTAAGTACTGAATTTAAGAATTCCTGGATTTGGATCTCCAATTTTACCAGGCCCTCTATCCTTCTCATCTTCACTCTAGTCTCTTCTCTTCTTCCTCTCCCCGCCCCCCCCCCCCCCCCCCCGCCTTTGTTCTTTTTCTGGCAATGCTGGGGATGAAACCCTGAACTCTGCATATGCTAAATAGGCTTTCTATCACTAAGCCACATAAGTTACACCCCTGGCCCAGGTCCTACTATTTCTGATGATGTATCTTCATGAAAATCTAAGCAGTGCTTCGAATCACTTACCACCAGGCATTACATGCCCTACATCCTGAACTGTTAGTGCTGAATTTTTATCTTCAGTATTGACCCGGATGACTCCATAGCTCAATCCATTCATTGAGAGAATGGCTCTTCCTGGCAAAGGAGCCCCAGGTACTCCAGGCCTGAAAAGAGACACAAAACAAACAATAAAGCAAACAAAAATAATCAAGTCTGAAAAACTATATGTTATCAAGAAAAAAAGCATTAATACATAAAAACACAAATGTCCTGACTACAATTCAAAAGACATCTCCAGAGGCTGGGAAGGTGGCTCAGTGGCAGAGCGCTTGCCTTGCATGCCTGAGGCCCTAGGTTCAATTCCTCAGCACCACATAAGCAAAAAGAAAAAAGCCGGAAGTGGCGCTGTGGCTCAAGTGGTAGAGCGCTAGCCTTGAGCTGAAGAGCTGAGGGACAGTGCCCAGGCCCAGAGTTCAGGCCCCACGACCAGACGCCCCCACCCCCCCCCCCCCCCAAAAAAAAGACATCTCCATTTTCTCTACTAAAAATAAGCCAAACTAACCAAATTTACACATACAGCCAACTTCCTTTTTTGGGGGGTGCTGGTACTTGGGCTTGAACTCATAGCCTCTGGCTCTTACTTAGCTTTTCTCGCTCAATGCTAGTGTTTTACCACTTAAGTCACCTCTCCACTTCTGGCTTTTTTGCTAGTGAACTGGAGGTAATAGTGAGCCATAAGTGCCCAGCTAGAGTCAGCCTATTTCTTTCTTTCTTTCCTTCTTTCTTTCTTTCTATCTTTCTCTTTTTCTTTTTTTCCTTCTCCTTTTCCTCCTCCTCCTTCCTTCTTCTTCCCCTCCCTCCCTCCCTCCCTTCTCTCTCTCTCTAGTTCTGGGGTTTGAACTCAGGCCTGGGTACTGTCCCTGAGCTTCTTCTGCTCAACGCTAGCACTCTACCACTTGAGCCACAGCACCATTTCTGACTTTTTTTGTTTATATGGTACTAAGGAATCAAATCCAGGGCTTTATGAATGCTAGGCAAGCACTCTACCACTAAGACACATTCCCAGCCCCACAAGATTTTTAAATTTTTTTTAGTGCCAGTCCTGGGGCTTGAACTCGGGGCCTAGGCACTGTCTCTGGGCTTCTTTCGCTCAAGGCTAGCACTGGAGCCACAGTGCCACTTCCAGCTTTTTCTGTTTAGAGTCAGCCTATTTCTAATTTAAGATGTTAACTACAGATTTGGAAAAGCAAAGTAATACAGAAAAAGAATTCATAAATATGAGATAAGAATACAAGTTGGTCTGTGAATGTAGCTTAGTGGTAGAGTACTTGACTAGCATGCATGGAGGCCTGGGTTTCGTTCTTCAGTACCACATAAACAGAAAAAGCCAGAAGTGGTGCTGTGGCTCCAGTGGTAGAGTGTTAGCCTTGAGCAAAAGACGCTCAGGGACAGTGCCCAGCCCTAAGTTCAAGCTCCAGGACTGGCAAAAAAAAAAAAAAAAAAAGAACAATTAAAGTGCCAGGTGCCAATGGCTCACATAGGTAATTCTAGTTACCTAGGAAGCTAAGATCTGAGGATTGAAGTTTAAAGCCAGCCTGGATAGGAAAGCTCATGACTTATGAATCTCTTATCTCCAATTAACCACAAAAAAGAAAGAAAGAAAGTAGAAAAGAAAGAAAGAAAGAAAGAAAGAGGGGGGAAGGGAGAGAGGGGGGAGGAAGAGAGGGAGGGAGGGAAGGAAGGAAAAGAAGGAAGGAAGGAAGAAAAAGAAAAGAAAGAAAGAAGGAAGGAAGGAAAGGAAAGGAAAGGAAAGGAAAGGAAGGAAGGAAGGAAGGAAGGAAGGAAGGAAGGAAGGAAGGAAAGAAGCCAGAAGTGGGGTTGTAGCTCAAGTGGTATAGTGCTAGACATGAGCAAAAAAGCTCAGGGACAGCTGAGGCCCTGAGTACAAGCCCTAGTACTGGCACCAAAAAAAAAAGAATAAAGTAAAATTTCAGTTTACTTTGAATGAGAATAGGAATAATAAATCAGAGTCTTTAAACTATTTAGCAAGGTTATTTTAACTTTTAGGTTTATGAAGCAAAAATTGCACATTTCACCCAAATCTAATATGTATCGGAGGACCTGGTGTTGTGAACAGTACCTGCGAATTGCTATAGTCATGGCTTCAGAAGATGTAGCACATGGACAGATGGCCTCAGGTTTCAGTCCATGGCTTTGGAACAGACTCAGGAAGGCATCACAGGATGACACAGACCCTAAGGAGTTGGAATAGATCAATGTGAAAGCTGAAACCATAATTTTCATCACTGCTGGAAACTGGTAAGGGGGCAGCAGGAGGCTGGCATGACTGTTTGTCAGGGGAACTCAAGTGGTACCACATTCATTCCACGCCAATAGCTTACTGTGCCTATGAGGTGGCTTGCTACATTTTGAAGATAAGATGAATGGATGTTCACCCAGCCCACGAAAGGTCACTGACATTATTTAAAGGTATAACTTGGAATAAAGCTATGGTTACCAGACTGAGCGATCAGTATCAGAGGCAACACTACAGGCAATATCCAGCCACTTTGTAATTCAGCAATCCTTCCTGCAGTGATTGCTGTAGCAGCCTAGTGAAATCTCATCCTAGTCTACCTTCTGTGTGGTATTTTCTGATTTTTCTTATTAAGGTGAATCCTGTGTCCACCTTAGATAAAGAACATAATATCTAATTGTCTACCTGATTCTACTATGTAGAGAACCAGGATTTTTGTGCTTATACAGAAAAGCAGATAACACAGAAAGATCTCTAGATTTTTTTTTTTTCTATCTGGGGGAATTTACATAAAACTCCTACCCTTGTTTGCTTCAAGTCATCTGTATCTGGTCTTTTTATCTAAGGATTGCAAACAGTCATGTGACCCAAAGAGGATATAAATAAGCAAAAAGAATTGTTTTTTAAACTTTATACATTGCTGAAAATGGTGATGCATGCCTGTAATTTTAGGACTCAGGAGGTTGAGACAAGAGGACTGTATCAGTTCCAGGACTCTTATCCCAAGGGGAGAAAAAGAACCAAAAATAAAAAATGGCTTACAGATCCTTCAAGATATATTTGGCAAGGAATAAGAATAAAGTGTGGAGCCGGGCGCTGGTGGCTCACGCCTATAATCCTAGCTACTCAGGAGGCTGAGATCTGAGGATCGCGGTTCAAAGCCAGCCCGGGCAGGAGAGACCGTGAGACTCCTATCTCCAATAAACCACCAGAAAACCGGAAGTGGCGCTGTAGCTCAAGTGGTAGAGCACTGGCCTTGAGCTGAAGAGCTGAGGGACAGCGCCCAGGCCCAGAGTTCAAGCCCCACGACCGACAAAAAAAAAAAAAAAAAGAATAAAGTGTGGGTTCCTTGAAAACACGATACTAAGACTACACAGAGTATGACTGTAATCATAAAAATCTCCAAAGTAGGCTAATCTATACAGATAGGAAATAGATTCATGACTGCCTAAAGCCAGGGGACAATATGGAGAAGTGAGAGTGACTGACAATGGGCATATGATTTCTTTTTAGGGTAATACAAAAATATTTTAAAATTGTAAATGGATAAGTTTTTTTTTAGTGGGGGGGGGGGTTGGTTGCAGAGCTTGAACTCAGTGCCTGGGCACTATCCCTATACTCTTTTTGTTCAAGGCTAGCACTCTACAACTTTGAGCCACAGCTCCACTTTCAGTTTTCTAGTGGTTAATTGGAGATAAAAGAGTCTTGTGGACTTTCCTGCCTGGGCTGGCTTTGAACAGTGATCCTCAGATCTCAGCCTTCTGAGTAGCTAGGATGTTAGGTGTGATCTACCAGCACCAGGCAAAATGGGTAAATTTTATGGTATGTGACTTATCTATCAACACAGATGTTTAAAAAGAAACAACAGAAAAAGGACAAAAGACCTAAAGCACCAAACAAAAGGATATTCTGGCTCCATACTGCATAAATACTCACAGGGGTTTGCTCCATCAGTTACAATCAACATTCGGAGAGAGCTCAGGCTCACGTCCCGCTGATCCCGATGAGCCATCATGGCCCAGTGCAGATCCCGACATTTCACTAATGCTACTTTGGCTGTAAGTTCAAGGGAGACAAAGTTAACATACATCCATATAAATACATGTAACACACATGTATGCTAAATCTGGTCAGTGTTTAATATTCTGAGATTGTCCTCAGAGGAAGAAAGCACCTCATTCAGACAACTGACCAGGGGGCTGGGAATGTGGCTCAGTGGTAGAGTGCTTGCCTTGCATGCATGAGGCTCTGGGTTTGACTCCTCAGCACCACATAAGCAGAAAAAGCTGGAAGTGGCACTGTGCTAAGTGGTGGAGTGCTAGCCTTGAGCTGTAGAGCTGAGGGACAGCACCCAAGCCCAGAGTTCAGGCCCCATGACTGACCAAAAACAAAAAACAGACAACTGACCAGACATCCCATTGTTTGCTCTCTGCAACCTCTAGCGGGAAAGCTCTGTATCCCACAGTACTCAATAAACCTACTTCTGACCTCAGATTCAGAAAGATTCATCTCACTTCATAAGAAAGGACATCAGTAATCTAAAACAGGCAGCCCACCTATTTCTACAGTAAATTGAACTCTAAAAGTTCTTAAGCTATTGTGGCAAAGAACTCTATCTCTACAAGGGCAATCTGAAAATCCCAAAAATCTTTTTTTTTTTTTTGCCAGGCATGGGGCCTGAACTCTGGGCCTGGGCGCTGTCCCTTAACTCTTCAGATCAAGGCTAGCGCTATACCACTTGAGCCACAGTGCCACTTCTGGCTTTTTCTGCTTATGTGGTGCTGAGGAATAGAACCCAGGGCCTCATGCATACAAGGCAAGCACTCTACCACTGAGCCACCTTCCCAGCCCAAAAATCCCAAAAATCTTATTTCAGACAGTCGTTAAGTTAAAGGTTGGATGCCGGGCAAGGTTACCTTTGTGGGTATGTACTCTTTGGACCCAAGACAGAGGACAGGTCTTCATAACAGAGTAGGGCACACTGACTGTATGCATCTTATTCATTACATTCTGAAAAGGAGAGAAACAAGACAATCAAAACTAAATACATAGTGTCTACAAGTATCATTGCTGCGTTTGTTCACACTTTGTCCCACCCTTTCTGTGCACTTATGTTGAAAATAAACTATACAACTTGTGGGTGGGGACAGGAAGGAAAAACTGGGAGAAAGTGAGGGAAGATGTGACACTGGTCATAAAGAAATATAGTCATTGGCTGACTTACGTAACTATAACTCCCCTGTGTATCACCTTTACCATAACAATAACAATATATATATTTAAAAACTTAAATACATATTTAGCACTTTAAAAATGAACTGATCATTTAAACAACTTGGTATAAGTATCATTCAAATATATACTCTGTGAGAAACACCTCTGAGATATTATTGGGTAGAAGTTCCTTTCAAATCTACTCTAACTTGGTTCCCTCCTTTCTCCTTCAGAGATAAACACAATTATAAATTTGGTACATCTCCTTCCAGTCTTTTTTCATGCATTTACATAGAAATATAAAAAGTACTTTTCTATAAAAGGCATTATCTATAACTTGCTTTTTAAAAAATATCTAATGCTTGCTTTTTTCCATTGTTGAGACGAATCTATGTACCTTTTTGAATGGCTATACAGTATACATAACTATTATCATAATCTGTTTAGGCATTTCCCTCTTAGTGACAATTTTTTACTATTACATTTGAAGGAATGTGTCTGTACTCTTTTCCTTGGGCTCATATACAAGCATTTCTCTAGGGCAGACAGAGAAAAACTAGCAATGCTAGGTTCCAGGGCAGAAACATTTAAGTGTTAACGGAAATGCCAACTGCTCTCCAACTACCCAGTGCTCTCAACAGGCTCAGACTTTCCAAAAATGTTGCAACTTTCCTGCAAAGGGGTGAGCATTACAAAGTGAGAAACCAGTTTCTCTATTTTTCACAGGTGGCCTGCATGACCTGGTGTATGTTTGGTTAGACAAAGCTAAGACAGTTGTCAGTTATGAAATTTGGTATCATTCTGCCACCCAAATGAAACATATACAGGCTATTTTTACCCACAAAGACTAGCCTACTAGAATAAACAAGCCTGGTAATATTTAGATTGGCCATGCCAGGCACCAGTGCCCACACTTGTTATCCTAGCTATTGAGGAGGCTGAGATCTGATGATCAAAGCCAGTCTGGGCAGGAAAGTCCATGACACTCTTATCTCCAATAAACTACTCAGAAAAAGATGGAAGTGGTGCTGTGGCCCAAATGGTAGAGCGCTAGCCTTGAGCTCAGAGAGGCTCAGGGACAGAGCTCAGGCCCTGAGTTCAAGCCCCATGACCGGCAAAAAACTCCACAAAACAAAAACAAAAACAAAAAAAGAACAGACTAGACACTATGCTCATCATGTAAGTGGTTCTAAGACATCCAGATGTCCTTTTCCCTTTTGGTTTCAAGAAAAAGAGTGCCTATAGCTAACTCTTCTTTTTTTTTTTTTTTTTGGTCGGCCATGGGGCCTGAACTCTGGGCCTGGGTGCTGTCCCTTAGCTCTTCAGCTCAAGGCTAGTGCTCTACCACTTGTGCCAAAGCGCCACTTCCAGCTTTTTCTGCTTATGTGGTACTAAGGAATCAAACCCAGGGCCTCATGCATGCAAGGCAAGCATTCTACCACTGAGCCACCTTCCTAGCCCCTAATTCTTCTATCTTGTACTTTGTCATATTACAGAGAAGATTCTCAATGCCTTGTAAGTTTTTATTTCATTTTTTAAAACTTCTGATGAAAAAGAAAATATCTGGACATTAAATACACTCAAGAATATAGCTCTTCCTCCTCTTTTTTCTACTCTGTGACTCCTGAAGTATTTAAGGAAATTGGTCCTTTTCAACTCCTAGATCCTGTATTTCTTCAACTGTACGTTATACTTGCAGCTTTCCCATACAAAATGTCTCATTTCTCTACTCTTACTCTCCAAATTTCAGTAAGGTTCAAGCTCATTCATTTTCCAAAAACCAACTGAGTTGTCACCTGTCATTTCTTTCAGAAAACTTGCTTTGATACAAGAGCACTGATATGTTGTAATGAAATCACCCTTTTTCTAATACTCGTAGGAAGCATATTGTCTATTCCTCCATTATAGTACCTATCTTCATCTACCTTGTCATTCTCTCCTTTAGCTGCAAGCATGTAGCATTTGCATGCCAGTTACCCAATACATTTTGTCCAAGAGAAATGTGAGATGGTCTCTAGAAAAATATTATCAATATTTTGGGGTTTTCAAGTTCAATCAATCACTGGGAGATACACCAATAACAAATACACTGACTTAATCTTAAACACAATTTATACTAAAGACCTTAATTCTGAATAGCTTACCGCAAACATGCCATGCCACAGACCAGCATCCTTCTTAAAGTCTAAAACATTCACTACTGTTTCTCCTAAAATAGGAAAAAACAAAAGGAAATCATCATTAGCAAGAATAATCACACTGCCTGCCTCTAGTAAGAAACTGATTTGCTGCTTTCAGAAAAATGATTAAGAGCTCTCAAATAGGGTTTTGTGGTTAAGAACTTCTTCAGGGGCTGGGAATATGTCTTTAGTGGTGGCGCACTTGCCTAACATGTATGAAGCCCTGGGTTTGATTCCTCAATACCACATAAACAGACAAAGCCAGAAGTGACGCTGTGGCTCAAGTGGTAGGTAGAATGCTAGCCTTGAGCAAAAGAAGCTCAGGGATAGTGCCCTGCCCAGGACAAAAAAGAAAAAAAATAATTATGGTTCTTCAAAGAAAGCATATAACTAATATGTTGTTTCTACATATAGATATTCAAAATAGCAAAAATTTGTATACACAGCTCTGTATATTTTTTGCATTTTATAATATAGCAAAACTAACTCTCTACTTCATTAATATTTTAGTGCCTCAGGGCATAATCTTTTATATGAATATGTTATAATTAGTCCTTCTATTTTGGGGAATTTTGATTTCATATATACTATATAAACACACACATGCACACGCACACGCACACACACACACACACACACACACACACTCTAAACCAGTCAAGTATGCTATCCTGAAATACATATTAACTGTTTTATTTTGCAAAGGGAAAATAAAATGCTAAAAAAACCAAAATGTTGCAAAGAACATTATAAGTCTGATGGTTCACTCTTGTAATTCCAGCAGTTGTGGGACTGAGGCAGGAGGCCCTGAAGTTTAAGGCCAGATTGGCTATCTAGCAAATTGACGGCCAAACTGGGCTATATAGCCAGACCCTATCTCAAAACAAAACACAAAAATCCACAGCCGTTATCCAACATGTATCAACAGATCTGAAGTTTGACAATACAGAATACTTTTCTTGTGTTTTCATTTATACTTTTTGATAGCGGTTTTTCCCCCCAGGAGAACAAGGTCTTGGTATATAGTGCAGGTACACCTCAAACTCAGGATTCCTCAAAAATCTGGGAACCAAAATCGAGATTATAGCTGTACACCACACCAGGCACCTGGTAGCTGAATTTCTTTGACTCTAAGTATATAGCAGGTAGCTCTATATATATATAGAGCTACCTAAGATCCCACAGCTAATAAACACATGGTTTTCATTAGAGTTTTCTATTTCTGTACTGCAGAAATCATGCTTTACATATTTAGTTTGCCTAGAGTTCAGTTCCTTTAAATTACAGCATACTTGTGAAAAATGAAGAAAACAAAAGCAAGCCAAGAATGTGTCTTGGAACACTTCCCTCTGAATTTGGTCACTAAATGGAACCCAATCACTGAGCATTCTGCTCACAGTCACACGCATCGGAGGCTAACAATGAGGGCAGTCACGGGATGAGGTCTGACCTTCAGAATAATTGCAGGCCTGTGACAGAGCTTGGCAGTGAGACAGCATTGCAAGCCGGGACACTGTAACTCCCATTACACTCCCTTCTTTGCTTGTTTTATACTAGAAAAATAAAACAAAAAAAAAAGTAAGAAAGACAATAAATGAGTTATTTCAAATGACAAACTTAGAATCCAGAAATACAACTTCAGATATACCATTAGAGTAGGCTGGATTTTACATGTTAACTATCAATACCTAAAAGCTATGTACTAGGATTTTGATCTACAATCACGCAGAAGTAAGGCCAGAGGACAACAAAGCTCAACAAAAGAATAAGTAAAAAGGACTAAAGTTTAGTCTTCAGTGTGAAGCTCCTGCTAAAAAGGCTATAACAAGTGACTTGAGCTGCATTAATATTGGAAGGTCATTCCTTGATATACAGTGTGATTGGCCCCCTAATAGCATAATCTGTTGTTTCTTTTTTATTTTTTTGGGTCCGGTCGTGGGGCCTGAACTCTGGGCGTGGGCGCTGTCCCTCAGCTCTTCAGCTCAAGGCTAGCGCTCTACCACTTGAGCCACAACGCCACTTCCGGCTTTTTTCTTTTTTCTTATGTGGTGCTGAGGAATCGAACCCAGGGCCTCGAGCATGCAGCAAGGCAAGTGCTCTACCACTGAGCCACCTTCCCAGCCCTTTTTTTTTTTTTTTTTTTAAAGCATATAACCTACATACATCTTCCTTTAGACTTTCAACCATCTTTCAATTACTTATATAACGAGTGTGATGTTGGTGCTATGTAAATGATTGTAATCATGCTGCACTGTTGAGAGAATAAATATCCAAAAAAAGGGGCTGGGAAGGTGGCTCAGTGGTAGAGTACTTGCCTTGCATGCATAAAGCACTGGGCTGGATTCCTCAGCAAAAAGCCAGAAGTGGCACTGTGGCTCAAGTGGTAGAGCACTAGCCTTGAGCCGAAGAGCTGAGGGGCAGTGCCCAGGCCCAGAGTTCAGGCCCCATGACCCCCCTCCCCAAAAAAAACCTGTACAGGCTCAATGATATTTAGTAGTATTTCTGAACTGCAGTTGGCTTATTCCTCAGATGTGTTTGGAGACTATACATGCCCAGCAAAACACTACAGAATTAAAGGAATGTGATGAGGTCCCTAAACCTGGAGGGCTGATGTTTACCTATCATGAAAACAAGGGTCCTGATTCAAAATCCAGTATCATTACCAAAACAATAAAGTGTTTCCTGTCCATGAGGAGCACCTAGAGGAAGACCTAGAAATGAATGGTCTTTTCACTCCTACAAATCTTTCCACTTTGCTTTTATAGGTCATGTTCCATTTGAATTGCTTTTTTTTTTTTTAACTGAGATCACCAGCTTTTTGATAGTTAATTCAAAAGGAGATTTTTCATATTTTATCTAACCAGACTTTGCTGTAATATTTGATTACAGTTTTTTGCAATTTTCTCCTTCATTGGCTTCCCCCCCCCCCCCCCCCCACAGACCCCTTCCCTCTCAGCCCTGGGGCTTAAACTCACAATGTGGCCACTGTCCCTGAGGTTCTTTGGGCTCAAAGCAAGAGCTTTCCCACTTGAGTCACAGTGCCACTTCTGGCTTTTTCTGAGTAGTTTTTTGGAAATAAGAGATTCAAGGGCTTTCCTGTCCAGGCTGGCTTCGAACCACAATTCTCAAATTATAGCCTCCTGAGTAGCTAGGATTACAGGGGTGAGCCACTGGCATCTGGCTTATCATTGGCTTTTTTTTTTTTGGTCCGTCGTGGGACTTGAACTCTGGGCTTGGGTGCTGTCCCTGTGCTCTTCAGCTCAAGGCGAGTGCTCTACTGCTTGACCCACAACGCCACTTCCAGTTTTCTAGTGGTTTATTGGAGATGAGTCTGCCCGGGCTGGCTTTGAACTGCAATCCTCGGATCTCAGCCTCCTGAGTAGCTACGATTACAGGCGTGAGCCACCGGGTGTCTGGCTTATCATTGGCTTTTGTGATATCTCCTCTCTCCCAGTTTCTCTCGCTCTCTCTGTCTGTCTCCTTCTGTTGTTTCCTTAACCATCTCTGGTCATCCCTTAAATGTTGGTTCTGCTTTTCTTCCTCCTCCTCTACCTTTCTTCATCTGGGTACTGCATTTCTGACAATTTGCAGCTCTCTATCTCCTTCTCCTTCAGAGTTCAAACTCATGATACCATGTTTAGCCAGAATGTGCCATGTCCTGTGAAACGCAATGTACCCAGTATTCTTCATCATCTACAGCTCTGCCCAAGAAAACACATCTTGCTGTATGTTCTGGGTTAGTATAAAGGATGCTGCCATCAGTCTAGCCACCCAAATCAGAAATTCAAGTTTTGGTTTTGTTGTTGTTGTTGGGGATGGGGTAGTCCTAGGATTTGAACTCAGAACCCTAGGTATGTATTCTACCATAAATCATTCTTTTTTTTTTTGGGGGGGGGGGGGTCCGGTCGTGGGGCCTGAACTCTGGGCCTGGGCGCTGTCCCTCAGCTCTTCAGCTCAAGACTAGCGCTCTACCACTTGAGCCATAGTGCCACTTCCGGGTTTTTTCTTTTTTGCTTATGTGGTGCTGAGGAATCGAACCCAGGTCCTCAGGCATGCAAGGCATGCCTGAGCCACCTTCCCAGCCCCCCATAAATCCTTCTTATAGCTCAAGTTTTTCTTGCCTTTTCCCTACCATTAGAGTCACTAAATCCTGTCTATTCTATTTTCAACCCCATCCACTTCCTTTTCTTCCCACAGGTTAAGTTGCTTGGGTAACTGTAAAAGCTGGTCTTCTTTTTATAAACAGCTAATTTATATGAATACCTTTTTTTGCAATTTTTTTTTTTTGGTCCATCATGGGGCCTGAACTCTCTGGGCCTGGGCACTGCCCCTCAGCTCTTCAGCTCAAAGCTTTTTTACCACTTGAGCCGTAGTGCCACTTCCTGCCTTTTCTGCTTATGTGGTGCTGAGGAATTGAGCCCAGGGCCTCATGAATTCAAGGCAAGCATTCTTCTACTGAGCCACCTACCCAGCCCTGTAATTTTTTTTATTGTGATTAAGTGATTACATAAATTTCACAAATTGGGGATAGTGATACTTAAAGTCACAAACACATTCAAACCTTCATTGGGCAAATTGTCTTTATTGTGGTCAATAAAGTTTATGAGTTATATAAATTTTTATAAAAAATTATTCTTAGCTGACTGCTGATGGCTTACTCTTGTAATGCAGAGGCTAGGATCGAAGGATTGCAGCTCAAAGCCAGCCTGAGCAGGAAAGTCTGTGAGACCTTTTTCTCCAATTAACTACCAAAGAGCCAGAAGTGGAGCTGTGGCTTAAGCAGTAGAGTGCTAGCCTTGAGCAAAAAAGCTGAGGGACAGTGCCCCAGCCCTGAATTCTTGCTCCAGAATTGGCACACCCCCCAAAAATAATCTTGTCACTCCCCTGCTTACAATCCTTCAAAGGTTCCCTTTTACTCACTGTGTATATTAACTGGCTAGCAGAATCCTGTTCATAGTAGCAGGATGTAAAGGAGGAAGCAATGGAGAAGAGTGAAAGGAAAGAACAAGAAGATGCAAGAATGAGAGAATGCAGTTCAGGAAACTGTAGACTCAGATATTAAGAACAGGATGATGAAACGTGTCAGCAATGAGAGATGACATAGACTGAAAGACGATCACTAAATCTGTGTTGTATTTAATTGCTTACTTGTCTTTTAAACATACTCAGGTATCTTCTATCTTTCATAATTACCACCTCTCAAAACTATTGCCTATTCCTTTCTTTTTAGAGCCCAAGTTATTTGAAGTTATAGACACTTCCTATCATAACAGAGTTCATGGTTGCTGATTTTTCCTCCTCAAACTTTTTTTTTTTAACTTGGTTGTTCACTCATTAATTTAGTAAACAGCAGGTGAGCATATGTTTCAAATGTTATGCAGAAGGGCAAAGGGCCTATCTTCAGAGTCAGAGAACCTGAATTTGAGCCCTTGCCCTACAATTTGTGAGTTGTGTGACTTTTAACTTGTTTTTCTAGACTCATTTACAGAGCAGATTTAGTGGCCCAAACCTCCCAGTTCTTGTGAGGACTAAATGTGGTATTATATTGAAAGCATTTAAAGGGAATACTGGGAGCTGGGTACTGGTGGCTCATGCCAGCAATCCTATTCAGGAGGCTGAGATCTTAGGGTCACGGTTCAAAACCAGCCTGGGCAGGAAATTCTGAGAGATTCTTATCTCCATAAACAACTCAAAAAAGCCAGAGATGGCACTGTGGCTCAAGTGGTATAGCATTTGCCTTGAGCGAAAGAAGCTTAGGGACTATGCCAGAGTTCAAGCCTTAGGACCAGCAAAAAAAGAAGAAGAAGAAGGAAAAGAAAAAGAAAAAGTAAATAAAGGGAGTACTTTGTACACAGAAAGATCTTATTCCATAACCAGATCATATTGCCAATCAAGTTTATATACTGTCCTTCAATACCAAACTTCCCAACTGTTTCTTCCTGCTCTTTATTTTCCATCTATTCAACTTATTCTTTTCAAGCACAACTACTTTCCTTCCTCATTTCTCTATTCCCTTATCCTCAATACCCTTGTAAGAGCAATATAGACATATCTCTAACAATAAGTCATTCCTTAAACCTTTGTATTTCTCTGAAGTCTTGTGACATTTTTACCTAAAGGATCAGTTTCCTTGCTATCTTTCTCTTGAATGCTTATGATAAAAATAATTAGGATAGAAGGTCCACTCTGTAGGTCATAGGAAAGTCAGAAAACACATGTGGACTCAGGACGCACCTCGATGTATGCTGGCTCTGTACCGGCAGGTGAGATGTGGGGTTGCCAATCTTTAGGTGGCTTTGAAAGGTACTTGGAATCTGTTACAACCCATTTGAGTCGAGGCCAACCTAAATCAAACCCAAAGTAACAATGAATTACGTAAGTTATCACAGAAGGAGGAGACCACACAGGATTTGTTATTATAAAACTCAGAAGAGCAAACAAAGATCTTTTTTTCTTTTGGTTGTGGGGCTTGAAAGCTGGGCCTGGGCACCGTCCCTGCACTCTTCATTTTTCATTTTATCTTTTGGGTCCGGTCATGGGGCCTGAACTCTGGGCCTGAGTGCTGTCCCTCAGCTCTTCAGCTCAAGACTAGCTCTCTACCACTTGAGCCACAGCGGCACTTCTGGCTTTTTTTCTTTTTGTGTATGTGGTGCTGGGGAATCGAACCCAGGGCCTCATGCATGCAAGGCAAGAGCTCTACCACTGAGCCACCTTCCCAGCCCGTCCTTGCGCTCTTCAGCTCAAGGTAAGTGCTCTACCACTTGAGCCACAGTGCCACTTTCTGGTGGTTAATTGAAGATAATTGTCTCATGGACTTTCCTGACCAAGCTGGCTTTGAACCTCAATCCTCAGATCTCAGCCTCCTGAGTAGCTAGGATTACAGGTGTAATCTTTGCACGTGGCTTACACAGATCATTTTATAATCAATAAGGTACTTTAAAATTTTGTTAGGTTGGGCTGGGAAGGTGGCTCAGTGGTAGAGCACTTGCCTTGCATGCATGAGGCCCTGGGCTTGATTCCTCAGCACCACATAAGAAAAAAGCCGGAAGTGGCGCTGTGGCTCAAATGGTAGAGCGCTAGCCTTGAGCTGAAGAGCTGAGGGACAGCGCCCAGGCCCAGAGTTCAGGCCCCATGACTGGCCCCCCCCCCCCAAAAAAAAATTTTTGTTAGGCTTATTGAAGAAATCACCAGATAATTATACCTTCTTTCAAAAAGCTGCACACCAGTGGCTCAAGTCTATAATCCTAACTACTCAGGAGGCTGAGAGCTGAGGATCACAGTTTAAAGACAGGGCAGGAAAGTCAGTGAGACTCTTATCTCCAAATAATCATCAGAAAACAGGAAGTAGAACTGTGGCTCAAAGTGGTGCAGTGCTAACCTAGAGTTAAGGAGTTCAGAGACAGTATCCAGGCCCTAAACTCAAGCCCCACAGATGACAGAAAAAAAGTACATTCTAACTCCAGGCTTTGACATTGCCTCAATAACTGAGAGACCCATTTGGCAGTGGAAGTTCATTGAAGTTAATAGTCTAACCTCTTGTATACGAAGCACTAGTTTTTATTGTAAACATAATGTTTAAGATTGTCAGCTGTGGAAGCAGACACAGTGGCTGCTCTGTCACATATTACTTGGGACTTTGGGCACATTATTTAAACCTCTTTCCTCCCTCTCCCACCCCCACCCCCTCCCCCAGTTTCCTTACCTACAAAATGGAGAAAAACAGCTGGGCACTGGTAGCTCATGTCTGTAATTTACCACCAAAAAGCTGCAAGTAGAACTGTGGCTCAGGTGGTAAAGTGCTAGCCTTGAGCAAATAATCTCAGTGGCACTACCCAGGCCCTAAGTTCAAGCCCTAGGACAGGCATACAGAGAAAAGGGATAATAACCATGGTATTTACTTATAAGAATGTAAGCCACCAGTAACCAACTATATTCTCCTTCCTTCTTCCTTCCTTCCTTCCTTCCTTTTTGGTTGGTCGTGGAGCTGGAACTCTGAGCTTGGGTGCTGTCCCTCAGCTCTTCAGCTCAAAGTCAGCGCTCTACCACTTGACCCACGGTGCCACTTCTGGTTTTCTAGTGGTTTATTGGAGATAAGAGTCTCACAAACTTTGCTGCCCGGGCTGGCTTTGAACCGCGGTCCTCAGATCTCAGTCTCCTGAGTAGCTAGGATTATAGGTGTAAGCTACCGGTGTCCGGCTCTGACTATATTCTGTATTGTATATATATTTTTATTTATTTTTTGTCGGTTTTGGGGCTTGAACACTGGGCCTGGGTGTTGTCACTGAGCCACTAGTGCCCTGCATATTCTGTATATTTTACATATACAGTTTTTACTAAAGTAAAATGCTAATCAAAGCACTCACTTTTAACTGATAATTTTGGTATAAATACTACTCACCTTTAAATTGTACAATTTCTCCATTCTGGGTTTTTGGCAGTCCCTTTAGACAAACTTCACTAGTAAGAGCTAAGGCAATACCACAGCTTCCTAGTAAGAAGCCAATCTGCTGACCTCCGGCATCCTATGGAGAAAAGATGAGCACAGCAAGGGAGTGAATGTGAGCATATCCATGCTTGAAACCCACCACCTAGTAATGCTCTGGCACCTATGTTACTAGAGTCATGGAGTCCCATAGACACCTGGCAATGCTATAAACCAGTGACAATATGCTCATCCAAAGAATTTCTACAATAATTTCCTAAGTAAAAATCCAGTATTTTATTAGCCTGAGTTTGCTAATTATAAATCCAATTAATCAAATGTAACAATTTTATTCAAGGGTCAACTATGACTACCTTTTACCTTAGTTTTAAACAAATGAAATAAATTCTAACATGTTTAGGATGTCTTCTCTGAGCCCTACCCCCCAAGTCTAAGAACAAGGCAATTCAGGTCAGAATAAAATAATAAAGGAAACGGATACCAATGATGTCCAAATTTTCAGTGAATGGCTATACAAAATCCACATATTCCTTTAATTATTCAATTTTAAGAGGCCAATTTCAACTTTACAAAAGCAGCAGAAAAATAGGGGGAAAAAAACAAAAATTCCTAATAAAATGTAATTTTTAAAGTATCACTATGAACCCTCACAAATACTTTTGAAAGTATCACTATGAAACCACACAAATACTGTTAACTTAATATTAAGAAGAATTCTGTAACAACAAACTTATTATCATCAACTAGGACTTCTGGCCAGTCAGTCATTTGTCTTCTAACCTTTTCAAAATCTTTTGTTTTCTTATAAAATAACAGTCTCCATCATCCTTGTCTCAGACATTAATTCTCTGTCATAAATTGCATGAGAAAACTAGAAAGAATCGTTCCTGGAGAGATCATTGAGTAAGACATGGAAATGTCTTATATCATCTTTGTTTAAAAGCGATGATGTGCTGTGCAAGTGCAACCCTTTAATTCACAGAAGTAAAAGGCTGTCCTTGTAACACCTTCCCACTTAATGGCAATGCTAAGTCATTTGATACAATTAAAAGATATTCTTTTATTTAAAAAAAAGTATTTGAAATGAGCCATACATGTATATATGTGTACTGTACTGGAGTTTGAACTAAAGGGCTGTACCTCTTGCTAACTATTTCTATTTTAGTTATTTTTCTTTTCCTTTTTTTTTTTTTTGTCGGTCGTGGGGCTTGAACTCTGGGCTTGGGTGCCATCCCTCAGCTCTTCAGCTCAAGGGAAGTGCTCTACCGCTTGAGCCACAGCGCCACTTCCGGTTTTCTAGTGTTTTATTGGAGGTAAGAGTCTCACGGACTTTCCTGCCTGGCCTGGCTTTGAACCGTGATCCTCAGATCTCAGCCTCCAGTGTAGCTAGGATTACAGGCGTGAGCCACCAGCGCCCAGCTTGCGTTATTTTTCATACAGGGTCTTGAATATTTTCCTATATTAGAGCTGAATCAGAATCCTCCTATTTATGCCTCCTTCATAGCTGGGCTGAACAGGCATTATTCTCATACTCAGCTATTAGATGAGATGAAATCTTGTAATCTTTCTGACCTGACTGAGGTTTGAGAACCTCAATCCTCCCAATCTCTGCCTCTTGAGTAGTTAAGATTTCAGTCATGAACCACCACACCTGGCTCTTGATGAATTGTGATGACTTACAACTCAAATATGCCCCCATTTTTTTTTTTTTTTGTGCTAGTATTGGGGCTTGAACTCAGGTCTTTGTGCTCTTGCTTACTTATGATTTTTTTTTTTTTCTCCTGGTTTTGGGGCTTAAACTCAGGGCCTGGGCACTGTCTCTGAACTTGGTTTTGCTCTAGCCGAGCACTCTACCATTGGAGCCACGGTGCCACTCTGGTCTTTTTTTTGAGTAGTTTATTGGAGATAAGATAGTCTCATGGACTGTCCTGCTCCAGTTGGCTTCAAACTGTGACCCTCAGATCTAAGTCTCTTGAGGAGCTAGGATTACAAGTGTGAGCCACCAAGCACCTTGCTTACTCATAATTTTTTTTGATACAACATTATAAAATTTCTATCATAGCTAGAAATGTAATTTACATGTTGCTTATAAGTATTAAATAATTTTTATACAATTTGTAGAAAGTAAAGCTGAGTACTTCAGAAAACTGTCATATTGTTTCTAATGTGGTGACTGGGCCAATTGATTCAATAAGAAACAATGCCTAGTTGAGCGCCAGAGGCTCACACTTGTAATCCTAGCTACTCAGGAGGCTGAGATCTGAGGATTGCAGTTGAAAGCCAGCCCAGGCAGCAAAATCCGTGAGACTATCTCCAATAAACCAAAGTGGCACCTAGGCTCAAGTGGTAGAGCGCTAGCCTTGAGCTGAAGTGCTGAAGGACAGTGCCAGGCCCAGAGTTCAAGCCCCACAACCGACAAAAACAAACAAACAAAAACCCAATGCCTGAGCCAGGCATCAATATAGCTCATTCCTATAATCCTAGCTACTAAGGAAGCTGAAGTCCAAGGACCAAGATTCACAGCTAGCCTGACAGACAAGTCTCTGAGACTCCATCTTCAAAATAACCAAAAAGCAGCTGGGGTGCAGGTGTGACTCAAGTGGTAGAATGCCAAGCAAGCAAGCAAGTCATATGAACACAAGGCCCTACTTTCCAAGACTTCAAACCCTTTTACTGGCAAATTCCAAACTTCAAAACAACCAATGTCCACACTGTGTCATGTCACACTACATTCCTCTTAATTTAGCAATGTTACCTTTCTGGTAAGAGGTACCTCTATAGGCACTGGAATCACTTCTGCCAATAGGCATCCATAGAAAGCCACCATAAACATGACTGGATCATTGTTGGGGTAAACCAGGGCTACCTAAAATTCACAAAGAGATTCAATGATAGAAGAATATACATATATGCTTTATCTATGTTTCCTAATATAATAGTATCATTTACCATGACAGTAAGTCAAATAATTTAATAGACATTTTCTCCAGAAGAAATTAAATTATTAAGAAGGACAAAAACCTAAAAAAATCTGCATCATTAGAAGGTTTGGGGAAATAAAAATGCAATTCATTATCCTAAGTTTTCCTTTAATTCTATTGGTGATTTAGCAGTAAACAACTTAAGTGTTAATTATTTGGGAAACCTAAAGCAATTTAGTGCAGAGCTAAAGAAATTTAATAGATTTCTCTAGATAGAAAAGCATACTAAAGGATTAAGCCTTACATCTCTCAGAGAGAGCCTATGCGTATTGACCAACTTGATTACCACCGTAGAGCCCACACATGGTCTTGTTACTAATTAATTGCATTAATCCCTACTCACCCAACACTATAAGGTGGTAGGTAACAGACATGAACAATATGGGCTGAAACTATTATGAATATAAAACAAATTAACAAAAGAAAATTGAAACCTCTACAATATGTTCAAATCTGTGATCTCACCTGATGTACATCAGAGAGATAACACACTTCCTAATTTAGTCAAAGAATAAAAAAACAGAAATCCTCATCACTGTGGGGTTTGTTCCCTGGCTTGCATATTCACAGGTAATATTTTAAATCTAATCCTATTACTGGATTCTCCCTTTCATTTCTTTTTCTTTCAAATTCTCTTAAATACTATGAAAGGATACAACATAGCTTCTTAGGGTTTGGTGAGGCACAAGAAAACATTTAAGTGTCATGTATATAAGGTGGAGCTATACTTTAGGAACTTTTTTGTCACAATGCACAAGTATTTTTAAAACACTAGTTTAGAAGAGTCAGTAATCCAGAAAGATTTTCAAATGAAAATTGAGGCTTGATGATAGAAACTAGCCATAGTCATTAATAGGAAAAATTAATTTAAAAAATTAATGACAAAAAAAAAATCAACGACAATTAAGAAATATCAATTTGTGTCTTCTTAGAAGTAACTACATATCTGCTTCCCTTTCTACATAAGTCCACAGAAAATTATTCTCAATAGTTTTGGGGCATTTTGTAAAGAAACAAATATCAATTTACTAAGTGTTTTCTAAATATTAATATATTTATTTTCAGAAAAGCTTGTGTTTCTTTTTATACTTCTTTAAAGTTTATGAATGAACAGCTTCAGAAATAGATAAGTAAACTGCCTTCCCATTAAATATCATCTGGTATTGGACTAACCTGAGTGGGAACTAAATCATTTTTATTTTCTGAGAATTACAGTTACATAAATCTTCCTATTATATATGTACATATTAGAAAACAATAAACACCACCTTTCTAAAACCTAAAAACCAATTACCCTGTCTCCAGGTTTTAGCACAGGCTCATTTTTGGTCCCCAGTTTATTAAGTAGTGTGTAGGCCAACTTCAAACTTCTGCTCCACAGCTTTCCTAGAAAAAGAAAAATCATGTAGAAAAATATGGGTCTATCTCAGCAAAAGAGAATTCAGTTAGCCAAGTTGAAGAAGGTAATGGTCACTTCTAAATGATGGCTTTGAGGAATATCACTAATCCCTAAACAGTATATCCTTCCTCCCAAAACTCTGAATTTACTCTAGTTTACAAGAGGCAATGTTTCCCTGAAACAAAAATAAAGCATCATCTTGGTTTATAGAATATTTCAGGTTTTTTTCTGAACTAATACGAATGTCCTTAGGAAAAATTTCATGGGATCTAATCACAATTAAAGGGAGAAAACAATGTTTGGCATTACAAAACTTAAAAGCAAAAGAAAAAATTTAAAAACAACAAACCCTTGGGGCTGGGAAGGTGGCTCAGTGGTAGAGTGCTTGCCTTGCATGTATGAGGCCCTGGGTTCGATTCCTCAGCACCACATAAGCAAAAAGAAAAAAGCAGGAAGTGGTGCTGCCGCTCAAGTGGTAGAGTGCTAGCCTTGAGCTGAAGAGCTGAGGGACAGCACCCAGGCCCAGAGTTCAGGCCCCACAACTGGACCAAAACAACAACAACAAAAAAACCTTAAAAGCAGACAGTTCTGTCTAAACTTTTTTCTAAAGAACTGCTCACATAGGCATTATCAGGTACCAGAGGTGAATGGAAAGCAAAACATATGACTCAATGAATTCAATATTCTGCACTACTGTATTTCAGTAGAGAGGGGCTGGGAAGGTGGTTCAGTGGTAGAGCGCTTGTCTTGCATGCATGAAGCCCTGGGTTCGATTCCTCAGCACCACATAAAAAAAGAAAAAAGCTGGAAGTGGTGCTGTGGCTCAAGTGGTAGAACGCTAGCCTTGAGCTGAAGAGCTGAGGGACAGCGCCCAGGCCTAGAGTTCAGGCCCCACGACCGGACCCCCCCCCCAAAAAAAAAAAAATTCAGTAGAGAGACAATATAAGGGAAACTGATGTGAGACATGGATATATTCACAGATACTAAATAAACATGCATGGTTCTAGACAGCTGAATGTTTTCTTTAAGATGTTACACAGATGAAATTCATATACAATCTCTCAGATGAATATTAAAACTATTGACCAAAAAAACAAAATGAAAACACTCTAACAAAACAATCCTCTTGGGCTGGGAAGGTGGCTCAGTGGTAGAGTGCTTGCTTTGTATGAATGAGGCCCTGGGTTCGACTCCTCAGCACCACATAAGCAGAAAAAGCTGGAAGTAGAGCTGTGGCTCAAGTGGTAGAGAGCTAGCCTTGAGCTGAAGAGCTGAGGGACAGGGCCCAGGCCCAGAGTTCATCCTCCACGACCAACCAAAAAAAAACAAAAAACAATCCTCTTTCCCTCTTCCTACTCTGTTCCCTTAAACACCCTCTCAGCACTGTATAAACTGAGATAGGAGGTTCATAGTGGAAGGCCTGGGTTACAAAGTGAGATAGTTGGAAGAAAGAAAGGAAGGGAAAGGGGAATGGAGAGAAGAGCTACTCAGGAGGCTGAGAACTAAACATTTCAGTTTGAAGCCAGTCCCAGCAGATAAATCCAAGAGGCTCATATCTACTTAACCAGCAAAAAGCTAGAAGTAGAGGCATAGCTCAAGTTGTAGAATGCCAGCCATGAGTGAAAAAGGAGATGGCGAGACCTTAAGTGAAAACCCCAGTCCAAGGCCCCATACACACAAGAAAAAAAGAAAAATATAGGGGGAAAAAAGAAAAAAAATCTGTTCATTTAAATAGATTTGTTTTCTGGTGCTGGTGGCTCATGTTTGTAATCCCAAGCTACTCAGGCGGTAGAGATCTGAGGATTGCACTTTGAAGACAATCAGAGCAGAAAAATCTGTGAGACTCATGTCCAATTAACCAGCAAAAAGTTGGAAATGGAGATTTGGCAGGATGGGAAAAACATTATGTTTGAATAAATTAGTACGAGATCTCCTAACTCAGGGTTGATGTTATTTTTCTTTCTTTCTTTCTTTCTTTTTTTTTTTTTTTTTGTCAGTCGTGCAGCCTGAACTCTGGGCCTGGGCGCTGTCCCTCAGCTCTTTAGCTCAAGGCTAGCACTCCACCACTTAAGCCACAGTGCCACTTCTGGTTTTCTGAATGGTTTACTGGAGATAAGAGTCATGGACTTTTGTGCTCTGGCTGGCTTTGAACTGTGATCCTCAGATCTCAGCCTCCTGAGTAGCTAGGATTACAGGCGTAAACCACTGGCGCAGGCTTTGATGTTATTTTTCTTTGTTAGTACAAACAAAACAATAACAACAAAAAAAAAACCTACAGGAGCTGAAGGCAGAAATAGGGGGACACTAGTGACTGAACTCTTGCTTAGCATGTGTTAGCCTCTACTTTCAATCCCTAGCACCAAAAACAGGCAAACAAAATTCTTTTATACGGGATATAAAATTATGTAAAAAAGTCCATTACAGAATTTTGTGCTTATTATTAGGTAAAATTTTAACTCATTTTTCTCATTAATACTGGCCAAAATTTTTTTTTGTCACTGTTTTTGTTTTCTGTTTTGCAAAACCCTCCATTGTAAATTATCAATGGATCTACAATCTCTTTCCTCACTGGGCTGTCTTAAAAACTAGCTGGCTTGCAAATATCACTTTAGCAAATGAAAATTTAGAAATAACTTTACTCAGAACTTAGGATCCTATTAAATCATTGAAAAGATCATTTAAAATATAATGACAACTGATAAATATCAAGGTGAAAATACAATTGCCACGCTGATGAACTCTCAGGAGAAAAGGATCTGGATTCCAGTGAACTCACCGTATGTGAGTGTATAGACTGGCTTTCCTGTCACGTCCAGCGCAGTCAGACAGGGGCATTTGGCCTGGGTGGAGCCCCAGCGCTGCAGGGCAGATTCCAGGGCAGGTGGCCAGTTACAAATGACTCCCAGGGGTTCTCCCTTTACAGGGGTCATCTGTCGCCCCTCAGGCTTCGGCTGGTTGGGGTCTGGCTGAGGTACTGTACCAAAAAAAACAAAAAGATGAATACCAACAAACACAACTCTTTTCTTCTCACAGTTATATGGCTGAGTATGAGAAAAGTAAGAAATAGTGTTCTAAAGGGGTAACATGGTTCAAAAGAAATGAGCTCAATGGAAGTGGCGCTGTAGCTCAAGTGGTAGAGCGCTCGCCTTGAGTTGAAGAGCTGAGGGACAATGCCCAGGCCCAGAGTTCAAGCCCCACGACCGATAAAAAAAAAAAAAGAAATGAGCTCAAATGTACTCATTACCTGACTTACATAACTATAACCCTTCTGTATATCATTTCTACAATAACAATAAAATACATTTAAAAAAACAAAAAAATGGTGTTCTACGACTTGGGCCTTCATTCAATTTTACTTAATTGTGCAATCATATTCAACATGGTTTTATGCACTCAACAAATCCTGATCCTGAATCCTGACAGTCACTGTACATACAGAAAAGCACAAGGTATAAATTTCTTTTCAGCATGCATGTGTGTGTACACACACACACACACACACACACACACACACACACACACACACACACACATATGTATGTATGTATATATATATATATTCAGTCCTAGGACTTGAACTCAGGGCCTGAGCACTGTTCCTAGCTTTTTTTTGCTCAAGGTTAGCACTCTACCACTTGACTCACAGGGCCACTTCCGGTTTTTTCTGTGTATGTGATACTGAGGAATGGAACCCAGATCTTCATGCATGCAAGGCAAGCACTCTACTAATAAGCTACATTACCAGCCCAGTTCCATATATATATATAATTATTTGTCGGTCATGGGACTTGAACTCTGGGCCTGTGTGCTGTCCTGTCCCTGTGCTCTTTAGCTCAAGGCAAGTGCTCTACCACTTGCGCAACAGCCCCACTTCTGGTTTTCTAGTAGTTTACTGGAGATAAGAGTCTCATGGACTTTTCTGCCTGGGCTGGCTTTGAACCATGATCCTCAGATCTCAGCCTCCTGAGTAACTAGGATTACAGCTGTGAGGCCACCAGCGCTTGGCAGTTCCATATATTTTATGAGCTTGTTTTTAATTTTTTGCACTTGGTATTCAGTGGTAAAGCAGCCAGGTTCTACTTCGCCTAGTTATGTTTGCAGTGAACTCTTACTCATCCTCCTCAGCACTCATTCCAACAGTGATATTTGGGAACTGCTAATCATTTCTCAAGAAGACTACTCCTGAAACCAGGCATCAGTGGTTCATGCCAATAATTCTAACTACACAGGAAGATGAAAATCTGAGGACTAAAGTTTGAAGCCAGACTAGGCAAGAAAGCCTGTGAGACTCTTATCCTCCAATTAACTATGGAAGGAAGCAAGGAAGGGAGGATGGGAGGGAGGGAGAGAGGGCAGGAGGGAGAGAGGGAGAGAGGGAGAGAGAGAGAGAGAGAGAGAGAGAGAGAGGGAAGGAAGGAAGGAAGGAAGGAAGGAGGGAAGGAAGGAAGGAAGGAAGGAAGGAAGGAAGGAAGGAAGGAAGGAAGGAAGGAAGGAAGGAAGGAAAAAAGCCCGAAGTAAACTGTGATTCAAGTGGTAGAGCACTAGCCTTGAGTAAAGCAGTTCAGGGACAGCACTCAGGCCCAGAGTTCAAGGCCCAGGACTGGAACCAAAACAAACAAACAAAAACCCAGAAACACTATTCTTTCTTTAATGATCCTACAAGAGGTAGTAGTCCACCCACTTGCTTTTTTATTTTACCTAGACAATGTCTTCCTCAGCTGGCCTGGAACTGGCTATGTAGTCGAAAGTGACATCAAACTCTTAAGATCCACCTGCCTTTACCTCCCAAGTGATGGGATAACAGGCCTTTCCTGCAATGCCCTTAGTCTACCTTTATTGAGAGCACTATGCCAGTTTCCATTACTAGTTTAAAAAAAAAATCCTCCTTCCTCAACCTTCTGTCAACAATGACAGCCTTATTAGCCTATAGTGCCTAAAACATAAGGGTTACTAAGCAAAGTTAGCTGCCTTGAACTGAATTAAAAAACAAAAACAACCGGTGCCGGTGGCTCATGCCTGTAATCCTAGCTACTCAGGAGGCTGAGATCTGAGGATCATGGTTCAAAGCCAGCCCGGGCAGGAAAGTCCGTGAAACTCTTATCTCCAATAAACACTCAGAAAATCGGAAGTGGCGCTGTAGGCTCAATTGATAGAGCACTCGCCTTGAGCTGAAGAGCTGAGGGACAGTGCTCAGGCCCCGAGTTCAAGCCCCATAACCGACAAAAAAAGAAAACAAAAACAAACCCAACTAATTTTTTCCAGCTAGATTATTAACATAGTTATTCCAAAAATCAGAAGTAAATGTTTTATATTCTTTCATACAGATAAAACTAAAGCCCTTTTACTTTTTCTACAATGAACAAGAATTATTCAAATAATTTTTAAAACCCTATATATTCATAGACGGAATCACTACATATGGAATAAAAAGTGAAGTAGTTGTTAACTGTATAGACAGAATGTGATAAATTTTGAGAAAATAAACAAGTTCGGTGTGGCGAAGCAAACCTGTAATCCCAGGACTTGGGAGACTGAGGCAGAAGGAACAGGAGTTAGAAGCAAGTCTTGGCTATCAGCAAGGTCTTGTCTCAAAATAAAACTCAGGGAGAGCCGGGCGCTGGTGGCTCACGCCTGTAATCCTAGCTACTCAGGAGGCTGAGATCTGAGGATCGTGGTTCAAAGCCAGCCCGGGCAGGAAAGACCGTGAGACTCCTATCTCCAATAAACCACCAGAAAACCGGAAGTGGTGCTGTAGCTCAAATGGTAGAGTGCTCGCCTTGAGCTGAAGAGCTGAGGGACAGCGCCCAGGCCCGGAGTTCAAGCCCCACGACCGACAAAAAAAAAAAAAAAAAAACTCAGGGAGGAAATAAATGCTTGAATCATTTTCAATCATTTTTTTGTTGTGCCTAGTAAGTTTCTGGTGTGAATCTGAGCTCTGGCAGCATATGAGAGTGTGTGGGGGACACATACACAGTCAAAGCAAAGGCTAGGATCACATGAGCAGTGCATGACAACACACTAAGAGGACAGAGAAGAGGCAGGACACTCTCTGGAAGAAGGAATGACTGAGCTAAGTTTGGGGGGAAGGAATCTGCCAAGTGAAAAGAAGATAAGAGGCATAGACGGGAGAAGTGGAGGAGGAAGAAGGAATATTAGGTAGACAAATCAAATGTGAAATAAATTGTGTTTTGGTGTACAACTTAATGACAGATTTGGGAAACATGTTTATTTAACACATGTTGACACTTCCAAAGACACACAGGCAACTTTCTTTTTAAAAAGTAATAATTAGCCAAGTAAGCAGTTTTTGCCTATTTATAAGTAGAAGCAGTTAGCTCTATTCTGAAAATGCTTTCTAATTAAATGTTGACCTTCAATTACCAAGGCAATACACAGTGCTAGAAGCATTACAGAGACTACTCTTGGCATGAGCACTTGGAATACCAGTGCATCAAGAAAGAAATCAGGAAGAAAAAAAAAAGAAAGAAAGAAATCGAAGCGGGCACTAGTGCATGTAATACTAGCTACTTGGGAGGCTGAGATCTAAGGATTGTGGTTTGAAGCCAGTCTGGACAAGGAAGTCCATGAAACTCTTTAAAAAAACAAAAAACTTTTGTTGTTATTATAAATGTTATGCACCGAGGGATTATAGTTATATAAGTCAGGAAAAAGAGTACATTTCTTTTTGGACAATGTCATTATGAGACTTTTTTTTTTTTTTGGTCAGTCATGGGGCCTGAACTCTGGGCCTGGGCACTGTCCCTCAGCTCTTCAGCTCAAGGCTAGAGCTCCACCACTTGAGCCACAGCACCACTTCCGGCTTTTTCTGCTTATGTGGTGCTGAGGAATCGAACCCAGGGCCTCATGCATGCAAGACAAGCACTCTACCACTGAACCACCTTCCCAGCCCATGAGACTCTTATATCCAGTAAACTACTCAGAAAAAGCCAGAAGTGACATTGTGGCTCAAGTGGTAGACTGCTAACTTTGAAAAAAAAATAATCTCAGGGACAGTGCCCAGGCCCTGAGTTCAAGCTCCAGGACCAGCACATACACAAAAAAAAAGAATGCAGTTGACAGTTAATAAATTTAGTGACAGTGGGTGCCAGAGGCTCACACCTGTAATCCTAGTTACTCAGGAAGCTGAGATCTGAGGATCATAGTTAAAGCCAGCCGGGGCAGTAAAGTCTGTGAGACTCATCTCCAAAGACACACCACAAAACCAGAAGTGGTGTTGTGGCTCAAATGGTAGAGCGCTAGCCTTGAGCACAGAGGCTCAGGGACAGTGCCCAGGCCCAGAGTTCAAGACCCACAATCAACAAAAATAAATAAGTTTAGTAACTCCTAAATAACAGACTCTTATCTTACCCTCATTATGTCATATGTGTGTATGTGTGCATGTTCGTATCTCCTGAGACTTGAATTAGGGCCTGGGTGCTGTTCTTGAGCTTTTGTGCTTAAGGTTAGCACTTTACCACTGGAGCCACAGCTCCACTTTTGGCTTTTTTGGTACTTTCCTGCACAGGGTGCTTTTAAAAAACTGTGATCCTGGGAGGGGATTGGGGGGGCAGGTGTGATGGGAAGGGATGGGAAGGGGAAACAAAGGAGGAGGCAACAATGCTTGATAAGAAATGTACTAATGGCGCTGGGAAGGTGGCTCAGTGGTAGAGCGCTTGCCTTGCATGCATGAGGCCCTGGGTTCAATTCTTCAGCACCACATAAGGAGAAAAAGCCAGAAGTAGGAATGAGGCTCAAGTGGTAGAGCCCTGATTTACAGCTAAGAGCTGGAGGACAGTGTCCAGGCCCAGAGTTCAGGCCCCACAACTGACAAAAAAAAAAAAAAAAAAAAAGAAAAAGAAATGTACTCATTACCTTGCCCATGTAATTGTAACCCTTCTGTACGGTATTTTCACAATTAAAAAAACAAAAAACAAAAAACTGTGATCCTTAGATCTTAGCCTCCTGAGTAGCTAGGATGACACACATGAGCCACCAATTCCCAGCTTGATAGCTTGCTTTTTATTTCCCACTATATGAACTGGGGCTAAGGCAAGACAGATCTATTCTACCAATGTGCTTAATTCCATTAACAGACTGATGTGATCAAAGCCTACTAGTTAGTAGTCAGGATATAAAAACCAGCAGAAAAGGGGCTAGAAAGTTGGCTCAGTGGAAGAGTGCTTGCCTCGCATGCCTGAGGCCCTGGGTTTGATTCTTCAGAACCACATAAGCAGAAAAAAACTGGAAGTGGCGCTGTGGCTCAAGTGGTAGGGTGATAGTCTTGAGCTGAAGAGCTGAGGGATAGTGCCCAGGTCCAGAGTTCAGGTCCCACCACGGACAAAAAAAAAAACATGAAGTTACCAAGTTTACCTAACAAAAGTAAGCTTGTATGTCTCTCTTCCTTTCTTAGGCAGATCTATCATCACCTAGCTTCAAACAGCCACTCTCATTTTCTCAAGGTTTATAACTCATTTCCCTCCCATTGTCTCCTATTGACTCCTAAACAAAGTATGATTTCATCCATAAATACTTTTCAAATGACTGAACAAATAAAACACTGATGACTACCTCTCTTCCTCTGTGAAGCCATTTCTAACCACACAGACAGAAACTATTTCTTCCCTTTACTCTACTGCCATATCTGCCAAGACAAACCTATTTGCTAACCTAAGTTTCCACAAAGACAGATCTTAGCCCTGGTCTAACTCACAACATGAAAGAAATGACTGCATTCTGCTACACCTTTGAATATTTTCTACATATTATCTTATAAAAAAGCAAGTATTTATATGTTGATTGGATGATTTAATGAAAGGCCTATGTTATGATATTAAAAAAAAACACCAGGTAAACAGTTGAAGTTAAATTTATCATCTACATCTTAGAAAATGGACAAACATAATAACTTTTAAAATTATGTAATTGGGCTTGGCACTGGTGGCTCACGTCTATAATTGCAGCTACTTAGGAGGCTGAGATCTGAAGATCAGGGTTCAAAGCCAGCCCTAGGCAGAAAAGAGTCTCATCTCCAGTTAACCACCACCAAAAGCTGTATGTGGAGTTGTGGCTCAAGTGGTAAAGTGCCAGCCTGGAGAAAAAAAAAGACTAGTGATCCTATCCAGACCCTGAGTTTAAGCCTCAGTACTGGCATGTGTCCAGTACTGGTGCACACATGTACATGTACGTACACACACACACACACACACACACACACACACACACACACACACACACACACACACACACACACACACACACACACACACACACACACACACACACACACACACACAACTTATGTACTTGGGATAGTTCCTAAGTTCAAAGTACATGTTCCAGGTTATCTCTAGGATCTTCTTTTACTACCTTCCCTCTTAAAACTTTTCATTTGAGATCTAAAACACAAATGATCCTTAGGAAAGAAAAAGCAGAGAACTTTTAAACCAAGAACTGTCTTGTTCATCTTTAACTTTATGTAGTTGATGTATACTAACTGTTTAGAGAATATCTGTTCAATGAGCATGTTTGTGGCATTTTTACTACTACCTTCCACAATTTCTTCAGAGTCATCCACAAAAAATTCCTTTAGGGGAGGCCTTTTGGGTCGTTTCAGAGTATTGAGAAGCTGCTGGATTTTTGTGGATACTCTGCTATTGACAGGAACACCTATAAGGGAAAAAATTATAAATTCAGTTAAAATTTACTTTGACTTAAAGGACATTTTAGCTCTTCAATTCTTTTTTTTTGGGTCGGCCATGGGGCTTGAACTCCAGGCCTGGACACTGTCCCTGAGCTCTTCAGCTCAAGACTAGCACTCTCCCACTTGAGCCACAGCATCACTTCCAGTCTTCTGGTGGTTAATTGGAGATAAGAGTCTCACAGACTTTCCTGCATGGTCTGGCTTTGAACCATGACTCTCAGATCTCAGCCTCCTGATTAGCTAGGATTACAGGCGTGAGATACTGGAGCCTCCATTCTTTTAGGAACTTTCTTTCCTAATGAGGTTTGGCATTTGTCCACAGACTTAGTCTAATTCAACTGCCAAATAGTAACAAATATGTAAGTTACAAATTTGATGACAAAAGAGAACAAAGGGTGTTAATGGTTTCAACTAAGTTCCCCTTTCTCTTCTAACATAACTTCCCCCTCTCCCCACTAGTTGTTAGGCTTGAACTCAGGGCCTGGGCTCTGTCTCTGAGCTTTTTTGCTCAAGGCTACCACTTTGAATCACAGCTTCACTTCTGGTTTTCTGGTAGTTAATTGGAGATAAGAGTCTCAGGGACTTTCGGGCCCAGGCTGGCTTTGAACCTATGAGTAGCTAGGATTACAGGTGTGAGCCACCAGAACCCAAGTTCTTTTTTTATTTTTTATTTTTTCCAGTCATGGGCCTGAACTCTGGGCCTGGGAGCTGTCCCTCAGCTCTTCAGCTCAAGGCTAGTGCTCTACCAATTGAGCCACAGTGCCACTTCCGGCTTTTTTCTTTTTGCTTATGTGGTGCTGAGGAATCGAACTCAGGGCCTCAGGCATGCAAGGCAAGCGCTCTACCACTGAGCCACCTTCCCAGCCCGAACCCAAGTTCTTGTAGCATTCTTTTTTTTCTTTTTTCTTTTCTTTCTTTTTTTTTGTGATTGTGGGTCTTGAACTCTGGGCCTGGGCAGTGTCCCTCAGTTCTTCAGCTCAAGGCTAGTGTTCTAACACTTGAGTTACAGCACCACTTCTGGTTTTCTAAGTGGTTTATTGGAGATAAGAATTTCACCGGCGCTGGGCGCTGGTGGCTCACGCCTGTAATCCTAGCTACTCAGGAGGCTGAGATCTGAGGATCGAGGTTCAAAGCCAGCCCGGGCAGGAGAGACTGTGAGACTCCTATCTCCAATAAACCACCAGAAAACCGGAAGTGGCGCTGTAGCTCAAGTGGTAGAGTGCTCACCTTGAGCTGAAGAGCTGAGGGACAGCGCCCAGGCCCAGATTTCAAGCCCCATGACCGACCAAAAAAAAAAAAAAAAGAATTTCACCGGGCTGGGAAGGTGACTCAGTGGTAGAGTGCTTGCCCTGCATGCATGAGGCCCTGGGTTTGATTCCTTAGTACCACATAAGCAGAAAAGGTCAGAAGTGATGCTGTGGCTCAAGTGGTAGAGTGTTAGCGCTGAGGCCCAGAGTTCAGACCCTACAACCAACCAAAAAAAAAAAAAAAAGTCGCTCAGACTTTCTTGCCAGGGCTGGCTTTGAACCTCAATACTCAGATCTCAGCCTCCTAAGTAGCTAGGATTACAGGTATAAGCCACTGGCGCCGGGCTTGTAGCATTCTTTCTTTATCCAGACTTTGGTTTGGGTTCAAAGTGTCTTTTGGAAACGCTAGCTGAGTGTGAACAAGTGGAGAAGGGAGCGCTCAGGATGGCCTGCTCACAACTATGACCTACTTCTGCAGCTACTCAACCCTTTGGCCATGAATTACTGTTTCCAACTTGAAATTTTCCACTTTAATTTATACCTCTATGTAGCTACCAAAAAGAACTCCCTACCGTCCGCTGTATCCATAAGGCTGGACCTGTTGGATCCCTTGTGCATGCCTTTAACTATCCCCGAAGGGGGCAGGTCAATATTTGCTGGGCGCATTGAGGACGATGATGAGGAAGAGGAGGTAGTTGTAGTGACATCAGGGGGAGCAGAGAAATTCTCTAAGAGGGGAGAAAACAAAACTTAGAATTTTATGACAATAGCAGAAAAAATAAGAATTGCTAATTTTTCTTTTGCCAAGAAAAAAAATCTACTAGCAAGATATAAAGGGACAAATTAGAAATTAAGCCAAAGCTTTGCCAAATTATTATCAAGATGAGTAACTTTAGTAAGGTCAAATCACATAGCCACTATTTCTTAAAAAGATCATTTTCTATGCAGAAAGGTTGGTTGAATTCTAATGTGACAATAAAAATAAAATATTATTTCAAAATAGACCCAAAGTGAGCAAGATTCTGACTACTGATATTCTAAAGTGTCTCAAATATTTCTTTATGATTGTGGTTTACCTTACACACACACACACACACACACACACATACACACACACACACACACACACACACACACACACACACACACACACACACACACACACACACACACACACACACACACACACACGTGTCTTAGGAGTGGGTCAGAGTGCCCAGATTTTCAGATGGAAGAAAACCAAAGTCCACTCCTAATTTTTACAAAATAAACAAGAGTGAACTTGGTGCTACTTGGCAACAAGGTATTTCCTGCTCTAAGTAGAAGTCAAACAGTGACAGCATACTACTTCATGAAAGGATTTTTTTTTTTTTTTTGCCAGTCCTAGGGCTTTAACTCATGTCCTACACACTGTCCCTGAACTTCTGTGGTTCAAGGTTAGCACTCTATCATTTGAGCCACAGCACCACTTCCAGTTTTTTTCTGCTTATGTGGTACTGAGGAATCAAACTCAGGGCTTATGCATGTTACACAAGCACTCTACCACTAAGCCACATTCCCAGCCTATGAAAGGATTTTTAACACAGAGAATGGGAATACTGTAAGTTGGAGGAGACCTATTCAATAGGGTTATGTTGCCAAAAACTTAACCAATTTTCGAGTAAAGTTTCTATGCTCCAAAGTTCTGTAATTACTAGTTTAATAGCTGTTGAAGTTTGTACTATACTAGCACAAGTACAGTTCAGTATACTTTTCCATAGCATAACATGATAACAAAAGCATTAAAAAGGGAGAAGCAAGGGAAAGAAATAATATGGTGGAGGGGGTAAATATGATCAAAATGTACTTTGTGCATGTGTGGAAATATCACAATGAATCCCTTTTATATTACAAGTATACATACACTAATTAAAAATGTTTTTAATATAGAGTATTTTACTTATCCTAGCAACTCAATTTACAGAAATATACCCAAAGGAAATAAACAAATACACACTATTGTAATCTATTGTATGCTGAAGTATGTTCATTCCCATAGACAGAAAACTTTTTTTTTTTCCAGTCCTGCGGCTTAAACTTGGGGCCTGAGCGCTACCCTTGAGCCTCTTTGTGCTCAAAGCTAGGGCTCTACCACTTGAGCCACAGCACTACTTCCAGCTTTTTCTGAGTAGTTCATTGGAGATAAGAGTTTCATGGACTTTTCTGCCCAAGCTGGTTTTGAACTGTGATCCTTAAATCTTACCCTCTTTAGTAGCTAGGATTACAGGAGTGAGCCACTAGCACCTAGTTAGGTACTCTTTATTTAAGTGTCCTAAACAAGGGAATGGCTAAATAAAGCAAGCATAGAAAGACAATGGCATACTTTAAAAGCATAAAAAAATAATCATAGTGATATGAAAGATGTTTGTGGTAAGCTACTAAAAAAAGCAGTTAATGAGCATTATGTGTATGACAATTTCATTTTTGTAAAATTAAAATGAAAGCCCTACCTATTCATATATAAATAAAATCTAGATCATACATTAAGTGCTATCCATAAGGGGATTATAGATTTTTTTAAATTTCTCTTTTACCTAAGCTTTTGAATTTTCCTATTGGGAACATGAATTACTTCTGCTAGCAAACAACTGTAAAGCAATAATATTGAATCTAGGTGCGGTGCCTCACACCTATAACAATGGCTAATTAGTAGTCAGATATCAGTAGGATTGTGGTTTGAGGCCAGTCTGATTAAAAAGTTCCTGTGACTTCACCTTGCTTCACAAGCTGAGTAGGGTAATACAAGCTATGAGGGAGGTATAGGTTGGAGGGTCATGGCCTTAGGCTAGCCCCAAACAACAATGCAGGACCTGATCCAAAATGTAATTAAAGCAAAAAAGGGCTGAGTGTGGTTCCATTGGTAGATGCCTGCCTAGAAAGCATGAGGCTGAGTTCAGATCTTAGTACCATGTTGTTAGAATGGTTTTTGTAACTGAACCAGTAACTTTTTACAGTGTCATAGAAGCAACAGAAAAAAAAAAATATGTGATCACAGAAATTACCCTGTAACAAAAATCCAGACAGTTTTTTTGTTTTTGTTTTTGCTTTTTTACTTTTTTGCCACCAGTGGAAGGCTTCTCTTTTAAACAAACATAGAAATCAAACCTCAGGGACTCTGGCTCTGGTGCTTACCCTCCAAGAAAGAAGAAGCAGTGAACATGCATCTGTATGCAGCTACTCTGGAGGAGCAATGGATTATACAGTGGAGAGCTGTAGTCACTGGCTATCAGTGGTTTTCTATTTGGGCAATCACAGGGTTAACTATTTCCTTTTAAAATTATGAATTTGAATGGAGACTTTTCCTACTTGTTCTTTTCAGAAATCAAAGTTATTAAAGTGATAAATAAAAGACACCAAAATATGACTGATTGTCCAGAAAAAAAGGGAAAGACATCACAGACACATAACATTAACATATATTACTTACTGAATTTGTACCAACCAATTAAACCAAAGCAGAGATCTATTATCTTTATCTGCAGATATCACAACTCTTTAAAAAAAAAAATCACATAAAAACATAAAGCAGAGCCAAGCAAAAGCTACACTCCATACAGTAGCACTCAGGCAGCCAGCAGCTCCGAGAGTACTAATGTCCTCAGCCTGCACACTCTGGAGGCAGCAATACCATAGCAGCAAGAAGAATAAATCCAGCCTTTAGGCTAAAGACAAAAAGGTTTCACTCATATTGGAAAATGTAGAATTTGCTCAGGTTTAATAATTTTTGACAGAATATAGATAAACATCATGGGAATACGTAAGATGTTACATATGTTAGCTCTTTTAATGTATGAAATAGTTTTCTGCTGCTGGAACAAACCTCTCCTAAGACTGGTGTTATGTCTTGCAGCTTGAGTATTGCTTATGGAAACAAATATGGCTTCAGGTGGACAGCCCTCTGCATGAATAATGTAGATGGTCCCTACTATTCCTGTAGCAAATGTATTGCTGGTGTTTCCTTCTTTGCCTCATTAACAGTTCTCTCTTGATTATATTTTTTGCAGGCCACATTGAAAACCCTAACACAATTATAAACTGTTTCCTGGATACTGGGTGCCAAATAGAATATAATTTGGGTTTCTTGGGTAGATCCAGCTCCTACCTATTCGAGTATTGGCAAATACATCAGCTAGAGACCCACTGGTTCCTTTGACCTCTCCGTGGGACAGCGTAGAAGATGCGGATGAAGAAGTGGACGATCCCTGAATTGAACGGTTGATCCAGGACTCGGCATTCTGTAAGCTCTGTTGCAAGGCAGCAGAGAGCGCAGCTTGGCGTCTCAGAGAGCCTTCATCCTCAGAGGCCGAAGACGTGTCTGTGTGGAATTAGAAAAAAAGAAGTTCTCCATCCTGCCTACAACAGAGACTTTTCATTCTTGCTCACTGATCACACATTCGATGTTGACACCAGCAAAACATTAGCATTCTCAAGTTAGATTAATAGGTGGAGTTTTTTTTTTTTTTGAAACCTCAGGAAAGATCTAGGGGTTAAAACCTGTAAAATAAAACAGACTAACTTTGAAGGTCATTTTAAATTGTTTTCTTTTAAAAACATGTTTAACTTTGCTATTTTCCTATTCTGAGCTTAAAAATTAATGCATAAATTCTTCTGGTTTATCCACTTATGTTCAAATAAAATTGAAGTGCAAAAATATGTTATCTCCCTGGGTCTCTTAATGAGAGAACCTCACCAGCTTTCATACTAATTTTTACAAGTCTTTGTTAATACTAACTTTTTAAAAAAAGATCAGATAGAGAGAAATAAAAACTTAACCCTTATTGAAAGTGTATGTACTAGGGGGAGTATGAGGAAAAGTGGGAGAAAAACAAGGGAGCAGGTAACAATGTTCAATAAGATATGCCCACTACCTTATTATGTAACTGTAACCCCTCTGTACAATACCTAGATAATTATAAATATAAAAAAATCAGTGAGCCAATGAAAGGAAAAGATAGAAGCCAAATATAGTTCCCAATATCAAATGTAAAAAAAAAAAAAAGTATATGTGCCAAATAGTGGACTAGGGGATGGGGACCTGAGGTGGGGATAAGACACTTGGCTACAGGCCCTCATTGAGTTCAATAGAAAAGCAGCTGACCAGTTGTGTGGCATAAGTAAGTTTTCCTAATAAGACAGGGGAGTGCAAAACATCTGGATTTCCCCTTGTTTCTCAGTCAGAAAACTGTGAGAAATTCACTGATGCCTGTATTTAGCCTGGCTCTGACATCAGGAAAATAAGGCCTAAAGTAGAAAAGCATGCTTGAAAAAAAAGAAAAAAAATTCAACCAAATCTAAGGAAGCAAAGGCTGAGGGAGAAAGAAATCTGGAACTAAGCTTAGAGGACATAAAGTTAAAGGGGCATTGGTCTGATGTGGGACAAACCCTTCTAAATGATTGGGGGTGACTATAATTTGTGATCTTTAGAACAAATTTATTTATTTATTAGTTCTTATTTGTTTTTGTGGTGCTGGAGATTGAACCCAAGGCCTTGATCATGCAAGGCAGTACTCTATTACTGAGACACATTCCTAGTCTTATTTAGCTTTTTTTTTTAAAATTGAAATCAGGAGGATGAAATCTAAGGACTGAAGTTCAAAGGCAGCTTGGAGAGATAAATTCTCCAGATTTTTCTTATCTTTAAATAACTGGCAAAAGGCAGAAACTGGAAGCATGGCTCAAGTGGTAGAGTACCAGCAGTGAGCAAAATAACTGAAGAGAAGAATATAAGACTCTATGTTCAAATCTCAGAACTAGTAGGGAAAAAAAGTGAAAGTTTTGTGATTAGTTCTGCAGAAAACTTTTCTCTAACACAGGAGACTGTTGACCCATGTCATGCTTCAGTTCAAAGAACCAGAGAAATAGGGCTGAAAAACTATTAATAGCCCACCTTGGGAATCAAGCACAAAACACAATCTAGAAGTCTAATTCTATAGGCCCAAATAAAACAGTTAAAATAATGATATATATGCAAATATATATTATTACTTATTTACTTATTTGGGTTGGTTATCTGACTTGAACTTTCAGGGCCTAGGTGCTGTCCTGAGCTTTTCTACTCAAGGCTAGTACTCTACCACGTTGAGCCATAGCACCACTTCCAGTTTTCTACAGGTTAACTGGAGAGAAGAGTCTCATAGACTTTCTTGCCCAGGCTGGCTTTGAACCTTGATTCTCAGATCGCAGCCTCCTGAGTAGCTAGGATTACAGGCATTAGCCACCAGAACCCAGCATTATTAATATTTTTATTGCTCTGTACTATCACAAATTATTACTTCATAGGTCTGAGATACGGGCACCCAGCTAAGATGTGCCTTTAAAAAAATAGTACTTAACTATAATATGTGCTGGAAAATATATCAGGTCCAAAAGATTATGAGATGTGTGAGTGCTTAAGACAGTGTATGCTCTAAAATGGCTTGCAGTCATAGTATAGGAGACATATATGCTCAAGGACTAGAGCACACGTGCTAAGAAATGGGGTGAGCAACAAGTTCCACAGTAGTGAAACCTTAGTCCATATAAATAGAGCAAACACTGTGAGGAGTTATAGGGGGAGAAAAGAGAGAGAGGGGAGAGTTAAATAATGACTTGTTCAAAAGGATAAAGCAAGGAGGTGTTTCCTTAAAAGGGAAATAATTTTATAATGAAAAAGGAGGTGCTAAGCTGGGCATGGTGACACTCACCTATAATCCTAGCTACTTGGGAGGCAGGACAGTGGTTTGAGGTGGGATAGGGCAAAGTTGGCAAGGCCTTATCTCAAGAACAAAGCTGGGGCTAAGAAAGTGGCTCAGTGTAGAGTGCTTGCCTTGCATGGGTTGGATTCCTCAGTACCACATAAGCAGAAAAGGCCGGAAGTGGCGCTGTGGCTCTAGTGGTACAGTGCTAGCCTTGAGCTGAAGAGCTGAGGGACAGCGCCCAGGCCCCACGACCGACCAAAAAAAGAAAAGGAACAAAGCTGAAGGCGCATGCTTGTGGGCCCAGCTATTTTCCAGAAGCAGAGATAGAAGAGCTTGATCTGCATCTGGCCGAGGCAAAAGCAGGGGTCCTATCTAAGAATCAAAAGAACTAGAGACACAGCTAGTTAGTAGAGTGCTTTTCTAGCAAACACATGGCTCTGAGTTCAATCCCAATACTGGAAAAAGAGGGCAGGGTTCTTAAAAGAAAATACTATTTAAGGAAAGCATTTTGTATATTTTCCAGACAATATTCTAGTATTTCAACTGTTCCTTAGGAGAAAAAGTCTTACCTTTGTAGATATAAAAAAGAAGGGGGGGGGGGGGCAATGGGGCAGGTTAATTGAATATCAAGAAAAAAGTATTTTCAGGGTAATACATCTCAGAATCCTACAAATAAATCCTCTGGATTTATTTGCAAGCTGCTTTTATGGCAGTGTTTTAGTTTGTGTGTAAGTCGAAAATCAAAGTAATTAAATTTTTAAATTTTCTTGATTAGGTTTATGGAAAATTGGTTTCATTATGTTTCTGTAGTGGATCAATTATACAATTAGGTGTACTATTTCAGCTCAATTACCTAATTTACCTTCCATTCCTCCTCAGAGTGTTTAGTGACTCACAGCTATGAAACAGCTTAGTATAGTTAGATAGCTTTGGTGTTGGTCTGTCACTTGAACTCTGGGGCCTACCACTTTATCAACTCTGTGACTAAGGGTTAAAATGATCCATTTGCTAAGATTATTTGCTTGTTTGTTCAACCAACAAAGAGACAAAGTGCTACAGTAGTTGGCAGGAATAACGTGTTAATAAGCAGGAAAATACAGCCCCTACTCTCATAGGATCTGGACTGTAAATAGGTATTCATCTAGGGTGGGCAGAGAGCAGCAACAGGAAGAGAGGAATAGTATGTGAGGGAGCCTGGCGAGACAGTAGACAAGGCATATATGAAATTCTTAAATAAAGTGAGACAAACCAAAGCACTGGATGCAAAACCCGTAGTGATGAAAGATAAGACTGGACAAGGAGGAGGAGGCAGCACAGGTTGCTAAGGGCCATGCTAAACAAGTCTATTTTCATCATAACTACAGTGGGAGGCCATGAAAGAGCGCACACAGTAGCCCCAGCACACAGCAGATGGCCAATTAAAATCAGCTTCCCTTTTTTCCTAGGAGAATGGTTTAAAGGCCGTTTCTTTTTGATTTGTAACAGTAGCTGAAATTTGCCTTAGGAATAATTTAAATAACTAGTTCTTTCATAAGAACATGAAGGTAAAGATGATAGCAATGGGCTGAAAATTGCAGCAGAAAAATACACAATGATAATCATGCAACTTGAGAGTTTGTGGTTGCTATATATAACTCTTCCTTGAGCAAGCTCAGAAACAAAACTGGCTGGTCAAGACTTCAAGATGATTATGTGTTAAGTTCACACAAAATGTAAGCCTTGGAACTACATATTTTTTCTTTTCTTTTTGAGACAGTCTCATGATGTAGCTCAG